AATTTCATCATAAATTGAATGTCTGTTTTTCAACTTGACAATGTCACAACATTCCCGATTACCCTTAACGTGCTGAACTTGATAGACTTAGCGATCAGACCATGGCGCTGTATGAGAGAGTGTCTGGATTGAGAGAGGGTCAGCTTTCTTGTCGCCCCATGAAACAGTGTCCTATACCACGTTACTGCTGAAAACGACAGTATTTTTGAATTTTAAAAATCATACCCTAGCCAACTTCAATTGTACCAGTTTATCTGATTCACTTACTGGATGTAACGTCCCAGCAGACTTGCATACCTAAGTTTACATCGAGGTTTACAGAATATATTCAATGAATGTAATTGAATATAATCTAAACAGATGTTTATGGACCTTTGGAATCCAGTACAAAAGCTGAATGGACTTATTTTCAAGTTCTAGAGTCAAGCCAGAAATTGATGCTTGTGTTGTGTGGTTTTAGGAACTTTCTTCCCCAGTGGACATACTGGTCTTATATGTAGTGTTATACATGTCACTTTTACCAAGTTCTCTGATCAAACAAGAAATGACGGGATGCTTACATATTGCAGCAAACGTTATTTGCGGCCATGTCAGGGAACAATTACTAATGTTTCATGTAGGGCATCCAGACTTTGGATGACAGCTGACTGGGAAAGACTAGGTTTAATGGGTTTTCAATTCGTGCATTATATATTTGACAACAACACGCACACCAAATTTACACATTCAGTTGGACACTCAAAAGTTTCATCTTCTCTATTGGTCCATTTTGTGACATACACTTCTTCGACAACATCCATAAGTGATTTAAACTTGTGACCTAAATTGGTAATATTATGGTTCATATTTGAATAACTGGCGAAAGGTGCTTTGGTCAACGATAGAGACTCCACCTGTAATTATTAGATCCAGACACAAGACATGTAGTTTACATAACGAACCGCCAACATTTCAAACCTACATACTAATAGATATTTTCACCTTCATGTCTGGTGCCTCATATGTACACGTAAGAGAACATTTTGCTTGAAGTATTCCTTCGACCATTCCTTCGACTGTACTGAGTGACTACGGGGCATACAATAGCAGGGGGTTGTCTTTGTGTTTGTAACAGACAATTGAAAGATATTTCTTCAAGCTTGGAAGAACATTGTGCCATCTTTGCCTGACATCTGTACAAACAAGACAATATTGTAAACTGTATAGAACATGAATAGAAAGTGAGTTTGATTTGTGTATATTTAGAAACAATTCATGATCCTCTGTGTTCAAGAATGTGTCGCAAAACAGGCGGCGAAAAAGGAACTTGAGAAACAATATTATAAATTTACTGAATAGTGAAGAAAAACATAAAGAAAACATAGATAAATATTCAGTCTGTTTAGGAGGTACAAGGATATATCTAAGTATTACTTCAGGCAAAATGGGGTCAATGTTTGTTAAATAATGTGCTAATGGTCATAACACCATTTAATCGATTGTTTGAATAGACAAACAAATTTTAAATGTTCTTCCAAGCATGAAAATTACAAAATCAATTGCTTTTTCCAGAAACTAATTTGTATATGAGTTTACTTATTTCGTCTAGAGATATTCATTTGTTATGTCTACTGTGGGTTTGGAGTGGATTCTTGGAACAAACCTTTAGAATACCAATAGTACTTAAAGCATCTTGCGAGTCTGGCACCATGTGGGATTATGGGATTGTCCTGGCAGACGCTGTTGCCTACTTTAGCCTAAATTTTGGGATTGCCGAACACTCTCTTACCAAAGCACTTTCTCATATGGCAGTCCCTTCCTATTATTTATAACCAAGTAGTGGAATTTGTTTTTATTTGTCAAAATATACTTTATTCAGTTAAATCCCTTACTGTTGTGGACTGTTTTCAGGTAAAGTCCCTCAAGCCGTCCCTTTGAGTGGTACGCAGAATATATTTACCGGACCGACCCCTGCAGGGACTGTTGGTGAAGGTAGGCACTGTCAGCCATGATTCAGGTTATTCTAGTTGTGTATTTGGACCTAACACGTATGACATATAAATATTACCCATCATGGTTGTATCTTCCTGTGTAATTACTTTCCCATATTTGCACATGTGCATTTAAGCGATTCTCAATGTTGATTCGTCAATTAAAGCCATTTGACGTCATCCATTGTTAACGTCACAAATTCATTTCATTACGTCATCTGAACAATAGGCTGCCTTCAGTGAAATTTATCTGTAGTGTTTTATGTGTTTCTTCATGTTCTCTCTTATAATGACAATTAGTAATATAGAGAATAACCTACTCTAAACTCGGAATTACAGATTATCTTAACCCCGTGAAAGAATGCTGTAAGAACACATTTATTCACTTAGGACAGATAATCGGTAATTCCTCATAGGTCGTTTATTATTCTATATATGTAATTTATGATCTAATGTCAATTTCATCATAAATTGAATGTCTGTTTTTCAACTTGACAATGTCACAACATTCCCGATTACCCTTAACGTGCTGAACTTGATAGACTTAGTGATCAGACCATGGCGCTGTATGAGAGAGTGTCTGGATTGAGAGAGGGTCAGCTTTCTTGTCGCCCCATGAAACAGTGTCCTATACCACGTTACTGCTGAAAACGACAGTATTTTTGAATTTTAAAAATCATACCCTAGCCAACTTCTATTGTACCAGTTTATCTGATTCACTTACTGGATGTAACGTCCCAGCAGACTTGCATACCTAAGTTTACATCGAGGTTTACAGAATATATTCAATGAATGTAATTGAATATAATCTAAACAGATGTTTATGGACCTTTGGAATCCAGTACAAAAGCTGAATGGACTTATTTTCAAGTTCTAGAATCAAGCCAGAAATTGATGCTTGTGTTGTGTGGTTTTAGGAACTTTCTTCCCCAGTGGACATACTGGTCTTATATGTAGTGTTATACATGTCACTTTTACCAAGTTCTCTGATCAAACAAGAAATGACGGGATGCTTACATATTGCAGCAAACGTTATTTGCGGCCATGTCAGGGAACAATTACTAATGTTTCACGAGAGCATCCAGACTTTGGATGACAGCTGACTGGGAAAGACTAGGTTTAATGGGTTTTCAATTCGTGCATTCTATATTTGACAACAACACGCACACCAAATTTACACACTCTGTTGGACACTCAAAAGTTTCATCTTCTCTATTGGTCCATTTTGTGACATACACTTCTTCGACAACATCCATAACTGATTTAAACTTGTGACCTAAATTGGTAATATTATGGTTTATATTTGAATAACTGGCGAAAGGTGCTTTGGTCAACGATAGAGACTCCACCTGTAATTATTAGATCCAGACACAAGACATGTAGTTTACATAACGAACCGCCAACATTTCAAACCTACATACTAATAGATATTTTCACCTTCATGTCTGGTGCCTCATATGTACACGTAAGAGAACATTTTGCTTGAAGTATTCCTTCGACCATTCCTTCGACTGTACTGAGTGACTACGGGGCATACAATAGCAGGGGGTTGTCTTTGTGTTTGTAACAGACAATTGAAAGATATTTCTTCAAGCTTGGAAGAACATTGTGCCATCTTTGCCTGACATCTGTACAAACAAGACAATATTGTAAACTGTATAGAACATGAATAGAAAGTGAGTTTGATTTGTGTATATTTAGAAACAATTCATGATCCTCTGTGTTCAAGAATGTGTCGCAAAACAGGCGGCGAAAAAGGAACTTGAGAAACAATATTATAAATTTACTGAATAGTGAAGAAAAACATAAAGAAAACATAGATAAATATTCAGTCTGTTTAGGAGGTACAAGGATATATCTAAGTATTACTTCAGGCAAAATGGGGTCAATGTTTGTTAAATAATGTGCTAATGGTCATAACACCATTTAATCGATTGTTTGAATAGACAAACAAATTTTAAATGTTCTTCCAAGCATGAAAATTACAAAATCAATTGCTTTTTCCAGAAACTAATTTGTATATGAGTTTACTTATTTCGTCTAGAGATATTCATTTGTTATGTCTACTGTGGGTTTGGAGTGGATTCTTGGAACAAACCTTTAGAATACCAATAGTACTTAAAGCATCTTGCGAGTCTGGCACCATGTGGGATTATGGGATTGTCCTGGCAGACGCTGTTGCCTACTTTAGCCTAAATTTTGGGATTGCCGAACACTCTCTTACCAAAGCACTTTCTCATATGGCAGTCCCTTCCTATTATTTATAACCAAGTAGTGGAATTTGTTTTTATTTGTCAAAATATACTTTATTCAGTTAAATCCCTTACTGTTGTGGACTGTTTTCAGGTAAAGTCCCTCAAGCCGTCCCTTTGAGTGGTACGCAGAATATATTTACCGGACCGACCCCTGCAGGGACTGTTGGTGAAGGTAGGCACTGTCAGCCATGATTCAGGTTATTCTAGTTGTGTATTTGGACCTAACACGTATGGAAAGAAAACATTTAATAATTTATAATGTAGAAGTAAACTAGTCTATGACATATAAATCTTACCCATAATGGTTGTATCTTCGTGTAATTACTTTCCCATATTTGCACACGTGCATTTAAGCGATTCTGAACGTTAATTCGTCAATTAAAGTCATATGACGTCATCCATTGTTAACGTCACAAATTCATTTCATTACGTCAGCTGAACAATAGGCTGCCTTCAGTGAAATTTATCTGTAGTGTTTTATGTGTTTCTTCATGTTCTCTCTTATAATGGCAATTAGTAATATAGAGAATAACCTACTCTAAACTCGGAATTACAGATTATCTTAACCCCGTGAGAGAATGCTGTAAGATCACCATTTATTCACTTAGGACAGATAATCGGTAATTCCTCATAGGTCGTTTATTATTCTATATATGTAATTTATGATCTAATGTCAATTTCATCATAAATTGAATGTCTGTTTTTCAACTTGACAATGTCACAACATCCCGATTACCCTTAACGTGCTGAACTTGATAGACTTAGTAATCAGACCATGGCGCTGTATGAGAGAGTGTCTGGATTGAGAGAGGGTCAGCTTTCTTGTCGCCCCATGAAACAGTGTCCTATACCACGTTACTGCTGAAAACGACAGTATTTTTGAATTTTAAAACTCATCCCCTAGCCAACTTCAATTGTACCAGTATATCTGATTCACTTAGTGGATGTAACGTCCCAGCAGACTGTCATACCTAAGTTTACATCGAGGTTTACAGAATATATTCAATGAATGTAATTGAATATAATCTATACAGATGTTTATGGACCTTTGGAATCCAGTACAAAAGCTGAATGGACTTATTTTCAAGTTCTAGAGTCAAGCCAGAAATTGATGCTTGTGTTGTGTGGTTTTAGGAACTTTCTTCCCCAGTGGACATACTGGTCTTATATGTAGTGTTATACATGTCCCTTTTACCAAGTTCTCTGATCAAACAAGAAATGACGGGATGCTTACATATTGCAGCAAACGTTATTTGCGGCCATGTCAGGGAACAATTACTAATGTTTCACGAGAGCATCCAGACTTTGGATGACAGCTGACTGGGAAAGACTAGGTTTAATGGGTTTTCAATTCGTGCATTATATATTTGACAACAACACGCACACCAAATTTACACACTCTGTTGGACACTCAAAAGTTTCATCTTCTCTATTGGTCCATTTTGTGACATACACTTCTTCGACAACATCCATAAGTGATTTAAAGTTGTGACCTAAATTGGTAATATTATGGTTCATATTTGAATAACTGGCGAAAGGTGCTTTGGTCAACGATAGAGACTCCACCTGTAATTATTAGATCCAGACACAAGACATGTAGTTTACATAACGAACCGCCAACATTTCAAACCTACATACTAATAGATATTTTCACCTTCATGTCTGGTGCCTCATATGTACACGAAAGAGAACATTTTGCTTGAAGTATTCCTTCGACCATCCCTTCAACTGTACTGAGTGACGACGGGGCATACAATAGCAGGGGGTTGTCTTTGTGTTTGTAACAGAAAATTGAAAGATATTTCTTCAAGCTTGGAAGAACATTGTGCCATCTTTGCCTGACATCTGTACGAACAAGACAATATTGTAAACTGTATAGAACATGAATAGAAAGTGAGTTTGATTTGTGTATATTTAGAAACAATTCATGATCCTCTGTGTTCAAGAATGTGTCGCAAAACAGGCGGCGAAAAAGGAACTTGAGAAACAATATTATAAATTTACTGAATAGTGAAGAAAAACATAAAGAAAACATAGATAAATATTCAGACTGTTTAGGAGGTGCAAGGATATATCAAAGTATTACTTCAGTCAAAATGGGGTCAATGTTTGTTAAATAATGTGCTAATGGTCATAACACCATTTAATCGATTGTTTGAATAGACAAACAAATTTTAAATGTTCTTCCAAGCATGAAAATTACAAAATCAATTGCTTTTTCCAGAAACTAATTTGTATATGTGCTAACTTATTTCGTCTAGAGATATTCATTTGTTTTGTCTACTGTGGGTTTGGAGTGGATTCTTGGAACAATCCTTTAGAATACCAATAGTACTTAAAGCATCTTGCGGGTCTGGCACCATGTGGGATTATGGGATTGTCCTGGCGGACGCTGTTGCCTACTTTAGCCTAAATTTTGGGATTGCCGAACACTCTCTTACCAAAACACTTTCTCATATGGCAGTCCCTTCCTATTATTTATAACAAAGTAGTGGAATTTGTTTTTATTTGTCAAAATATACTTTATTCAGTTAAATCCCTTACCGCTGTGGACTGTTTTCAGGTGGAGTCCCTCAAGCCGTCCCTCTGAGTGGTACGCAGAATATATTTACTGGACCGACCCCTGCAGGGACTGTTGGTGAAGGTAGGCACTGTCAGCCATGATTCAGGTTATTCTAGTTGTGTATTTGGACCTTACACGTATGGAAAGAAAACATATAATAATTTATAATCTAGAAGTAAACTAGTCTATGACATATAAACATTACCCATCATGGTTGTATCTTCGTGTAATTACTTTCCCATATTTGCACACGTGCATTTAAGCGATTCTCAATGTTAATTCGTCAATTAAAGCCATATGACGTCATCCATTGTTAACGTCACAAATTCATTTCATTACGTCATCTGAACAATAGGCTGCCTTCAGTGAAATTTATCTGTAGTGTTTTATGTGTTTCTTCATGTTCTCTCTTATAATGGCAATTAGTAATATAGAGAATAACCTACTCTAAACTCGGAATTACAGATTATCTTAACCCCGTGAGAGAATGCTGTAAGATCACCATTTATTCACTTAGGACAGATAATCGGTAATTCCTCATAGGTCGTTTATTATTCTATATATGTAATTTATGATCTAATGTCAATTTCATCATAAATTGAATGTCTGTTTTTCAACTTGACAATGTCACAACATCCCGATTACCCTTAACGTGCTGAACTTGATAGACTTAGTAATCAGACCATGGCGCTGTATGAGAGAGTGTCTGGATTGAGAGAGGGTCAGCTTTCTTGTCGCCCCATGAAACAGTGTCCTATACCACGTTACTGCTGAAAACGACAGTATTTTTGAATTTTAAAACTCATCCCCTAGCCAACTTCAATTGTACCAGTATATCTGATTCACTTAGTGGATGTAACGTCCCAGCAGACTGTCATACCTAAGTTTACATCGAGGTTTACAGAATATATTCAATGAATGTAATTGAATATAATCTATACAGATGTTTATGGACCTTTGGAATCCAGTACAAAAGCTGAATGGACTTATTTTCAAGTTCTAGAGTCAAGCCAGAAATTGATGCTTGTGTTGTGTGGTTTTAGGAACTTTCTTCCCCAGTGGACATACTGGTCTTATATGTAGTGTTATACATGTCACTTTTACCAAGTTCTCTGATCAAACAAGAAATGACGGGATGCTTACATATTGCAGCAAACGTTATTTGCGGCCATGTCAGGGAACAATTACTAATGTTTCATGTAGGGCATCCAGACTTTGGATGACAGCTGACTGGGAAAGACTAGGTTTAATGGATTTTCAATTCGTGCATTCTATATTTGACAACAACACGCACACCAAATTTACACTCTGTTGGACACTCAAAAGTTTCATCTTCTCTATTGGTCCATTTTGTGACATACACTTCTTCGACAACATCCATAAGTGATTTAAAGTTGTGACCTAAATTGGTAATATTATGGTTCATATTTGAATAACTGGCGAAAGGTGCTTTGGTCAACGATAGAGACTCCACCTGTAATTATTAGATCCAGACACAAGACATGTAGTTTACATAACGAACCGCCAACATTTCAAACCTACATACTAATAGATATTTTCACCTTCATGTCTGGTGCCTCATATGTACACGTAAGAGAACATTTTGCTTGAAGTATTCCTTCGACCATCCCTTCAACTGTACTGAGTGACTACGGGGCATACAATAGCAGGGGGTTGTCTTTGTGTTTGTAACAGAAAATTGAAAGATATTTCTTCAAGCTTGGAAGAACATTGTGCCATCTTTGCCTGACATCTGTACGAACAAGACAATATTGTAAACTGTATAGAACATGAATAGAAAGTGAGTTTGATTTGTGTATATTTAGAAACAATTCATGATCCTCTGTGTTCAAGAATGTATCGCAAAACAGGCGGCGAAAAAGGAACTTGAGAAACAATATTATAAATTTACTGAATAGTGAAGAAAAACATAAAGAAAACATAGATAAATATTCAGACTGTTTAGGAGGTGCAAGGATATATCAAAGTATTACTTCAGTCAAAATGGGGTCAATGTTTGTTAAATAATGTGCTAATGGTCATAACACCATTTAATCGATTGTTTGAATAGACAAACAAATTTTAAATGTTCTTCCAAGCATGAAAATTACAAAATCAATTGCTTTTTCCAGAAACTAATTTGTATATGTGCTAACTTATTTCGTCTAGAGATATTCATTTGTTATGTCTACTGTGGGTTTGGAGTGGATTCTTGGAACAATCCTTTAGAATACCAATAGTACTTAAAGCATCTTGCGGGTCTGGCACCATGTGGGATTATGGGATTGTCCTGGCGGACGCTGTTGCCTACTTTAGCCTAAATTTTGGGATTGCCGAACACTCTCTTACCAAAACACTTTCTCATATGGCAGTCCCTTCCTATTATTTATAACAATGTAGTGGAATTTGTTTTTATTTGTCAAAATATACTTTATTCAGTTAAATCCCTTACTGCTGTGGACTGTTTTCAGGTGGAGTCCCTCAAGCCGTCCCTCTGAGTGGTACGCAGAATATATTTACTGGACCGACCCCTGCAGGGACTGTTGGTGAAGGTAGGCACTGTCAGCCATGATTCAGGTTATTCTAGTTGTGTATTTGGACCTTACACGTATGGAAAGAAAACATATAATAATTTATAATCTAGAAGTAAACTAGTCTATGACATATAAACATTACCCATAATTGTTGTATCTTCGTGTAATTACTTTCCCATATTTGCACACGTGCATTTAAGCGATTCTCAATGTTAATTCGTCAATTAAAGCCATATGACGTCATCCATTGTTAACGTCACAAATTCATTTCATTACGTCATCTGAACAATAGGCTGCCTTCAGTGAAATTTATCTGTAGTGTTTTATGTGTTTCTTCATGTTCTCTCTTATAATGGCAATTAGTAATATAGAGAATAACCTACTCTAAACTCGGAATTACAGATTATCTTAACCCCGTGAGAGAATGCTGTAAGATCACCATTTATTCACTTAGGACAGATAATCGGTAATTCCTCATTGGTCGTTTATTATTCTATATATGTAATTTATGATCTAATGTCAATTTCATCATAAATTGAATGTCTGTTTTTCAACTTGACAATGTCACAACATCCCGATTACCCTTAACGTGCTGAACTTGATAGACTTAGTAATCAGACCATGGCGCTGTATGAGAGAGTGTCTGGATTGAGAGAGGGTCAGCTTTCTTGTCGCCCCATGAAACAGTGTCCTATACCACGTTACTGCTGAAAACGACAGTATTTTTGAATTTTAAAACTCATCCCCTAGCCAACTTCAATTGTACCAGTATATCTGATTCACTTAGTGGATGTAACGTCCCAGCAGACTGTCATACCTAAGTTTACATCGAGGTTTACAGAATATATTCAATGAATGTAATTGAATATAATCTATACAGATGTTTATGGACCTTTGGAATCCAGTACAAAAGCTGAATGGACTTATTTTCAAGTTCTAGAGTCAAGCCAGAAATTGATGCTTGTGTTGTGTGGTTTTAGGAACTTTCTTCCCCAGTGGACATACTGGTCTTATATGTAGTGTTATACATGTCACTTTTACCAAGTTCTCTGATCAAACAAGAAATGACGGGATGCTTACATATTGCAGCAAACGTTATTTGCGGCCATGTCAGGGAACAATTACTAATGTTTCATGTAGGGCATCCAGACTTTGGATGACAGCTGACTGGGAAAGACTAGGTTTAATGGGTTTTCAGTTCGTGCATTCTATATTTGACAACAACACGCACACCAAATTTACACACTCTGTTGGACACTCAAAAGTTTCATCTTCTCTATTGGTCCATTTTGTGACATACACTTCTTCGACAACATCCATAACTGATTTAAAGTTGTGACCTAAATTGGTAATATTATGGTTCATATTTGAATATCTGGCGAAAGGTGCTTTGGTCAACGATAGAGACGCCACCTGTGATTATAAGATCCAGACACAAGACAAGTAGTTTACATAACGAACCGCCAACATTTAAAACCTTCATACTAATAGATATTTTCACCTTCATGTCTGGTGCGTCATATGTACACGTAAGAGAACATTTTGCTTGAAGTATTCCTTCGACCATTCCTGCAACTGTACTGAGTGACTACGGGGCATACAATAGCAGGGGGTTGTCTTTGTGTTTGTAACAGAAAATTGAAAGATATTTCTTCAAGCTTGGAAGAACATTGTGCCATCTTTGCCTGACATCTGTACGAACAAGACAATATTGTAAACTGTATAAAACATGAATAGAAAGTGAGTTTGATTTGTGTATATTTAGAAACAATTCATGATCCTCTGTGTTCAAGAATGTGTCGCAAAACAGGCGGCGAAAAAGGAACTTGAGAAACAATATTATAAATTTACTGAATAGTGAAGAAAAACATAAAGAAAACATAGATAAATATTCAGTCTGTTTAGGAGGTGCAAGGATATATCAAAGTATTACTTCAGTCAAAATGGGGTCAATGTTTGTTAAATAATGTGCTAATGGTCATAACACCATTTAATCGATTGTTTGAATAGACAAACAAATTTTAAATGTTCTTCCAAGCATGAAAATTACAAAATCAATTGCTTTTTCCAGAAACTAATTTGTATATGTGCTAACTTATTTCGTCTAGAGATATTCATTTGTTATGTCTACTGTGGGTTTGGAGTGGATTCTTGGAACAATCCTTTAGAATACCAATAGTACTTAAAGCATCTTGCGGGTCTGGCACCATGTGGGATTATGGGATTGTCCTGGCGGACGCTGTTGCCTACTTTAGCCTAAATTTTGGGATTGCCGAACACTCTCTTACCAAAACACTTTCTCATATGGCAGTCCCTTCCTATTATTTATAACAAAGTAGTGGAATTTGTTTTTATTTGTCAAAATATACTTTATTCAGTTAAATCCCTTACCGCTGTGGACTGTTTTCAGGTGGAGTCCCTCAAGCCGTCCCTCTGAGTGGTACGCAGAATATATTTACTGGACCGACCCCTGCAGGGACTGTTGGTGAAGGTAGGCACTGTCAGCCATGATTCAGGTTATTCTAGTTGTGTATTTGGACCTTACACGTATGGAAAGAAAACATATAATAATTTATAATCTAGAAGTAAACTAGTCTATGACATATAAACATTACCCATCATGGTTGTATCTTCGTGTAATTACTTTCCCATATTTGCACACGTGCATTTAAGCGATTCTCAATGTTAATTCGTCAATTAAAGCCATATGACGTCATCCATTGTTAACGTCACAAATTCATTTCATTACGTCATCTGAACAATAGGCTGCCTTCAGTGAAATTTATCTGTAGTGTTTTATGTGTTTCTTCATGTTCTCTCTTATAATGGCAATTAGTAATATAGAGAATAACCTACTCTAAACTCGGAATTACAGATTATCTTAACCCCGTGAGAGAATGCTGTAAGATCACCATTTATTCACTTAGGACAGATAATCGGTAATTCCTCATAGGTCGTTTATTATTCTATATATGTAATTTATGATCTAATGTCAATTTCATCATAAATTGAATGTCTGTTTTTCAACTTGACAATGTCACAACATCCCGATTACCCTTAACGTGCTGAACTTGATAGACTTAGTAATCAGACCATGGCGCTGTATGAGAGAGTGTCTGGATTGAGAGAGGGTCAGCTTTCTTGTCGCCCCATGAAACAGTGTCCTATACCACGTTACTGCTGAAAACGACAGTATTTTTGAATTTTAAAACTCATCCCCTAGCCAACTTCAATTGTACCAGTATATCTGATTCACTTAGTGGATGTAACGTCCCAGCAGACTGTCATACCTAAGTTTACATCGAGGTTTACAGAATATATTCAATGAATGTAATTGAATATAATCTATACAGATGTTTATGGACCTTTGGAATCCAGTACAAAAGCTGAATGGACTTATTTTCAAGTTCTAGAGTCAAGCCAGAAATTGATGCTTGTGTTGTGTGGTTTTAGGAACTTTCTTCCCCAGTGGACATACTGGTCTTATATGTAGTGTTATACATGTCACTTTTACCAAGTTCTCTGATCAAACAAGAAATGACGGGATGCTTACATATTGCAGCAAACGTTATTTGCGGCCATGTCAGGGAACAATTACTAATGTTTCATGTAGGGCATCCAGACTTTGGATGACAGCTGACTGGGAAAGACTAGGTTTAATGGGTTTTCAATTCGTGCATTCTATATTTGACAACAACACGCACACCAAATTTACACTCTGTTGGACACTCAAAAGTTTCATCTTCTCTATTGGTCCATTTTGTGACATACACTTCTTCGACAACATCCATAAGTGATTTAAAGTTGTGACCTAAATTGGTAATATTATGGTTCATATTTGAATAACTGGCGAAAGGTGCTTTGGTCAACGATAGAGACTCCACCTGTAATTATTAGATCCAGACACAAGACATGTAGTTTACATAACGAACCGCCAACATTTCAAACCTACATACTAATAGATATTTTCACCTTCATGTCTGGTGCCTCATATGTACACGTAAGAGAACATTTTGCTTGAAGTATTCCTTCGACCATCCCTTCAACTGTACTGAGTGACTACGGGGCATACAATAGCAGGGGGTTGTCTTTGTGTTTGTAACAGAAAATTGAAAGATATTTCTTCAAGCTTGGAAGAACATTGTGCCATCTTTGCCTGACATCTGTACGAACAAGACAATATTGTAAACTGTATAGAACATGAATAGAAAGTGAGTTTGATTTGTGTATATTTAGAAACAATTCATGATCCTCTGTGTTCAAGAATGTATCGCAAAACAGGCGGCGAAAAAGGAACTTGAGAAACAATATTATAAATTTACTGAATAGTGAAGAAAAACATAAAGAAAACATAGATAAATATTCAGACTGTTTAGGAGGTGCAAGGATATATCAAAGTATTACTTCAGTCAAAATGGGGTCAATGTTTGTTAAATAATGTGCTAATGGTCATAACACCATTTAATCGATTGTTTGAATAGACAAACAAATTTTAAATGTTCTTCCAAGCATGAAAATTACAAAATCAATTGCTTTTTCCAGAAACTAATTTGTATATGTGCTAACTTATTTCGTCTAGAGATATTCATTTGTTATGTCTACTGTGGGTTTGGAGTGGATTCTTGGAACAATCCTTTAGAATACCAATAGTACTTAAAGCATCTTGCGGGTCTGGCACCATGTGGGATTATGGGATTGTCCTGGCGGACGCTGTTGCCTACTTTAGCCTAAATTTTGGGATTGCCGAACACTCTCTTACCAAAACACTTTCTCATATGGCAGTCCCTTCCTATTATTTATAACAATGTAGTGGAATTTGTTTTTATTTGTCAAAATATACTTTATTCAGTTAAATCCCTTACTGCTGTGGACTGTTTTCAGGTGGAGTCCCTCAAGCCGTCCCTCTGAGTGGTACGCAGAATATATTTACTGGACCGACCCCTGCAGGGACTGTTGGTGAAGGTAGGCACTGTCAGCCATGATTCAGGTTATTCTAGTTGTGTATTTGGACCTTACACGTATGGAAAGAAAACATATAATAATTTATAATCTAGAAGTAAACTAGTCTATGACATATAAACATTACCCATAATTGTTGTATCTTCGTGTAATTACTTTCCCATATTTGCACACGTGCATTTAAGCGATTCTCAATGTTAATTCGTCAATTAAAGCCATATGACGTCATCCATTGTTAACGTCACAAATTCATTTCATTACGTCATCTGAACAATAGGCTGCCTTCAGTGAAATTTATCTGTAGTGTTTTATGTGTTTCTTCATGTTCTCTCTTATAATGGCAATTAGTAATATAGAGAATAACCTACTCTAAACTCGGAATTACAGATTATCTTAACCCCGTGAGAGAATGCTGTAAGATCACCATTTATTCACTTAGGACAGATAATCGGTAATTCCTCATTGGTCGTTTATTATTCTATATATGTAATTTATGATCTAATGTCAATTTCATCATAAATTGAATGTCTGTTTTTCAACTTGACAATGTCACAACATCCCGATTACCCTTAACGTGCTGAACTTGATAGACTTAGTAATCAGACCATGGCGCTGTATGAGAGAGTGTCTGGATTGAGAGAGGGTCAGCTTTCTTGTCGCCCCATGAAACAGTGTCCTATACCACGTTACTGCTGAAAACGACAGTATTTTTGAATTTTAAAACTCATCCCCTAGCCAACTTCAATTGTACCAGTATATCTGATTCACTTAGTGGATGTAACGTCCCAGCAGACTGTCATACCTAAGTTTACATCGAGGTTTACAGAATATATTCAATGAATGTAATTGAATATAATCTATACAGATGTTTATGGACCTTTGGAATCCAGTACAAAAGCTGAATGGACTTATTTTCAAGTTCTAGAGTCAAGCCAGAAATTGATGCTTGTGTTGTGTGGTTTTAGGAACTTTCTTCCCCAGTGGACATACTGGTCTTATATGTAGTGTTATACATGTCACTTTTACCAAGTTCTCTGATCAAACAAGAAATGACGGGATGCTTACATATTGCAGCAAACGTTATTTGCGGCCATGTCAGGGAACAATTACTAATGTTTCATGTAGGGCATCCAGACTTTGGATGACAGCTGACTGGGAAAGACTAGGTTTAATGGGTTTTCAGTTCGTGCATTCTATATTTGACAACAACACGCACACCAAATTTACACACTCTGTTGGACACTCAAAAGTTTCATCTTCTCTATTGGTCCATTTTGTGACATACACTTCTTCGACAACATCCATAACTGATTTAAAGTTGTGACCTAAATTGGTAATATTATGGTTCATATTTGAATATCTGGCGAAAGGTGCTTTGGTCAACGATAGAGACGCCACCTGTGATTATAAGATCCAGACACAAGACAAGTAGTTTACATAACGAACCGCCAACATTTAAAACCTTCATACTAATAGATATTTTCACCTTCATGTCTGGTGCGTCATATGTACACGTAAGAGAACATTTTGCTTGAAGTATTCCTTCGACCATTCCTGCAACTGTACTGAGTGACTACGGGGCATACAATAGCAGGGGGTTGTCTTTGTGTTTGTAACAGAAAATTGAAAGATATTTCTTCAAGCTTGGAAGAACATTGTGCCATCTTTGCCTGACATCTGTACGAACAAGACAATATTGTAAACTGTATAAAACATGAATAGAAAGTGAGTTTGATTTGTGTATATTTAGAAACAATTCATGATCCTCTGTGTTCAAGAATGTGTCGCAAAACAGGCGGCGAAAAAGGAACTTGAGAAACAATATTATAAATTTACTGAATAGTGAAGAAAAACATAAAGAAAACATAGATAAATATTCAGTCTGTTTAGGAGGTGCAAGGATATATCAAAGTATTACTTCAGTCAAAATGGGGTCAATGTTTGTTAAATAATGTGCTAATGGTCATAACACCATTTAATCGATTGTTTGAATAGACAAACAAATTTTAAATGTTCTTCCAAGCATGAAAATTACAAAATCAATTGCTTTTTCCAGAAACTAATTTGTATATGTGCTAACTTATTTCGTCTAGAGATATTCATTTGTTATGTCTACTGTGGGTTTGGAGTGGATTCTTGGAACAATCCTTTAGAATACCAATAGTACTTAAAGCATCTTGCGGGTCTGGCACCATGTGGGATTATGGGATTGTCCTGGCGGACGCTGTTGCCTACTTTAGCCTAAATTTTGGGATTGCCGAACACTCTCTTACCAAAACACTTTCTCATATGGCAGTCCCTTCCTATTATTTATAACAAAGTAGTGGAATTTGTTTTTATTTGTCAAAATATACTTTATTCAGTTAAATCCCTTACCGCTGTGGACTGTTTTCAGGTGGAGTCCCTCAAGCCGTCCCTCTGAGTGGTACGCAGAATATATTTACTGGACCGACCCCTGCAGGGACTGTTGGTGAAGGTAGGCACTGTCAGCCATGATTCAGGTTATTCTAGTTGTGTATTTGGACCTTACACGTATGGAAAGAAAACATATAATAATTTATAATCTAGAAGTAAACTAGTCTATGACATATAAACATTACCCATAATTGTTGTATCTTCGTGTAATTACTTTCCCATATTTGCACACGTGCATTTAAGCGATTCTCAATGTTAATTCGTCAATTAAAGCCATATGACGTCATCCATTGTTAACGTCACAAATTCATTTCATTACGTCATCTGAACAATAGGCTGCCTTCAGTGAAATTTATCTGTAGTGTTTTATGTGTTTCTTCATGTTCTCTCTTATAATGGCAATTAGTAATATAGAGAATAACCTACTCTAAACTCGGAATTACAGATTATCTTAACCCCGTGAGAGAATGCTGTAAGATCACCATTTATTCACTTAGGACAGATAATCGGTAATTCCTCATAGGTCGTTTATTATTCTATATATGTAATTTATGATCTAATGTCAATTTCATCATAAATTGAATGTCTGTTTTTCAACTTGACAATGTCACAACATCCCGATTACCCTTAACGTGCTGAACTTGATAGACTTAGTAATCAGACCATGGCGCTGTATGAGAGAGTGTCTGGATTGAGAGAGGGTCAGCTTTCTTGTCGCCCCATGAAACAGTGTCCTATACCACGTTACTGCTGAAAACGACAGTATTTTTGAATTTTAAAACTCATCCCCTAGCCAACTTCAATTGTACCAGTATATCTGATTCACTTAGTGGATGTAACGTCCCAGCAGACTGTCATACCTAAGTTTACATCGAGGTTTACAGAATATATTCAATGAATGTAATTGAATATAATCTATACAGATGTTTATGGACCTTTGGAATCCAGTACAAAAGCTGAATGGACTTATTTTCAAGTTCTAGAGTCAAGCCAGAAATTGATGCTTGTGTTGTGTGGTTTTAGGAACTTTCTTCCCCAGTGGACATACTGGTCTTATATGTAGTGTTATACATGTCACTTTTACCAAGTTCTCTGATCAAACAAGAAATGACGGGATGCTTACATATTGCAGCAAACGTTATTTGCGGCCATGTCAGGGAACAATTACTAATGTTTCATGTAGGGCATACAGACTTTGGATGACAGCTGACTGGGAAAGACTAGGTTTAATGGGTTTTCAATTCGTGCATTCTATATTTGACAACAACACGCACACCAAATTTACACACTCTGTTGGACACTCAAAAGTTTCATCTTCTCTATTGGTCCATTTTGTGACATACACTTCTTCGACAACATCCATAACTGATTTAAAGTTGTGACCTAAATTGGTAATATTATGGTTCATATTTGAATAACTGGCGAAAGGTGCTTTGGTCAACGATAGAGACGCCACCTGTAATTATTAGATCCAGACACAAGACATGTAGTTTACATAACGAACCGCCAACATTTCAAACCTACATACTAATAGATATTTTCACCTTCATGTCTGGTGCCTCATATGTACACGTAAGTGAACATTTTGCTTGAAGTATTCCTTCGACCATTCCTTCGACTGTACTGAGTGACTACGGGGCATACTATAGCAGGGGGTTGTCTTTGTGTTTGTAACAGAAAATTGAAAGATATTTCTTCAAGCTTGGAAGAACATTGTGCCATCTTTGCCTGACATCTGTACGAACAAGACAATATTGTAAACTGTATAAAACATGAATAGAAAGTGAGTTTGATTTGTGTATATTTAGAAACAATTCATGATCCTCTGTGTTCAAGAATGTGTCACAAAACAGGCGGCGAAAAAGGAACTTGAGAAACAATATTATAAATTTACTGAATAGTGAAGAAAAACATAAAGAAAACATAGATAAATATTCAGTCTGTTTATGAGGTTCAAGGATATATCAAAGTATTACTTCAGTCAAAATGGGGTCAATGTTTGTTAAATAATGTGCTAATGGTCATAACACCATTTAATCGATTGTTTGAATAGACAAACAAATTTTAAATGTTCTTCCAAGCAATGAAAATTACAAAATCAATTGCTTTTTCCAGAAACTAATTTGTATATGTGCTAACTTATTTCATCTAGAGATATTCATTTGTTATGTCTACTGTGGGTTTGGAGTGGATTCTTGGAACAATCCTTTAGAATACCAATAGTACTTAAAGCATCTTGCGGGTCTGGCACCATGTGGGATTATGGGATTGTCCTGGCGGACGCTGTTGCCTACTTTAGCCTAAATTTTGGGATTGCCGAACACTCTCTTACCAAAACACTTTCTCATATGGCAGTCCCTTCCTATTATTTATAACAAAGTAGTTTGAAAACGACACATCATTAGCATCTTTAATTGATTTACGTACATGAAAGGTATAATGATTTTCTGTTTTCGTTTCAAGCTACCCTGGACCTACAAATAAGTGACGCACAAGAAGTCTTTGTTGAAGCAGAAGCCTTCAGAACTGCAAAAAGAAAGCTGAAGGAATTTGGCCATGTTACCATCTGTGGTGCTCCAGGAGAAGGGAAAACCACGACAGCTCTCATGTTGGGTTCACAGTACAGGAGAAAGGGGTACAAGCTGGCGTTTGTGGACAGGATTGATGCGTTTGACATGGATAGCTTCTTGAGTTCAGCACCTAGAGTATTTCTGATCATAGATATGTTTGGATTGGTTGGGCTATCCACAGATATTTCCGAGCTGAAACTATTTTTGAGTAAGCTTGCTAAGAAAAGAGGTGAAAAGGAGGCTCGTGGAGTTTCTGATCCAGCACAACAACCATCGAAGGATATCCGTGTTGTGTTCACATCCAAGACCTACAACTTCCACGTTGGGTTTGCCCAGATGCAGTATGAGGAAAAAACAAGGATGGATATAACAAATCAAACGAAACACAGATATACTCAGGAAGAGAAGAAAGCAATATTTGAGAAACACAGAAACCTCCACAATAAGTATTCTGATGAAGGTAATGAAAATGACACAGATTATGAAGATATGTTACAATGCGACCTGTGGGACACCGATTCGGTGTTTGGATTTCCACTTACTTGTAAACTATTTGTTGAATTGTCATCTTTTTCCAAACATAAGATGAACTTTTTCAAGGAACCCCTGTTTTATCTTAGATTAGAACTTGAAAGCTTACTGGGATCAAAAACTGATCGATCAGCCATATTGGTTCTTATGCTACTGTGTGAGGAGAAGTTAGATTTGGCCATGTTGGAATCAGCAGGAAAGGACAAGACACTGGACAACATGATTAGAAATGTGTCAGACTTGTTCCCAATAGCTTCACGTGCAGGAATGTACGAAGCAGCAAAGAGCTTCAGAGGAACATACTTCTCACATGGAGATACCGTTGGATTTGCCCACTCTTCCATCTATGATGCCTGTGCTTGTGTCTTGTATGACATCAGTCCAACATTTGTGCTGACTCACTGCAGTGACAACTTCATATATGAGAGAGTGCAACCCAAGCCAGTATCAGAAACCGAGATTGATGATCACCTTCATGTCATCCACATATCAGAAAGTTATTATGACATTCTAACCACACGGTTTGCAAAGTCAATAAAAGATGGGCATTTTTCCAAATCAGTGACACACCCAATTCTCCAGCAAGACAAAATAGTTGATCAACTGCTTGAAAAACTTCGGTGTGATGATTCCATGGAAGAAAGTTGGTTTCACAAAAGAGAAATGGGCGACAGTTTCCTATTCTGGACTGTACTTGGACATAGTTCAATGTTTCCCAAATATATAGAAAAGAAAACTGGCGAAGAATTTACGCAAAGAGAAATCACAGAATCCTTTGAAGGTTGTGTATTTAAAAACAATGTGACATTGTTAAAGTGGCTTTTCTCTAGAATTGATCATCCAGTCCTTGGTATCACCATGAATAGATTGCTTTTTCTGTCTGCTAGACATGGAAGTTCTGAAACACTTCTTCATCTATTAGAAGAGGGTGGTGATACAGTCACTACTGCTGAAAATTACAAGACCATCATACATATAGCGTGCAGGACAGGACAGCAGAAGATACTAAATGTGTTACAAGAGCACAAAAGCGACCTCTTTAAGACTGTTGTAATGAACTTTGTAGATGATGAAGGCAAAACTCCACTCATGGAAGCAGCACAGGCAGGATCAAATGACTGTTACCAGATTTTGAAATCAATGTCAAAGAAGAACATTAGGGACAAGTCCGGGAATGCAATAGTACACTATGCATCTTCAGGTGGTAACATTGCTGTAGTACAAGACATCGTGTCATCTTCTAACATCAACATTAGAAGACAGTATGGGCGTACACCTGTAATGACAGCAGCTGCAGCAGGACACCAACGTCTGTTTGATCTCCTCGTATCAAAGAAGGCTGACCTGACACTGGTGGATAACCATGGTGAAAGCTTCCTTCATCTTGCCTGTATTGGAGGTAACAAAGCTATAGTGCAACATGTCTTGTCACCCTCCAACATCAATACTAGAGGAGAAGGTGGACATACACCTGTCATGGTAGCAGCTGGTAAAGGACACAAAAGTGTGTTTGATCTCCTCGTATCAAAGAAGGCTGACCTGACACTGCTGGATGACCATGGTGACAGTTTACTTCATCTTGCCTGTATTGGAAGTAATACAGCTATAGTGCAACATGTCTTGTCACCCTCCAACATCAATACTAGAGGACAGAATGGACGTACACCTGTAATGGCAGCAGCTGTAGCAGGACACCAAAGTGTGTTTGATCTCCTCGTATCAAAGAAGGCTGACCTGACACTGGTGGATAACCATGGTGACAGTTTACTTCATCTTGCCTGTATTGGAGGTAACGCAGCTATAGTGCAACATGTCTTGTCACCCTCCAACATCAATACTAGAGGACAGAATGGACGTACACCTGTAATGGCAGCAACTGTAGCAGGACACCAAAGTGTGTTTGATCTCCTTGAATCAAAGAAGGCTGACCTTACACTGGTGGATAACCATGGTGATAGCTTTCTTCATCTTGCCTGTATTGGAGGTAACACAGCTATACTGCAACATGTCTTGTCACCCTCCAACATCAATACTAGAGGACAGAATGGACGTACACCTGTAATGGCAGCAGCTGTAGCAGGACACCAAAGTGTGTTTGATCTCCTTGAATCAAAGAAGGCTGACCTTACACTGGTGGATAACCATGGTGATAGCTTTCTTCATCTTGCCTGTATTGGAGGTAACACAGCTATACTGCAACATGTCTTGTCACCCTCCAACATCAATACTAGAGGACAGAATGGACGTACACCTGTAATGGCAGCAGCTGTAGCAGGACACCAAAGTGTGTTTGATCTCCTTGAATCAAAGAAGGCTGACCTGACAATGGTGGATAACCATGGTGATAGCTTACTTCATCTTGCCTGTATTGGAGGTAACACAGCTATAGTGCAACATGTTGTCTCACCTTCTAACATCAATACTAGAGGAGAAGGTGGACATACACCTGTCATGGCAGCAGCTGTAGCAGGACACCAAAGTGTGTTTGATCTCCTTGAATCAAAGAAGGCTGACCTTACACTGGTGGATAACCATGGTGATAGCTTTCTTCATCTTGCCTGTATTGGAGGTAACACAGCTATTCTGCAACATGTCTTGTCACCCTCCAACATCAATACTAGAGGACAGAATGGACGTACACCTGTAATGACAGCAGCTGTAGCAGGACACCAAAGTGTGTTTGATCTCCTCGTGTCAAAGAAGGCTGACCTGACACTGCTGGATGACAGTGGTAATAGCTTACTTCATCTTGCCTGTATTGGAAGTAATACAGCTATACTGCAACATGTCTTGTCACCCTCCAACATCAATACTAGAGGACAGAATGGACGTACACCTGTAATGGCAGCAGCTGTAGCAGGACACCAAAGTGTGTTTGATCTCCTCGTATCAAAGAAGGCTGACCTGACACTGGTGGATAACCATGGTGACAGTTTACTTCATCTTGCCTGTATTGGAGGTAACACAGCTATAGTACAACATGTTGTGTCACCTTCGAACATCAACACTAGAGGACAGAATGGACGTACACCAGTCATGGTAGCAGCTTGTAAAGGACACCAAAAGGTGTTTGATCTCCTTGTGTCAGAGAAGGCTGATCTGACACTGCTGGATTACCATGGTGATAGTTTACTTCATCATGCCTGTATTGGAGGTAACACAACTATGTGCAACATGTCTTGTTACCCGGTAACATAAATAGTAGAGGATGTAATTGGTATACACCAGTCATGACAGCAGCTGGTAAAGGACACCAACGTGTGTTTGATCTCTTCGTATCAAACAAGGCTGACCTGACACTGCTGGATGACCATGGTTATAGCTTACTTCATCATGCCTGCACTGGTGGTAACACAGCTATAGTACAACATGTCTTGTCACCCTCTAACATAAATAGTAGAGGACCCTATGGAGATACGCCAGTCATGGTAGCAGCTTGTAAAGGACACCAAAAGGTGTTTGATCTCCTCGTGTCAAAGAAGGCTGATCTGACACTGCTGGATGACCATGGTAATAGTTTACTTCATCATGCCTGTGCTGGTGGTAACACGGTTATAGTGCAACATGTCTTGTCACCCTCCAACATCAACTTTGGTGGACAAAGTGGTTTGACTCCAGTTGTGTTCGCAGCTATTCGAGGCCGCCAAAGAGTGTATGACCTCCTGGTGTCAAGGAATGCTGACCTGACGCAGTGGATAGCATTTGTAATAGGTCGCTTCGTCTTGCCTAACGTGAGGTCAAGACAACAATAGTATGGCTGCCCGTACCACCAACGTAATACGGAATAAAAGCTGCTCACATTACATTATGAACCTTTATTCTAGCACATGTTTTCAAAGAAGAAAAGCTGTCAAATATACGTTTTAGCTGTAGACAGGCGTCAGAGCAACATGTTGCTCCCAGCATTCAGTCTCTTAGTACATCATAAGCTTTTGTTTATGAAACGCTATGAAGGTTTATACGAAAAGGCGGTTCCCGTCACAGTACCACCCACCCCAACACACACGCATGCACTGACGCACGCACACACGCACAAACCACACTCACACTCTTTCTTAAAATGGCATTTCTACGAACATGTGTCGTTGTTTTATCTGGTTCTAACCATCTATTCTCCACGTTTGGTAGCTATCTTCACATTTTACTAAAACTGTCATCAGCATCATTTTTCTTTTGAAATTAAAGTTTTAGTTAATTGTTTTCTTAAAATCATCCATCAATTTAAATGATTAGAACCGATTTTACTACATCGATCGGTTTATATTCTTCCTGCCTGCTGAGGAGTGAAGAGTTCACAACCAAAACATACAGTTCTGAAGTTGAAACTGATTGTTGGTGAGAGGTGGTTTTGCAGTACCATCATATGATTGACAATGTTCTATTCATAGAAGACATGAAGAATACATTCTCCTTCCATCTTACCAAACGAGCATTTATTTGTACTGACTAACTTCATTCTCAGGGGTTCTTTTTACATAATTACCTTCGCTTACAAAGCAGCTGTGCTGCATACTTTCGGTGCCTATCAAAAAGTGGCGTATTACGATGAGAGAAAAATATGTTTGTGCTATTATCGGAGTCCGTAATTAGGGTCGACAACCCACTCACAACAAAGGACTCAACCAATGCCGCTTCACACCATGTGTTTGCTTCGACCAAAGCGTTTGCCTTTTTATTTTCTCCTAAATGAAATCTTTAGTCACACCAAATACAGTTGACAGCAGGACACAACATCTAAAAGCTTATCTTTGTGTAGGGGACACGGGTGGCTGTTTGCTGTGCAGAGTTGCGTCCCTTGAACCCGCCAGAAACCTATGATTGTGGGTTCGAATCCCGGTTCGCCCCGATTATGTTTCTAGGTTTGTCAGCACCATACCCGTGCTCGTGGGTTTCACCGAAGTGGTAAACGTCTGATACCTGCATCACTTCGGGCTTTCCTCCCACATTAAGCTGACACGCTGTGATATAACTGGAATACTGTTAACCCGGCGTTAAACCCAACTCACTCACTCACTCACTCACTCACTCACTCTTTGTGTAGTTTGCTTGTAACTTATACCTTGTTTATGGGGTGACAACATCATTGCATATTGACTGAAAATAATTCATACCTTTTAGATAAAAGTTACTATCAGTGACACTATTCCATACTTATGTGGTATAACCTGAAACACAACTGATATCACCTTTTGGAATGCATTTCAAGATTCGATAAAATCACGTGATGGTCACCCCAGAAATAAATTTAGAGACAGAAAAAGAACTTTTTTGTAGACGGTAAACAATAATGGCAGTTAATTTGTGGTTATTTGTTGATACTATGACATCCCTCCTGATCTGTCCCCGACTTTGGAAGGTACTTATGAGTTAGAGAGACTTTCAGTAATGTATTGTACATTTTTGAATGGATAATCTCTCTGAAAAAAATATACTACATCTAAATGGCTGCCGTCTGTAAATAATTGATTCTGGACCAGATAATCCAGTGATTGACATCCTGATGAAGGGCCACATGTAGCCATTTCACGTCGTTACAAAACAATAAAGACGTTACCATAAACGAATAATGCCTTCATGTTCTTTTCAACTTCTACGACTATCGAAGACTTTATTTCCATTGTCTTGATTCACGCTAGCTGCGGTATACCGGAAATCCACTGAAGCGTTTGCGCTCATGAAAACAACGCATGCATTCCAAGATTATCCCAATAAACAAAGTATAGGTTTCAAAGTCAATAAATATCAGATTCTGCCATTTTCTCACACACAGCTTTATTCTGTGACACGATGTATCCAAACAGTCAATGTTCTAGGTATAGCATGTGAGTGAGCGAGTATGGTTTTACGCCGCTTTTAACAATATTCCAGCAATATCACGGCTTACGACATCAGAAATGTGCTTCACACATTGTACCCATGTCGGGAATCGAACCCGGGTCTTCGGCGTGACGAGTATACCATTCGAAGTACATTCAAGCTGAAACCATCCAAAACAACAAACTTACTTGCATGTCCTCTTGTACCAAACACAGCCAGCTTGTCCCAAAAGAAACTCAATCCGTAATTATCCAAAAATATGGTTAATACGGTGATACATGCACACATCACAACACGGTGGTAACTCTCAAATAATTCTGGCTTTAAATTGACAATATAATAAATTCCACTCCTACCATAAATACACATATAATGCATGCATATGCAATGTATTACTTACAAATTTCGTGGCAGAATCATGGCACTTACAACAGCCGTACATCAGTTTATCACTCACAGGGTATATCAATTTTATTGCTATTTTGTAAATATTTTAGTAAAGTCTTTAAATTGTCTCGTTTCTGTTTAAGCCTGTTTCTGTCTCAAGGTAGATTACTTGAGCAGTATGAAAACAACAACAATTAGACTAGCTCCAGTACTTACATAACTACTAACATAACAATAGCCACTTTCACCTATACAGTCACCAACAGCACAAGCGTCTTGCTTTGTTTCCCTTCCCAGCTTCTGTATTATTTGTTTCTTCTGTTTTTGCTGACTTTGCTAAATTAGTTGGTCACTTACACTTGAAGGAAATCAGTGGTTCTGTTGACTGGATTCATATCAGTGGATGATATATTTGTTGTGTTCAGGATCTCTATTAGGTTAGTTTGTGTTTGGTTCATATTTATGTATCTTGTAGATATGTCTGTGTATTTAGTTTTATGAATTAAATGTATTAAGGTAATGCATTGATTGTAATTATTTATATTTTATATATATCTATATATGTCAAACTGAAAATGTTTAAAAACATAAACTAGTACTTAATAATAACATGTTATCTCGATATCTTCAGATATTCCATACCTTCCCTCTTAATTTGTTAAACACTTCAGTTAAATCTATAATCAAATTTAACTATTAATCACTACTTAAATACCATCTAGCTACATGTGTGAATGCAGTATGTATGTGTGTAGATTATGATTGAATGGATACGTATGAAAAGGTCATTTTACATGTTCTTAATTTTATTGGCCATTTCCTTTTTCTTCTGCGGCCTTATTGTTTCAATTTTTCTAGAATATGGCAATCGATGTTACGATGCCTCTGATCTGCCAACGCTGACATAGTTGCCAGCTCATTGCCACACAGTGGTAAGTTATGTGTATATTATGTTTATATCATGGCAATCTGTAGAGGCGGTATTTATGTAACCGTCTTAAGTATTTTTATATGTAATTTGGCTTAAAACCACAAGGGTAAGTGTAACTACTGCTCAGCATGTTTGATACATTAATGTAAAATATCAAGTATAAATAATGTTTATAGTATGCATAGCATATTAAACTGGATGAGCCGTTTATGCATTGGTGTGTTGATACTATGTGATATGTTTGTTATATTTCATCTATTAGATATTTTCATTGTATTTTTATACATATTTGCAGAGTTCAGAAACAACTAGCGTATGTGCAAATAAAATCAGCTGTCCACTCACACCCCAGTAGCCTGTTCTGTGTTTACTGCCCTAACCGGAGCCTTGCCCGCTACTACATATCCTGGAGGATAAATAGAGGTTATCACGTGAGTGTGTTTGGGGATGGTAAATATCCTGCATTAGGAATAAACATTGTATTTAGCGAGCCTTGCCACCAGTTGTGTGTTTAAGGACATTCAAAGGGTGTATGACCAACTGTCAAGGAATGCTGATCTGACACAGTGGACAGCAATTGTAATAGATAAATTTCAACCTGATGTCAGGATGGCAATAGTAAAGCTGCCCACCCAACTCCATCTAGTTGCAGCTCCTGAAGCCACCATTCAACTCTCCACCACAGGTTTTCAAAGATGAAGACAGCCTCCTTGGTCTCATGGATAGAGCATCTGCCCAGAAAGCAGAAGGTGGGTTGTTCGATACCCAGCCACGTCATTCCGAAAGATGTAAAAGATTGTACTCCTTGTTATCCTGCTTGGCGCTCACACTAAGCAAAGTGTGCAGAATCACAACATGTATACTTAATCGGATGACCAATTCCCTCATTATTGGTTAACTCTGCTCTGATTATGGTTTATTAATGCGAACGAAGCCAACAGACATTCAGTACTTGGTGTTGACAAAGGATCATTATCACTCACATCTAGGGCTTCAAACCTACCACCAGTGGATCCTCACATGGTTAAGGGACACAACTCTTCATATCAACTTGTGGTGCTACAGACCATCTGGCTGGTGTTACCATCTGTGCCTCCCAGTCTCACCTAAATACTGTACATATTCAGCAGCCATTTTGACCATACAATATCCTTCTAAATGCATGAGAGACACAGGCTTCTGGGATCCTTGTACGGTCAGGAATACTCCTTGAGTACCAAGAAAATTACAAGTAATTTGGTAAATGTTTATTACATGATATAGTTAATAAATTCATTGATAGGAAAAAGTCTTTACAAAATGTTGATATTCTGAAAAAGAATTCAGGATGATTTCTACTCAGAACAAAACTGTACAAACAGCATTAGGAAATGTACAATATTGAAATTGTTCACATGAAAGAGCATAATCTTGCAGCATGATGAGATACTGGGTGATACTACCTGCTACACAATAGGCTTTTAGAACAGTGTACTACCTATTAACAATTTCTTTCTTACTCGGTAAATATACATACAGCAGCATTTAAGCATTAAACAGATTAATATAAGTATTGATTTCTAGTCAGGAATTTATCTAGTATTCCAAAATAGTAGCCCTTCAAAAGCAAAATCAGGATTTTTTTATTTTGTCCAAGATTGAGTTTTATAAAAGTTACAAATTCTTACCTCTTTTAAAAAAATGTATGTTAACATTAACTTCAATAATGTAATACTAAGCATTAAAGCCTCTTCTCATTATGGGTCCTGACATCAATGAAATAGTTGACCTGACCAAGCCATCACATTTCATATAACATTCTATATTTCACATGATCAGGGAATGTTTTAATACCAATTTGGGATTTCATAATGATATTTGCTGCAGCCTCTGAACAAGCCTAGACAAACCCCTCCTAGGTATCTATACATATAAAACAGCGGACTATTGTTATCCAAAGCAGGAACAACTCAGCTTTGAGATCACCCAAGGGATTGCAATGAACATGCATCTGGGGCTTCATTCCATGACCAAAGTCGGGTTCATCGTGATTGGGATAACAAGAGACAAGTGTATGTGGTTTAAATGCAGTCATGGACCAAGCGTAATATTTCTTTAAAAAAACACCAAAATATCTGTTTTTTTACATATGCTGACCTTGGAAAAGTGATGTGTAAATTCAGCACGTGTCATCAAAAACACTTATTATTCCTGTTTAATCACCATACTTAAAAAATTGTTACAAAAAGTAAAACATTATTGCAACCAACATTTCATGAATTTGGCAGCAACACCCCAATGATCAAATTCAAAATCTTGTTTCATGATATTTTCATAATTTTACCAGCATAATCTTTTCTAGTGTTTGGATCTACTGAAAGCAAAGTAAGCTCTTGTGAAAAGCAATACAACGAAACACAAAGACAAGCATAGCAACACTACAACAGCCGACAACCAAGCCTCCGCGCCACCCTGAGCCAGTCAACATGTCTGAATTATCACAGATACTAGCTACCACACAACTATGCATAGAAGACTAACTGATCTAAAACTGCCTATGTCTATTCAAACTTATCGCAAAATACAAACTTAGAAAATTTAGTCTGCAGCACAAACATGGTTCATTTCTACAATGCATCATGCAAGCTGATGCTATGAACTCACCCAGATTATCAGTAAAATGGCAACAAACCACAACATACTACCATTGCATAATGAAAGGAAAGTTCTCAGGAAAATAGTCTTTAAGTAGTTATGATGCTGAAAATTTGGGTCCTCATCACAGGATCATAGACAAATACCACCTTGGTTGGATCCACAAAAACAGTAATATTGCCTGCAGACGAACCAGAATTTGTGTTTCAAATCCAAGATCCAGACACACCGAAGGGGCATAACTCTGCAATGGTTAATTTCATCATAGGTATAACCAGAGTGGCTAATCTTTGTTTTCATGTATAACAATTATCATCTTGATCAGTATGAACAGACACGCAATATTCTTATGTAAAATACAAACAGGAAATTACTTCACAGACTAGCAACATCAATGAGGTAACTGGTATGTTTCGTCATATAAAAACGTCCAAGCACTTATCTAACACCGAAATCTGACATTTGATTGCACTTGCCTCTGGTGATGTCGGCACCACTCAATCACCTTTACGCAGTAAAAAAACATATCTACAAAAATCTCCAAGAGAAAGTTATTGAATGTGAAACATGTACATGAAGTATTTGATTGGTATTTAGGAGTGGGTTGAACAGGAAGACTTCGCACTTTAATTTCAAGGGTAAATAACACAGATGTTTTGTCCTCAGTGTTTCCTGTCTCCTACTATCTACAATATTTGAGCAGTTAATTTGCACAGAGAGAAAATATGGATATTTTATTTGTATAGCGATGTAGCTGCAGAAAACTCTCAATAAACTCCTTCTTTTGATGTCTGATGATGTCCTGATGGTCAGTTCCTACATGTCCAAGTATGTTGCTATGAATTGTTCTTGACTATTCCCACCACAGGGAAACTAGTGAGTGAGAGAATGAGTAGGGTGTTGTGCTGTTTTAGCATTGTTCAATTCATATCAAGCCTGGGGAAACTAAGCATGGAGAAACCAAGCATGGAGAAACCAAGCATAGAGAAACCAAGCATGGAGAAACCAGGGATCGAGAAACCAAGCATGGAGAAACCAAGCATGGAGAAACCAGGCATGGAGAAACCAAGCATGGAGAAACCAAGCATGGAGAAACCAGGCATGGAGAAACCAAGCATGGAGAAACCAGGCATGGAGAAACCAAGCATTGAGGAACCAAGCATTGAGGAACCAGGCATGGAGAAACCAGGCATGGAGAAACCAGGGATGGAGAAACCAAGCATGGAGAAACCAGGCATGGAGAAACCAAGCATTGAGGAACCAAGCATGGAGAAACCAAGCATGGAGAAACCAGGCATGGAGAAACCAAGCATTGAGGAACCAAGCATTGAGGAACCAAGCATGGAGAAACCAAGCATGGAGAAACCAGGCATTGAGAAACCAAGCATGGAGAAACCAAGCATGGAGAAACCAGGCATGGAGAAACCAGGCATGGATAAACGAAGCTTGGAAAAACCAAGCATGGATAAATCAAGCATGGAGAAACCAAGCACGGAGAAACTAGGCATGGATAAACTATGCATGGATAAACTAGGCATGGATAAACCAAGCATGGAGAAACCAGGCATGGATAAACTAAGCATAGAGAAACCAAGCATAGAGAAACCAAGCATGGAGACACTAGGCATGGATAAACTAAGCATAGAGAAACCAAGCATGGAGAAACCAAGCATGGGAAACTAAGCATTGGCTTCACACATTGAACCCAGGCTTTTGAAAAGTAAGCAATGATTTCTCCACAACACTACTCCAAGGCCCCCCACAGGAACACTACCAGACTGATGCTGTGATACAACAACCAAGGAGTGATGACTGACAAGATGAGGTGATACAAGGAAGCTGATAGCTCTGCAAATTAGGTGCCCATCATCTCCACCAAGAAGATGAAGAACTAATCAACAAGGTACATAAATTACAAGAATAAATACAAGAAACAAATACCTTATACTTGAAGATTTTACAGTTCAATTAGATTAAAGATGAATAGCAATCATCATAACATAAAATAGAAGAAAATGATGGTGATGAATGACCAACAAACTCCCTTAGTTCATTGGAGAGTAATATGCAAATTATCAATATTAAATGATGCAAATGACAGTGAGGGTAATCTCCCCTTACGGCTGTTGTTTTAATGAATTAATCCATCCAAAGCCTGAACAATATAAACCAAATGCATGGATGTGCTTCACTGATTTGCGGATTATTGTCTTAATGAAATATTTTGGCATGTCTAAGACAACATTGATTTCAGATCTGTGCATGGGTCTCAAACAAAGACAAGCTACAAATAAAGGTAACGAATGCAATTATTAAGCACATACATGTCATAAAAATAAACTTCTGAAATAGACGAAGATCTGTAAATGGCAAGTCATTAACATCATTAAGACATATCTAACAAGCCCAAGTTGACTTTTACTTCAGACAACTAAAATCATGATAAAATAGTAACTTAAATCACCAGGAATCAAAACTCAAATATGATCACTATAACATCATATTTCTTAGGGACAAATTCAAAAGAAAAACAATTAAAATAGAAGTATAAGACACTATCATTGTTACACAGTGTCTAGGCAGATAATAAGCTGAATATTATCTTCAAAACCCTGATTTCAAGGAGGATGTACAAAACTGGGATTACGTGGAATATATTACACAATAATTTTTAATGAGGGAAAACTATTTTGACTTAAAAAATGCAAAGAAAAAATACCCTATTCCTTCAAAATAAAATTCATAGAACAAATTAAATATGCATCTGCCTAAAGTTCAGTAGTCCATCACTGTGACCTTACAACTCTATCAATAGTTAATTCTGGGGGTGAGTGAATGAGTATGGTTTTACGCTGATTTGGGCAATATTATGACAGGGGACACCAGAAATGGGCTTCACACACTGTACCATGTAGGGAATCGAACCTGGGTCTTCGGTGTGATGAGCAAACGTTTAAACCAGTAGACAATCTCACTGACCCATTTAGTTCTAGAAGAAAATGTTTGTGAGACTGAATGCAAAGATCTCTGGCTCTCTGCACAGGATGATCAATAGGCTGTACCTCTACACATCCCCAACCCATCAGGAACACTCCCTACATGGGGCAGATGCAGTCATAGTGTCATATCAATTATTTATAATAGATTTCAATTCTGGTTATGAAACAATGTCAAGCATGGTAAAGCAGGTAATTAATAATTTTGCCGTTAATAAAATCAATTAATTAAATGACACTGATTAACCATTTATGGCACATTTTTGTTCTCTATAACCATGTGTTCAGCATCTTGTACCCAGAAACTGCAACATCAGCAACTTTCTCAGATTCACATTTTTTGGTCAGTTTGTAAATACTGAAACTGACTTCCACATTTGGATGTTGAAGGTACACATATTTTAATGAACTATTACACAGGTTTCTTTGCTAATATTGGACATAAGGAAGTACCGACTGTTCAGAGACCCAGAAAATGAAGCCTGTGCTATCTACCTGTAGTATATACTATGCAACAGTGTCAGTAAGGGGTTTACTTCCATGCTGCTTTCAGTAACAGTCCAGCTATATCACAGCTGGACCACCAGAATGGGCTTCAAACCCTATTCGATGACGAGCTAACGCTTAACCCACTAGGCTCCCCAGTGCTTCAGATGGTAGTAGCGAGAGACTGGTGAATGGGGGGAGGGAAGCAGCGGACGTGCTCCACCGGCATACTCTCCGTGTCACTTGTCTTCATGTATTTGTTGAGAACGGAGAAAATCTGGTTGTTGAGGATCTGGAACTTGCGGATGCGATCCACCATTCTCTTCAGTTGCTAAAAACACAAATGAGTGAGTGAGTGAGTGAGTGAGTGAGTGAGTGAGTGAGTGAGTGAGTGAGTGAGTGAGTGAGTGAGTGAGTGAGTGAGTGAGTGAGTGAGTGAGTGAGTGAGTGAGTGAGTGAGTGAGTGAGTGAGTGAGTGTACATCATTGTCAGCACATCAAGTACATTGCTGTCTGGACCAGACTTACGGGTGATCAGGTCAGCTATGTGACAGCTGTTACTATGTTCTCTGTTGTAAGAGGCGACTAAAGGGATTGGGCGGGTGGTCAGGCTTGCTGACTTGGTTGATGCAGATCATCGTATCACAAATGTATAGATCGATGCTCATGATGTCAATCACTGGATTATCTGTTTCAGACTCAATTACTTACAGACCGCCGTCATATAGCAAAAATATTGCTGAGAGCGGCGTTAAACACAAACAATGTGGTAAAGTGCTCAAGGGCCATTGCACATATGGCAAATTATGCATATAAGGTTTTGAAGAAAAGAATATATAACTTTTATGTAGTTCAAACAACCAACCTGGAAAAAATATACAAAAGTTCTCAATAACACCATTACACCATTACACCATCACACAATAACACCAACCCACAACAACACAATCACACAATAACACCATCAAACAATAACACCAAAACAGATTAATACCATCACACAATAACACCAGTGCACCAAAACACACCTACATCAAACAATAACAAATTAACACCCTAACACCATCACACAGTAACACCCTAACACCAGTGCACAATAGCACTTTAACACCCTAACACCATCACACATTAACACCCTAACACCATCGCACAATAGCACATTCACACCCTAACACCATCGCACAATAGCACATTAACACCATCACACATCAACACCCTAACACCATTACACAATAACACCAGTACACAACAACACCAGTACACCCTACCACCATCACACAATAACACATTAACACCCTGACACCATCACACAATAACACCATCACACATCAACACCCTAACACCATTACACAATAACACCATCACACAACAACACCCTAACACCATCGCACAAAAACATATTACCACCATCACATATAATCACCATTACATATTATCACCATCACATATTATCACCATTACACAACAACACCAGTACACAACAACACCAGTACACCCTAACACCATCACACAATAACACATTGACACCCTGACACCATCACACAATAACACCATCACACAACAACACCCTAACACCATCACACAACAACACCCTAACACCATCGCACAAAAACATATTACCACCATCACATATTATCACCATTACATATTATCACCATTACACAATAACACCAGTACACAACAACACCAGTACACCCTAACACCATCACACAATAACACATTGACACCCTAACACCAGTACACCCTAACACCATCACACAATAACACAACACCAAGATGAGTTGTACTTACAATGCCCTTGACATTTTCATCCTTCATGTCCACTCGGTTGACTCGCAGTATGTGATAGCAGAAGTCCAGGCACTCGAACCTCCGCTGTTGCCCTAGCAACATGATCAGAGTACATCCCGCCCAGTTCAGTCCCTCACCGAACAGCTCTCTGGAACACAGGACACATCAACCATACTGCTGCCGTCCACATCAGGAATGCACTAACCTACTCTCTGTTCAGGGCTACAGTGATTTATATTGGTTAATTTTATTGGACAGTGACTGACTGTATTTCAAAATGTCCCTCAATCTCCACCCTGTCAGTTAGGAGATAATTGTAAGTCTGTGTCACCACATGACTCATTGTATTTGATTCTGGCAGGATCTGGTCACTTTGACAACAAAGTGTTTCCACAAAGAAATCAAATCAAGAGTGGGTATTGAATTGATTGGTTGAAAGTAATATCTAAATGCAATCAAAAGCACGGCAATCTGGAATAATTATGGTAAAAAAAGTCTTTCTTAATATCAATCTTTCATCAGTTACTAAAAGGGAAAACAGAATAATATTGGTCTGGCTTAAATCAACATGATTTCAATAAATACTGTATCAGATCATAATTGGTTAGAAAATTGTTCTTGGCATTTTCTTACATTGGTGTCAAGTTGCCATGGAAACTGATCCAACTGACTAATTTTTTTACATTCCTGCATTTTAAATTAGATAATTTCTTTTCACTGTTGTTTCAGTACATTGGAATTTGTAGCTAAGAAATACTACAATTGTAAATTCTCCAGCAACAATCACATAATATATATATTAAAGAATGTTATTATATGATAAAGAGGTTAAGACGCTTGTGTGTTTGGGGATGGTAAATATCCTGTATTAGGAATAAACACTATGTATTTACAGGATATTTACCATCCCCAAACACACAAGCGTCATAACCTCTTTATCATATAATAACATTCTTTAATTCTGTACTTCAAAATTGCTTTCTCTCTCTCAAAAACATTACCGAAACATTGTGAGTTTTCCTGGAATGCGTGCATTAATATTTATTACGTCACAGGGTAAGTGATATGTCAGTCGGACAGTGACAGTAGGCATTATAGTTCCAACTGAAATCTCTTTCTTATACAGTGGCGAAGCAACATATACGCAAAACAATTGTTTTAATTGCCTTTCGCGGCAATCGATCGGTGTGTCTGCTAGAGTAACTGCCCTTTGTCAAAGGGAAGCTACTCTAACCCTAGTCCATGAGACGTCACAGCCACAGTCAGACGTTGTTGACAGTCGGTCTGTCCTGTCATAACGTTAAGAAGTGTTATCAGATGTACACACAGCGACAAAACGAAACAAGGTAACAATTCAACCATATTTCGGCCAAATCCAACTATTTTAATTTGTGGAGAAAGGTTCAATCCGCAGAGGTCTACAAGCACAGATATGGCTACTGATCCAGCTTGACTAGGCCTTGTGCCCTTGCAAAATTGTGTCAAAATTTATATCTCCGAAGTTGCCAAAACTTATAAATCGCCTTAGCTACGTCACAGTTAGACACTGATTTTCAGTATATTAGACTGATTTTTTGATAATGAAAGCAATTATCTCTGTAGTTTATCCAGATTCCCGATGCTTAATTTGATGGGCGACGAATGACGAGGGCGACGCCATGTTTGTTTATAAACAGTGAAAGTAGTCCCTACTTGACCTTTGATATTTGCATCTCTATCCGCATATGACCCCAACGGATATCGTTTTAATCTGTTGGCTTTATCCTGCCGAGAAACCTACCCATTATATGATAAATATATATATATCTCCAAACTGAACACATCAAAACTTTCAACACTTACTCCACAGTGAATTCATTCTCTCCGACGGGCATACAGAACACAAACTGTACTGCTGACCATAGGCGGTGGAACTCGGTACACTTGTCCACGTTCATGACACCGTTGACGGGCGGCATGCCGTGCCACAGTGGCTCATTGAGGAAGGACTTGATGCGGTTGAGGACGACCTCAAACATGGACAGTCCACAGCACAGGCGTTCTCGAGTCAGCAGGTCACCCTCCGCAGCGATGTCGGCTTGCTGCAACAACATCCTTCCAATACAGGTGGAGGCCAGAAGGAGGTTTCAGAGTCCTCTACTCCAGTTCAACTGAATAACTGTTTGTCTTAATCAACACCTCTCATTTTTCTTCCTTTCATAATTATTTGTCCATCTCTAGGTATCACATTTTTTATTATTTGGTTTACACAAATTTTGGTTTAAGCTAAATGTAGATCCTAATGAATGAAAAAGATGGCCAAATATCAAAAGATAATTTAAAAAAAGATTTTTTAAAAATAAAGATTTTTAGACGTAATATTCCCCATTTCTTTTCACCTTATTCAATGTTAATTGTAAAACAGAATCACACCCCCAAAAATGTCAAAATATTTTCAAAATTTCATATTTTTTGGTCAGTCTCATGAACCAACTAAAAGGCCCTACAAATTCTAACTGCATATAACCATCGGAGATGCAGACAAGAAGCACAAGCAGTTTGACTGCATAATCTGATCATAAGGAAGATCTTAAAACAAACCTAAACCATTATCCTTTTTGACACAAAAATATGACACTGAACAAACATTCACTTTGTTGTGATCTGAGCAGTCTGACAGCTGTGTGTCTAAGATAGGAGCATCTCTAAAGTGCACTCACACAGAGGATTGTCTTTAAGATAATTAAGTTTCCATGGAGACAGATCTGTATTTATTTCACCATTATTTCCGCATGATTATTACAGTGTGATGGATGTACCCTGCGGAGTGTATAAGGTCAGAAAGATAGTCGTGATGTAGTGAAGACAGTTGAAGTGACGTAACATCTCACCGTCTGGTTGCCAAGTTTCTTGATGACGGACACAATCTGAAGCGCTGCATACTTCTTCTCCAACTGTTTCATCACTTGTTTCAGCTCCTCATCACGATTCTTCCGATTATCTGCATCTGTAATCGAGTGTGAGTGAGTTAGATATTAAATCGCTTTTAGCAATATTCCAGCAATATCACGGCCGGGGACACCAGCAATGGGCTTCACACATTGTACCCATGTCGGGAATTGAACCCGGTTCTTTGGCGTGACAAGCGAACACTTTAACAACTAGGCTACCCAACTGTCCCCATCTGTAATTGAAATAGTAGTTACATGACATCATGACCGAGAACTAGTAAAAATGCCCTGCATAGTAATCCCCAATGAGTAGGGAAGTGAGTGTTTATTTGTTTGGTGTTTAACGCCACACTCAGCGATATTTTAGCTATGTGATGGTGATCTGTAAATAAGTCCGGACCAGACAATCCAGTGATAGATATCATGAGCATCATATAAGTGATGCAGACTAATGTGCATCATATCAGTGATGCAGACAAATGTGACATATAAGTGATACAGACAAATGTGATAAATAAGTGATGCAGACTAATGTGACATATAAGTGATGCAGACAAATGTGATAAATAAGTGATGCAGACAAATGTGACATATAAGTGATGCAGACTAATGTGCAACATATCAGTGATGCAGACAAATGTGCATCATATCCGTGACGCAGACTAATGTGACATATAAGTGATACAGACAAATGTGATAAATAAGTGATGCAGACTAATGTGCAACATATCGGTGATGCAGACTAATGGGTATCATATCCGTGACGCAGACTAAAGTGCATCATATCCGTGATGCAGACTAATGTGACATATAAGTGATGCAGACTAATGTGCAACATATCAGTGATGCAAAGCTATGTAACATGCCATAACTTATCCTTATAACAGACCATGCATCTTAAGTGATTGACCTCATGAGCATTGATCCACGCAATTGGGATATGATGACATGCATCAACCAAGTAAGCAAGATCCCATTAGATCCCACCTCTTACAAAAAGCATAGTCACCTTTTACGGCAAACATGGGATGCTGAAGACCTATTCTACCCCGGATCTTCACGGGTCTCCTGAACAACTACACATTTACCTTTGACGTGGATGAATGGCTTTGGGATGATGTTCTGGAAGGGAGCCGCATGCTTCAAGTCACACACTTCCTCCTGGGTCTGTGACAAGAACACAAGGTCAGAGTGGCGGAGTTGTGAAAAGATGACCGATACAGCGATAGTGTATTCACTTCTTCACAGACAATGCTTCAGAAATATCACTGATATTATCCCTCTTTGGTTTTTTTAAATCCTGGATGACCTTTTGTCAAGGTGGAATCAGTTTTGTGGCATTATGTCAAATATACCATAGGACATATAGGGATTCCAATTACAATTAAACATAAATTATCATTTTCCTGTTATCATTGCCAAATTTTACACAATTATGGATGTAACATTTTCATTTCTGGAAATAACCTGACATCTTTAGATATTTCACAAAGCTATCATTGCATCACAATCATAATATTATTGAGCCCTGAGGATACACTGTCAGTGCAGTGTATGAATATTGGTTATACCTCAGTCAGCACTATCCTAGCTTTATCATGAGGGCCGGAACTACATCACAGCGGCTGTAAGTATTTGAGTCTCCAAGAGGCACACTAGTTGTTAGCGGCATGACTTTCTTTCTGGTTTGTTTGTTGTTTATCGCCGCACTCAGCAATATTCCAGCTATATGACGGCGGTCTGTAAATAATCGAGTCTGTACCAGACAATCCAGTGATTGATATCATGAGCATTGATCCATGCAATTGTGATCGATGTCATGCATCAACCAAGTCAGCGAGCCTGACCACCCGATCCCGTTAGTCGCCTCGTACAACAAGCATAGTCGCCTTTTACAATAAGCATGGGACGCTGAAGACCTGTTCTACCCCGGATCCGGGTCCGGGTCCGTTCTTTCCTGATGAAACCTTTCCCAACTGCTACAACTCACCAGAGCCTGTTCCACCAGCAAAGTGAACAGAATGGCATTGCCCATCTCCCTGAAGCTCTGGAACACCTCTGTCCTCAAGTCAGGATACTGAATCAGGTCTGTCAGCTGGGCCTGGTAGTACCCCATCACACCTGCAGGATTCAAAGACTCTCACTAGACTCATATATCAGAGAGCTTCCAACATGATGACGTCGTACATTGGACAACACTATTTTTGAGAGGAAAGTGTCTAGTTTCCCATAGATGTAGCTTGCCAACGCAGATGAATGCAATGGCTGAATGATTGCATTAAAAAAGCATTCAATTAGCATTGGGAGAAAAGGTACAGATGACAGCCATGAAAATTATGAGGATATCTGGGAAAAAGAGAATCTCACCCGCGTGTCTTTTGATATCAAACAATCAACACGAGCTGATAAAAGTGGGAAAAGTCCGAGGCTTGCCGAGGAGTTTTTCCACTTTATCGAGTGTTGATATATTTTGATATCAAAAGACACGAGGGTGAGATTTTATTTATCATCCAACATCATTCTTCCAACTTTTTCAGTTTGTAGACAGTAATAAAAAGTGTTTTAAGTGTAAAAAGTACTGTTAACAGCTTCAGTAGCAGAGCCATTAGTGATGTCATTTGATTGTGACATCATGGTAACCAATGACGTCACAATGGTCTTCAAAGCATTGTGATACAATCTCGCCCAAGCGATATCTCCTTTCGGAGCCAGTTTTTGATGATAAATACCAAGCGACCCTGTTCAATAAATTGACTTGTCAGACATTGCCGAGGATGGACTGTATTTTTTATTATTATTTAAGTACGGTTAAATGTTTTTATAGCTTGTGCATTTTATTAACATCCTTAAAACGGCAATACAAAATAAAAAATCTCTTATATGAAATAAACTTGTTTATCCTTCAATAAAACACTGCAGGGAGAATAAACCATGAGGGGCCCAATTGTTTATCATACAATAAAACACTGTTGGGAGAATAAACTATGAGTTTATTCTCCCTGCAGTGTTATTTTGTACAATAAACAACTCCCACCCGTCGCTTACTTCTCAAACAAAGAAAAAGGAAATACCTGGAGACCCGTAGTCGTATCTGAGCAGCTTGCAACTCTCTGGCATCACCCTCATCAGTGTCCGCACATACTCCATCGTCGTCTCCTTCAGCTGGTGACCACAACACATCATTACCACAATATCAACACATGAAGACAACAAGGGTATCCATTGGGCTGTAAAGGGACAACACTGGCCTCCATTATGCTACTGCGATCTTGAAGCTATACTGATTATTCAGTGTACATAATATCTCCATTTGATAGATACACCCTGGACCAAGCTTTGCAGTAGTGATAGCCTTGAGATCAGCTTTGAGCCGTTCTGTAATGTTGTGTACAACAAGAACATCCATATTTGCTTATAAATTGCCATGAAATGAGGCAAATGGAAGCCAAGATTTGATTTCAGAGTGCAGGAAAAGACGTTTCAGAGGTGAGGAGTTCTAAAATTTTCATTACATGACCTTGGGTTCACGGGTTCTATTAGATGTGGGCCAGTTCGTTTGGAATAGGGCCGGTAACTTTTGACAGCAGCAAGCCCTGCTAGCTATATACAAATTGGTTGTTAGATCTACCCCCGAGCACACATTGCGGGGGACCTGTTTTAACCTGGAATCCCCACAGGGGCTCTGAAGTACTTGTTACTCACAAAGCCCTCGACGGTTTTGAGTAGTTCTTCGATGACAACAGCAATGCCCTGGTAGCCGAGGAGCCGGCAGATTGCTCGGAAGTGGGGTGGACCAATGAACCCTGTGTACAGGCTGTAGATGGTGGTGTAGGAAGTGTTCAGCACCTGAACATACAACACGCAGTGAGGACATGGTATACTGAACTGTATAACAACATAACTATGGTCTGGAAGGTAATTTAAGGTACCAACGTTTACTACAATATCTGAAAAACTATTGGACCTACTCCAGTCAAAGTTGGTATGAGATTATTAAACAGTCATACATAACTGGATATTACATTTAAAGACAATCGGTGCATGAAAAAAACCCGAATACGGTGTTAGTATTGGGCGTCTCAACATGCGTGATTCCCGTGCAACCTTTCGTGTTGAGGTGATTGGTTCAACTCTGTCATATGGCCCTGTGATGCAGGGGTAGCATTATGCAGATGGCTGTTTCAATGAATGCTCGTTCCAACCGTGACGAACATGTCCGGTTGTTGATGAAATATAGTGATAGCTAAATAGACAGATTTTTTATTCATGCACTGATTGTCTTTAAATGTAATTTCCAGTTATGTATAACTGTTTAATAATCTCATACCAACTTTGACTGGAATAGGTCCAATAGTTTTTCAGATATTGTGGTAAACGACGGTACCTTAAATTACCTTCCAGACTATAGTCAGGGCCCTGGTCCACAAGGCGATCTTAGAGCTACGACTGTTATATGAAATATGTTAGAGTATTGGAGTTTCGTTTGTCTTGGTGTTACGATCACTTTGTGGAAGTGGGCCATGGACCAGACATATCATTAGTTGACAGTGTGTTTTGTTTTTTTGTTGTTTAACATCGCACTCAGCAACATTCCAACTATATGATGCAGTTTGTAAATAATCACTTCTGGACCAGACAATCTAGTGACTAACATCATGAGCATCAAACAACACAAATGGGACACGATGACATGCATCAACCAAGTCAGCGAGCCTGACCACCTGATCCCCTTAGTCGCCTCTAGACCTATTCTAACCCGGATCATCATTGGGAGACATTGTGAACAACTGGCAATAGGGTTGTTAATTTTGTCACAGTGAGACTAACACTTTACTACGTCACCATTATTGTTCAATAGGAAGTGAGTGACTGAATGTTATTCTATGTTGACTTCTATATTCCAGCTCATCAAAGTCATCTAAAATAACTGAATCTAGGCATGAAAACTCAGTGGATTACAGCTTGAGCAGAGTTCCTAGGTTCAGGATTTTTCATCTGTCACTAGTGAAACACTTTCTATGACTATAACAGCAACCCTCCATACAGAGTGTAATCTCATTAAAATCAGATCTTAGTTCTCGCTGCCGCTAAACAAAGATCTGAGGACATCCCAATACCGGTCACGTCAGAACGACCTTTCGCGAATTTTGACCGACCAATGACATTACGGACAAGAAATCGACATTAGCCAATCAGAAGGCATCTCTCTCGAGCTTTAAAACACTAGTTTCATACTGGCGACTGCGCTTCGAAACATATTTTGACGTATTCTCAATTAAAAAAATTAAAACTGATAAGAAGAACATTCTGGAATGGCTTATAGATGGCCTAGATTGTATGGATATAATCATAAAGCCTGTAACTGTCGTTCGGAAAACCCTGAGTTAAATATTTCGTGGTTGCATGATTAGAAAACACATTCCGAAAGTCACTTTCATGATCTGGTAAGTGACGCTCTGATTGGTTGGATGAAAGGTTGTTCTGATGTGACCCTTAATGGGATGTCCTCAGATCTTTGTTTAGGGATAGCGAGGACTAAGATCTGATATTAATGAGATTGTACAGAGTGAGGCCAGACTGACCTTGGTGCCCCAGATGTAATACTGTGAAGGGTTGAGGGGCTTGTCTCGCTTGGCGTCCGTCACAAACGGCAGTCGAGTCTTCACAAACCTGAAACACAAGTACACATGAATACTAGGGCTGGGACGATACACCAACTGTGCGATCCGATATGTATCATGATACCTTGTTCACAATCCGATACGTATCACGATACTTGTCTGTGCTCTTATCTGTGGTGTGTAAGAAATCTTTTTAATAGACAGCCTAGTCAAATACCTGGCACACTGACGATTTACAGTTGGCAGCGTCAAGTATGGCGCAATGGATAAAAATATTTACTTTTTCACTACTAATCTTCACTACTAATTAGTGTTTGGTGCAACCTACATGTTTGTCATAACTCACTGCAACCTTCCTGTTTGTCATATCTCACTGCAACCTACCTGTTTGTGGCTGCATTGTAACAATAGTTGGGCAGGAAATCGTAGTTGAGTTCCCAGAAGACATGCAGAGTTATCCGCCCATAAGGAGCGGACACATTGTGGTTGGCCTCGCTCAACATGGCATCAAAATTGTTGAGTACGACCAGTTCGGACAGGAGTTTGTGACACAGGCGGTTGACCTCTATCAAGCCCTCTAGTTCCTGCACAAAAAAAACAAAACATCAGAGTATTTGTGTACACATTAGTGTGGAACAAGTCAAGAACTTGAATTCGTGATCAGTATTTCCTAGTACACCTAAGGGAGGTTACCCTGAGCCCCGGACCCCATGTTCATGCCTTGGAACCCGAAATTTATGACAAGAGATTCTCCGGACTTGAAAATAGAGACCCAGGTAAACTGTTTGTCCTTTGAAGCTTTTTCAAAATCAGTGAGTGTTGATTAAGACATCCTGCACGTGATGTAAAGTATCAACTGTACTGCCTATCTATCCAGTTGTCTCACCATGACACCGGTGATGTCCTGGGACTCAAATCGTGAGATGGCAACATCCAGGGCCTTCTGTAGCGCTGCATTCAGTCGCTGACTCACCAGACGGTTCAAGTCAAACGAACGACCCAGAATCTGAAAGTAAGTGCACATTTTTATATCACATTCATTTTGATACAACCACAGAAATTTTTGACATTCATGAAAAATGTCAACCTTGAACACTATAAGGGTGATTAAACCTCAAGCAACTTGTCCACAAACGCAAAAGTGTTCCAAAATCAAGTTCTGAAATTTGCAATGAGTGAGATTTTATCTCTCTTTCAGCAATAATCAATCTGTATGATGGATTGGGGACAAATGGAATGGCAGTCTGTGACTTGTGCCACTTGTCCATTAACCACAACATTCGGTCTAATAAGTTTTGCCAAGTCCATACATTAACACCAAAACAAACTGAAAATGATGCCTAGTGACAGAATCAGGCTCTCAGAGAATCAAGGACAAATGTGCTTCACACATTATAACCAGTTAGGATTTGACCCCTCTGATGTGTGAGGAGCTGTAACTACTGGGCCACCTGGTGATATATCAGCTTGACAAGATTCCTGGTTACTACATATTTACCTGGACGTGTCTCTGTTTGAGCAGCGTGGAGTAGCGGTTGGCCACTGGGTAGAAGATCTTGGCGCCCTGACTGGCACACTCGGCTCGGAACCGCTTGTCCAGCATGATGCTGCAAGAATAGCCACAGTTGATCAGTCACTTGAAATAATGGATGGATGTTTAACACTGCAGGAGTATCTCAGCTACATAACAATGCTGAATGAGTTAGTTAATGTTCTCAATGCTACTGCTGATCCCATTCGATAGGCGCAAAGTGAAAGGACACCCCCAAATGAAACTTGCAAATACTGTTTAACAAGATGTCTTTGTGTATCATTAAAGTTACATGTGGTATGCATAAATGCTCAGCCTGCAAAATATAAACACTTTCAGTTGTTTATTTACTTCAAAAAGAAAACATCACGAGTTATAAAAGTATCGGCCAAAAGTCTTGGCACACAACTACCAGAAACGGCCATTGTTGACTTTTGGCACTTCATGTTGAGTGGCATGCAGTCCGATATTTTCTTTATAATCTATCATTTTTCACATTCAGTCATTATTTTTTGTTACCTGATGTAAACAAAACACTCAAGTTCCTCAATTTCTAAAAATTAGCAACTTTCGGTATAATTAATTATAAAGACTAACAATCAAATTCACAACATCCATTGGATGAAGTTGCACGATCATGGCAAGTCACCTCTCACCACTAGCACAGGTTCCTGAGGATCAGTTCTAACCCTTAATCCCCAGGGGTGATATCTTCCCAAGGCAATGGAATCAACTGACTGTAAAAGTCCAGTTTTCCCCCTTGCTGAACTAGGCTGGAAATTCTATGCTCGATCGTAGCACCACCAGTGGCTACAATGAGTTATGTCCCTTCTATGTCCCTTCTACTGACCAATCAGATTCCACCATAATTAACTTGCAATCACTTCAAATAAGATGACGCCACCCAGTCAAGACGATCTGATCGATAATCAAGATCTAAATTGTAAAAAAACAGGTCTTACTTCGCAAAGTGCATCAAATCATGTGAGCACCTTGATTGAAGACATGAAAATATTTGGAAAATATCTATGAACACCCATTTGACAGTACACATGCTTTTCAAATCCAGCAATCGACAAAAATCTGCACGTCAGTTTACAAACCGGATTTCATTTCGTTACATGATTTTGACAATGCATAGACTTGTTAGTCCAGTCAAAATAACTCCATAATTTTAGCCTAGTTCGGCAAGGGTGGAAACTGGACTGTTACAGTCAGTTAATTCCCTTGCCTCAGGAAGATGGTGGGTGAAAGATCATGAGATGATGTCAGTCACTTCAAACAGGAGTTAAAGCATGGTAAATTATTGCAGTAACATCTAGGACCTCGGCCTTGACCCTGTTTTACAAAGATGATCTGACACTGCTTTCATCAATATTCCAGAAATATCACCACCGGGGACACCAGAAAAGGGCTTACCTCTTTGTATACAAGGGGCGGTCGGGTAGCCTAGTGGTTAAAGCGTTTGCTCATCACACCAAACACCCGGTTTCGATTCCCTACATGGGTACAATTGCTGCGAGCCCATAGTGGACCAAAGTTACAGAAATAGTATCTCACCTTCCTGCAAGATGCTTGTAGTAGGCGAAGATTTGGTCACTCAACTTGTACACAAATTGATCAAAACACAGATTCACCTGCCAAACAAATAGGATATCATAGAATTTCATATTATTATTATCATTATTAACAGTTTAAAATAAACAAGTATTTGTCACAGAAGTGACGAAATGTCCCCCGCCTGTATATACATCAAAATACCAAATATGAAGACAATCAAGCGATTAATTAGTTCTTGAGATATCGCGGCAACACCGTTTTCCAACTCCAAAAGCAGATTTGCCTGCTGTGACCTTAAAAATAGGGTCAAGGTCACCAAAACCGACTGGTGTCTGCGGTGTCTGTATATACACCATAGTTCCAAATATTAAGACAATCCTGGGATTAGTTCTTGAGATATCGCGGCAACACCGTTTTCCAACTCCAAAAGCAGATTTACCTGCTGTGACCTTGAAAATGGGGTCAAGGTCACCAAAACCGACTGGTGTCTGCGGAGTCTGTATAAACACCATAGTTCCAAATATGAAAACAATCCAGTGTTTAGTTCTTGAGATATCGCAGCAACTCTGTTTTCAAACTCCAAAAGCAGATTTACCTGCTGTGACCTTGAAAATGGGGTCAAGGTCACCAAAACCGACTGGTGTCTGCGTTGTCTGTATATACACCATAGTTCCAAACATGAAGACAATCCTGCGATTAGTTCTTGAGATATCGCGGCAACACCGTTTTTCCAACTCCAAAAGCAGATTTGCCTGCTGTGACCTTGAAAATGGGGTCAAGGTCACCAAAACCGACTGGTGTCTGCGGTGTCTGTATATACACCATAGTTCCAAACATGAAGACAATCCTGCGATTAGTTCTTGAGATATCGCGGCAACACCGTTTTCCAACTCCAAAAGCAGATTTACCTGCTGTGACCTTGAAAATGGGCTCAAGGTCACCAAAACCGACTGGTGTCTGCGGAGTCCGTATATACACCCTAGTACCAAATAGGAAGACAATCCAGTGTTTAGTTCTTGAGATATCGCTGCAACACCGTTTTCCAACTCCAAAAGCAGATATGCCTGCTGTGACCTTGAAAATGGGGTCAAGGTCACCAAAACCGACTGGTGTCTGCGGAGTCTGTATATACACCATAGTTCCAAATATGAAGACAATCCAGCGATTAATTAGTTCTTGAGATATCGCGGCAACACCGTTTTCCAACTCCAAAAGCAGATTTGCCTGCTGTGACCTTAAAAATAGGGTCAAGGTCACCAAAACCGACTGGTGTCTGCGGTGTCTGTATATACACCATAGTTCCAAATATTAAGACAATCCTGGGATTAGTTCTTGAGATATCGCGGCAACACCGTTTTCCAACTCCAAAAGCAGATTTACCTGCTGTGACCTTGAAAATGGGCTCAAGGTCACCAAAACCGACTGGTGTCTGCGGAGTCTGTATATACACCCTAGTACCAAATATGAAGACAATCCAGTGTTTAGTTCTTGAGATATCGCGGCAACACCGTTTTCCAACTCCAAAAGCAGATATGCCTGCTGTGACCTTGAAAATGGGGTCAAGGTCACCAAAACCGACTGGTGTCTGCGGTGTCTGTATATACACCATAGTTCCAAACATGAAGACAATCCTGCGATTAGTTCTTGAGATATCGCGGCAACACCGTTTTCCAACTCCAAAAGCAGATATGCCTGCTGTGACCTTGAAAATGGGGTCAAGGTCACCAAAACCAACTGGTGTCTGCGGAGTCTGTATATACACCATAGTTCCAAATATGAAGACAATCCAGTGTTTAGTTCTTGAGATATCGCGGCAACAAACAGGTGGGACGTACGTACGGACGGACGGACGGACGGACGGACGGACGGTCGTGAATACTATATCCCCCGCTTCGCGCTTTCGCGCGGCGGGGGACAAATATGCAGCAAAGAGGGTTGGGTGATCCTGGCAGTCAGGGTGGTAGGCTCATCATCAGCTCAGGGCCCTTACCCCCTCTACACGCAGCCCAGACAGCGAATGGGACTTCTCCCAGGAATCGCTGCCTTGTCAAACCCAGCCAGAACTTTTCTGGGAATGTGAAGACTGCAGTCTTCTGTTTTCTTATTTTGTCAAGTATTTCTTGCATTTAGACAGTTCATAAGTTGTATAAAACACTCCTCCTCTGTTTTGGTTGAAAATGTAAAACCTTCAGCTCATGAAAAGACCTCCGGACTACGGCCCTCAGACTTTTGCCTCACTTGCCGTTTTACATTTTTAACCGCCATTACTCCACTTACCTCAGCCTCCACCTCATCATACAGGTACTGTTTCCGGAACTTGGTCAGGGCGTAGTGGGCGGAGTCGTTGTACAAGTCCAGGGGGTACAGGATGTACCTACACACAACATACCCGCTTAGTGACTCACAAACTAATACCAGCCATGTAAAACACTTCAGAACTCTACAACTTCAATACAATGATAATAATATGGAGTGTATCGTGTATGGTACTATTTATCATGGACATAATCCACACCCTCAAGCATGCTCAAAGCATTAATATTCTGATCAATGTGCACTGGATTTTCATTGTCAGCTCATGGACTATACAAGCTGCCTGTGAGGAATGAGGTTAGCAGTCACAATACCATGTCAGCCTGTCGGGTACCCATTTCACTGCTGGGCGAACAGAGGCATATTTTGAACAAAGTTACTTGCCTAAAGAGACAAAATTAATATATCATGTGTTCCATTCTGACACAGTACACTGACTTCAAGCTGACCAGCCTTTGTTTTGGACCCTTAATGCGGAGCGCAGGGCAGGGCAGGGCAGGGCAGGGTAACAACAAGTACAGTAAACTACGTTCATAACGAACACACTTATAGCGAACTGGCAGATATAACAAACTGGGTTGGGTTTTTTGTCCTGGCCATTTGCTGTATATATGCTGTATATATGTTTATAATGTATGCCGGTTGTAACGAACTAAAATTAGTGTTCCCTTTGAGTTCGTTATAACCATACTGTACCATCTTTTAACATATTTTGGGGTGATGCGGTCGGGAATCGAACCCCTGACCTTCCGTTCTCCGGGTAGACGCTCTACCACTAGACCACAGACGCAGTCCCCAAAGGCCTAGCAACTTAGGAGTCATGCTGCTGAACACGGTCACCCATTTGTCTAGTCTCCGTGAACTTTATGACCTGTGTGCTGTGCACCACCTTCCCCTTGTTACACAAACTCTGTTGTTCAATGACCCCCTATCATTCAAACAAATGAGCAAAGATAACATAAGAGGCTGCAGGGGCTCGTATATAAATTCAATATGAAGTGGTGACTTTTGATATCATTCCTAGCTAAAATTGCACTAATAAATAAATCTGTCCATGGTGCAATGCACGAAAGCACCACATATCGCCATTTATTTGAACGTTTTTGGGAAGCAGTGTGTTATCATATGTTATCAAGTACACTTGTCTACTCACTCCATCATGGAAGGTTCCTTGGTCTCCAGGATGTGGTCGGTGAGGATCCAGGGCATCGACATCTCAATCGGGAACTACAACAGAGACAAATAGTTATTGTATACCTTCCACTGAATTCGCAAAAGAGTGAGTGAGTGAGTTGGGTTTAACACCGCTTTTAGCAGTATTCCAGTTATATCGCGGCGTGTCAGTTTAATGTGGGAGGAAAGCTCGAAGTGATGCAGGTCTCAGACGTTTACCACTTCGGTGAAACCCACGAGCACGGGTATGGTGCTGACAAACCTAGAACATATTCGGGGCGAACCGGGATTCGAACCCACAATCATAGGTTTCTGGCGTGCCCAAGGGACACAGCGCTGCACAGCGAATCCACCGCCTTAGACGACTGGGCCACCCATGCCCCCTAATTCGCATAAAACAATGGGTCAGGTTATAAGTAATGAAGTCGCAGCCAGGCAAACCAGTAGATGCAATCAAAACTAAGTTGTTAGTGTCATGCCCCAGCAATTTTCCACCATGGTGTGAGTTGCCATTTTTGTTATTTGTCAAGGATATATGTAACCATTATAAGGGGTTAATATTCATCCCAAGGTTTACAAAAAATAAAAGTTAAAATTGGAATCTAAAATTTCCAGATTTAATTTATTATTACTAATGTTCAACTTCACAAATGCTGCTTGTATTTCACTGATAACAAGAAGGATAAAGACGGGGGGAAATTAACAGCTGGTGTTACATTACTGCATTGAATGAAATGCTAAACAAGTATGAAGTATTCATATCCCTGACTACTGCGTGACAGACTCCAGCCCCTGACTACACAAGATGTCTGGGACATGCTACAAACAGTCATTGACTCGTCATCAAAAATTGAACAAGCATGAAATACTCATATTCCCTGCCAATATGACATGTTCGGTCTAAGCCAAAGCGATTGCCAAGGAAACTTGAAAATATTCTTTTCATAAATTCAAATTATCAGAAGGCACCAGTTCACCACTAGACCTATCTATGTGCCAAGTTTGGTTAAGATATTTCTCATGGTTTTCGAGCATCACCCATTTCTATATCCCCCCAGGGGATAATAATACACTGCTGGCTGATATACAAGACACAGAAACTATCAAAGATCCCCAATTCCAAATATATAAAAGTAATCACTTGACCCCTTGACTGAATAGGGAGGAAGTAGTTGGTTGGTTGGTTGGTTGTTTTTTGTTTTACGCCGCACTCAGCAATATTCCAGCTATATGACTGTATATAATCAAGTCTGGAAGAGACAATCCTCTGATTATTATCATGAGCATCAATCCAGGCAATTGGGATCGATGACATGCTTCAACAAAGTCAGCGAGCCTGACCACCCGATCCCGTTAGTCACCTCTTACGCCAAGCATAGTCGCCTTTTACGGCAAGCATGGGTTGCTATTCTACCCCGGATCTTCGTGGGTCAGGGAGGAAGCACAAATGATTGATTCATCAATGGTTCATTGATTACAATTTCTTATTACTAAAACCATGAAAAATATAAAATTAAAAAATTCCTAAATATCCAAAGGCACGCTTCATAGCTTGACTGATATCTGAGTGAGTGAGTGAGTGAGTGAGTGAGTTGTGTTTTACGCCACTTTTAACAGTATTCCAGTTATATCACGGCATGTCAGCTTAATGTGGGAGGAAAGCCCTAAGTGATGCAGGTATCAGACGTTTACCACTCCGGTGAAAACCACAACCAAGGGTATGGTGCTGACAAACCTGGAAACATAATCGGGGTGAACCAGGATTCAAACCCACAATCATAGGTTCCTGGCGTGCCCAAGGGAAGCAACTCTGCACAGCGATTCGTGGCACCTTAGACAAATGGGCCATCCGTGCCCCCGACTGATATCTCAGCAAAATATGATGAAGACATATTGAATGGACTTTGTGTTATGCTCTTGAAACAAACCAACTAACATCTGAACCTGAGTTCATTTAGTTGTCATGAAAACCGGACAAAATTTCAAAAATTCAAAAATAGCAAAAGGCACAAGTACATTGTTCAATACTTTGAGTGCTGTCCCAGAAAGACAGACAGATGAACAACACCCATTACTATACCCCCCTGTCTGTATGTGTCTCTCATAAAGGAAACTATGTTTAGAGATAATAAGAAACGAAGAAATGTGACAACATCTTCACAGCAAATTTCCAGCCTCATTGGAAAGATAACACCCAGAATAGGTTTTTGAGATGAAATCAAGTGTGGATTTCAGCATTAGAAATTGGCACTAGTCCTATAGTTGTTATCAGACTGCCCAATAGTTAAGGTATCATAAAGACTAGTAGAAAGTTGCCATTATTAAGGGTTTTGTTATCGTTATCGGACTAGACCACTAAAACAGTTAGTTTCTATCACTGGATCTGAACCCACACCCTGTTTGATCTGAGGAGTTGTAATTTCAATACTAGATCCTAAATGTGGAATCATCACAAATAAAGAGCCCCTGAGTGCCGAAGATGAGTCCGACCCACCTGTATTCTCTTGCCCATGGTGAGCTCCAGGAAGAATTCTCGGTACCACAGTTGGGACAAGTCGCAGCAGTTGAACAGCGACTCTGAAAAAAAGCATTGCACACATTGTGTCATGTCTACACAAGCATTTAACATGTACAAAGTCTTGGCAATAACTATCCAATAAGCACAAGACACCAGGGAAATGCTCAAAGCACATGATGATATTACTGCTCAAGTCAACGGACCTGTGTGCATTCGAATGGAATTCTCAGCTCCCTGGGGAGTATACAACTTGATCAATATCCCAGTAAACTTCAGGGTTTAGTACGGTGCATGAGTACATATCGTCAATGCAGGTAGCATGGTTCAATGCAGGTAGCATGGTTCACACCGACTTCAGTCAATATATATATTAAGGCCATTTTAGAGTCAGTTATAGTTGAGGGCCCATAAATCAAAATGTTATGTTGCCACTGATAGGGGCTGGGACAGTCATAGCAAGTTTGTCCAAGTCACAGTCATATCAGTTTCAGTACCACAATCACAGTTAAACATTCAACTGTAGCACTGGACTGTTTGTTTGTTGTTTAATTCTGCAATCAGTTTGTTGTTTAACGCCGCACTCAGCAATATTTCAGCTATATGATGGCGGTCTGTAAATAATAGAAACTGGACCAGACAATCCAGTGATTATTATCATGAGCATCGATCCTCGCAATTGGGATACATGGCATGCATCGACCAAGTCAGCGGGCCCGACCATCTGATCCAATTAATCGCCTCTTACGACAAGCATAGTCTTGTTTTACGGCAAGCTTGGGTTGCTGAAGACCTATTCTAGCCAAGATCTTCACAGGTCTCTGTACTCAATAATCTTACAGCTAAATGATAGCAGCCTCTTGGTAATCGAGTCTGGGCCAGACAATCCAGCAATTGAAATTTTGAGTGAGTGAGTATGGTTTTAAGCCACTTTTAGCAATATCACGGTGGGGGACACCAGAAATATGATTCAAACATTATACCCATGTAGGGAATCAAACCCAGGCTTTCAGCGTGACGAGCGAAGACTTTAACCACTAGGCTACCCCACCACCCTTTGATGTTGTGAGCAATAATCAGAACAGAAAACAACTGTATTACCGGCATATGAGGTCCAAACACAGATAACATAAGGAGTCAGACAGAGTCAGACAGAGGATTAGCCAGGAGCTTTAACAACTTTTGTGATGATATCAGCATGTTAACAAAGTATTTCCGGACAGAATTTAGAGGAGGGAAAAAATTCCATGAACTTAAGCATCCATAACAGCAGTCGGGTACGTGACACAACGACCAAGCCTAACCACCCGATCCATTTGGTGACCGCGTATGACCAGCAGATTCATCCATGTTGCCTGGAAACTATTTCTTGTGGCACAGTGTGCAATAAGTAATGTTCTTATCTCATTAACCTCAATAACCCTTTGCTATTTCTTCTGCTACTGAAACAGATTGCATCCATAATTCCCCATACAACATGCATTCAGCACCTGCCACTCATGGCCATTCACAGTCCAAAAGTGTCAAGAAAAGGGAGGTAACTCTTATAATTAGAAGTACTCTTTACAATCTGTTGCTGAAACTCAGACTATTTTCATCACAGTTCTCAAAGTACGTTCAACCATTTTGACAAATTCCAGGCCTTTTTCAATACATTTTGTATCTTGTTTGTCTACCTGACCTTTTCAAGCAAAACTAGAATTTAATACCTTTTGGAGACAAACTTCTTAATTCATGTCCTGTGCGAACCTTGGTCAATCATTGATGCTCTCTTCATTGCATGTCCATCTTAGAATTATCCGGGAAAGACAAACCACTTGGCTCTAGCCAAGTAGGATTCAAGTCGAAGACAAGCAATTTGTTTAATATGTTATCTGATTCAGTAAAAGCGATGTAGCCCTGTGACCTGTATACTGGATCTACATCTGTGTTGTTCAGGATCTTAGTTATCCGTAACTTTCATGCCGAGTAAACATAACTCTGTACCAGTCCACTGAGTTCATCTACATCATCTGATGCCATTACTCAAGCACCAATGTTGATCTAATACAGGCATCAGTGTTGACATCACAGTGGTAATGATATCACTACCTCTGAATGGGTCAGTGGTTGAAGCGTTCGCTCATCACGCCGAAGACCCGGGTTCGATTCCCGACATGGGTACAATGTGTAAAGCCCATTTCTGGTGTCCCCCGCCATGATATTGCTGGAATATTGCTAAAAGCAGCGTAAAACCACACTCACTCACTCACTGAATGGGTCATGGTGACCCTGCTTCTTGATGCGGTGTTCAATATGGAACACAGTACTCCTTCACTACATCAAATAATAAATTATGTAAATGAGATTATTCTAATCATGTGATTATTCTAATCATGTGAGTAAAAGGAACTCCAAAGTTAACGTCTAGTGCACCTACCGTTGAAGTTGAGCACGTAGTTCCAGAAGAAGGAAGTCTTGTGGAAGTTGTCAATGGCCTGCAGGTGCTGGATGTCGATGTCCTTCCTCAGCGTCTTCTTGCCGCCACTCTTGTCTGCGATCAGAGACTCCAGCATGGTCCGAACCATGTACAGCTGTAACACAACAGACAGACAGTGAACAAAAGTGTCAAAACCCTTTCCATAATCACGAGAAATCCATGGCACGATTCCCGAAAATTATATAAGTGAATCACTATCAAACAATGATGATACTATACGTTTCCCTGCCAGTCAACCAACACACTACCACATGTGGTTTATGTTTCACATAGGATGCAACACACCTAACATTTGTTTGTTTATTGTTTAATGTGCACTCAGGAATATTACAGTTATATGATGGTGGCCAGTACATAATCGAGAGTGGACCAGACAATCCAGTGATCAATATTGTGAGCACGAATATTAGTCTTCCATCCGAGGAAATAACTAAGTCACAATCAGAGCACCTGATCCATTTGCTGGCTTCTTATGACCAGCATAGGTTTTTGCTATGGTTAATATAACATCAGCTATATCAGTCCCCACAGACCAAGCAATATGTGAAACTGTTTACCTGTGTCGTTGAGGGTCCAACATTCCTCCTCGGGACTTTGATGTGGAAGCCGTCGTCAGGGTCCTTCTTTCCCCGCATGGCGGGGTCATCCTGGGGCTCCACACCTCTCAGCCAATCGGCACATGTGTCTCTCACCGACATGATGATACTGTCAACATACAGCCCAGTACATGAATCTCAGAGCAGTATCACAAAATACCATAGACGTTTCGACTTTATTTAAAATGACAGGTAATTTTTTCATGTTTTATGACAAGCTGTTACATGACATGTTCACATGCTACAGTCACTTTAACATAGCATCAGACATTGATTGCTTATTACAAATAATGTCCCTCATATTCCTCTCAAATTAGCTAATGATACAGATGTAAATCCCATCAAAAGTCGACCAAGTCACTGCAGTTTAAGGCTAAAAGAAATAATTCTCTTGGTCCTCAGGCACTGCCCACATCATCATAAAGTTCATTGCACATTTTGTTTCCATTTTCAATTTTTTGTATGCACTGTCTTTAAGTATCAGGATTTTTATATTTTTTTAAAAATGGAAACAAAAACAAAACTTGCGGCAGACTTTATGATGATGCGGGTGGAGCCTGAGAACAAGACTATTATTTTTGTATGCCTTATCAGAAATACACAGTTTAACTAGAAGATACACAAGACTGATCCAGTGATTGACATCATGACCATCGATCCACACTGGTTGGGATACAACAACATGCTATCAACCAAGTCACTGACCACCCGATCCACTTAATCACCTCTAACAACAAGTATAGGTTACTGTAGACTTCCAGAGGCAAGGGAGCTAACTGACTGGACTATGCATAGACTCGTCAGTCAGGCCAAACTGAAACTCCATAATTCCAGCCTAGTTTGGCAAGGGTGGAAACTGGACTTTTATAGTCAGTTAAGTTCCTTGCCTCAGGAAGATGCTAGGGACTATATTCTTACCCGGAATCTCTACAGTTGTATCACAAAGAAAAAAGGGATAGTATCCTGTTAGTCGCATTTTACGACAACCATATTCGCAAGTCTGGACCAGACAATCCAATGATTGACATCATGAGCATTGATCCACAAAAGTCAGTGAGCCTGACACCCCGATACTGTTAGTCGCCTCTTACGACAAGCATAGTCGCCTTTTTAGGGCAAGGATGGGTTGCTGAAGACCTATTCTGCCCCGAATCTTAACTCTTATCTAATGAAGTTACTCACACTTTAATGACATCATTTTTCTTCTTGATGGACTTCCTCAGTGGCTCCCTGAGTACCAGCTGAACAAAGTCCTGCAACTCGGTATAGATGTGGCGCCGTATGGCGTCCATGAACACCGACTCCATCCGGGCCATGAGGAGTTGCAGCCCTTTGATCATGGCAATCACTTCAATCAGGGCAAACTTCTCCTCCTTGCTGTAGTTGTACCGGGTGGACTGAATAACAAGTGAGTGAGCTTTTAACATTTTTCCAGTTACATCACGGCGTGTCAGCTTAATGTGGGAGGTGCGGGAGTGATGCAGGTCTCAGACGTTTACCACTTCGGTGAAACCCACGAGCACGGGTATGGTGCTGACAAACCTAGATAATTGGGGCGAATAGGGATTCGAAACCACAATCGTAGGTTTCCGGCATGTCCAAGGGACACAACTCTGCACAGCAAATCGCGGCACCTTAGATGACTGGGCCACACATGCCCACCTGAATAACGAGAGATTTAACTCGGGATTGTAAAACAAAGTGAGTTCATCATGGTTTAATTGTACAAACTTAATTAAATGGGTTTAGAGTCCTGAAAGCTTCAGAGACCCATTCCACAAAACAATCTTAGAAACCTATGTTAAAGTCTGGAGGTTATGATCATTTTAGCGCTATGATTGCTTGTGGAACGGGGACAGGGCTTTTCATTGAGAATCAACAACTATCCCTTTAAAGATATGCTTATTTTTCTGTCACAAATTTGAAAAAAACATGCAATAAGTAATTTGAGGTGAGAAGAAATGGGGTTTAACATGTCGAAGATTATTGCACTTACAGAGCGATGTGCATGCACGGGTGTATTTGTTGCTGCTTGTACTAGTCCAGACTAAAGCTGATTTTAGAGTGCTAGCCCACTGGGATACCATGCCGCAGTTTAACATAAATACCCCACTCAGACACAGAATACTGACTCCAAGCCGACCAGTCCTTGTTTTGTCCCCTTAATGCCTAGCACCAGGCAGGGTTACAACAGAAACCATCTTTTAACATCTTTCGGTATGATACGGCCGGGAATCAAACCCCAGACTGTCTCTCTCTAGGTGGGCGCTCTACCACTAGACCACGGAGCCGGTCATAACAAAGCATGTCAACATGAGAGCATGCAACAGGGTTATGATTCACTACAAAACATATGAAGGAGACTTGAATGAGAGCATGCTGCTTATACCAAGACCTGCAATAACACAGCAATGTAAAGTGAGTCTGTTTGCCGCAAGGTGAGGTGAGATATGGTGGGGGTGAGGTGAGATGGGGTGAGGTGTAAGGTGAAGTGAGATATGGTGGGGCTAGGTATGGCAAGGTGAGGTGTAAGGTAAGGTGAGTTTGTGAGAGGTGAGATAAGGGAGGATGAGGTAGGGTGATGTAGGGAGAAGTGAGATATGGTGAGCTGAGGTGAGATGAGGTAGGGAGAGGTGAGATATGGTGGGGTGAGGTGAGATGAGGTAGGGACAGGTGAGGTGAGGTGCCAGAAACAGGCTATGGACAGCAGTTTAATTTTACTGCAGACTGATGACAACTTAGAATGTAACACAACTTACCCTCTCATACTCTTCTGCATCTTGTGGACACAGTGGATTCTGACGAGGATCAGTCGGATTCAGCAGCTTCCAGGAATACTGGAAACAAGAGGCAAGTATTACAACAGTGAGTGAGTTAACGTTGTTAATCAGGTCCTACATAAAGCCCCCCAATTTCAACAATCTATCTGGGACTGCGACTGAACCAAGACAGTCTTCATTATCATGTTAATAAATTAAGTGATAACATTCTTCAAACATGTAAAATAGTATTAATAAGATACGGACATGTATCCCCTTCATACAGAATTGTAAAAACACAGAAGAAATGATTCTGCCCTTCATGTGGGACAACAATACAGCCCTGCAAGTGACATCCACTGACTACAAGACTCCCTGAGAAGATGCTGGTCAAAATAGGTCTCCAGCACCCATGCTTGCCATTAAAGGTGACCCTGCTTGTCATAAGAGACTAACAGGATCGGGTGTCTGGCTCACTGACTTGATTGATGCATGTCATCATATCACAATTCTATGGACCGGTGCTCATGATCGCAATCACTGGATTGTCTGGTCCAGACTCGATGATTTACAGACCGCTGACATATAGCTGGAATATTGCTCGGCTAAACAACAAACAAAACCTAAAAACCAGAAAGGCTAGAAGGTGCTTCCACTGACCAGTTCCATGACCTGCTGTGTCCAGGCTGAGAGCAGCTGCAGTCCGCGGAGCGCCAGGTCCGTCAGTTCCTTGTTCTCCGCGTCATTCCGCGGACTCTCCCTGGTGGTAGTGATGGCCTGAAACAATCACATTGTCTGTCACGCAGGGGTTATATATGAAATGTGGCTTGTGTCTTAATTTTAATCAGAAGCATATTTTCACAAATAGACAATAAAACCATGTTTATACAAGCACTGTGCAGCAACCGCCAGATACTTTATACAGAAAAGGGGAACTTACTGACTTAAGTCATGGTCTAGAAGAAAGAAGGTCTCTCCTATATGTGCAACAAATTGAATTCAAATAGTTGCAATAAAAGCAAAGATCATGGACATTCTGGACAATAATATGAACCAATCTATAACCCTGAACACTGCACTGCACTGCACTAAAATACACCACTACGATACACAATACTAAAATACACCACTACACTACACTACACTACACTACACTAAAATACACCACTACACTACACAACACTAAAATACACCACTACACTACACTACACTACACTACACTACACTATACACTAAAATACACTAAAATACACCACTACACTACACTACACTAAAATACACCACTACACTACACTACACTACACTACACTAAAATACACCACTACACTACACTACACTACACTACACTACACAACACTAAAATACACCACTACACTACACTACACTAAAATACACCACTACACTACACTACACTACACTACACTACACTACACTACACTACACTACACTATACACTACACTACACTACACTAAAATACACCACTACACTACACAACACTAAAATACACCACACCACTACACTACACTACACTACACTACACTATACACTAAAATACACTAAAATACACCACTACACTACACAACACTAAAATACACCACACCACTACACTACACTACACTACACTAAAATACACCACTACACTACACTACACTACACTACACTACACTACACTACACTACACTACACTACACTACACTACACTACACTACACTACACTACACTACACTACACTACACTACACTGTAAGCTAAGTAAGTGTTGTGCTGACCTCGTTGCTGTGGCGGGACAGCTGGCTGATGAACTGCATGTGGTCTTCTCGGATAGCCTCCAGGTTGACCAGCAGGTTGGACTGCGGGCTGGGCTGGCTCGACTCACAGCACGGCCACTTGGACGGCTCGAACACCGCTGCGTTCTTGATGAAGTGGAATGGAGCTATCTGCATGTCTCCATACAGAGGCACAACCTCCAGTTGCTGTTAGGACAAAGGTCGTCATTACGGCTATTGGGTTTAATGTATTGGGAATCAAAGTGTTTGACAGTGACTGACACTGTGTATACATTCAGATCCTATTTTCTACATAAGAAAGTAAATATTACTCAGCAAGGTCAGTCGACGCCATTTTGTAGTCATGGATACAGGAGAAATAACTGGAGAGAAAAATCAGCTCCATGTTTCAACAGTTTTGTCAATCATTTTTTAAGCAATCTCATAAAAATCGGATCATAGTGCTCTTAACTGCACTAAACAGAGATCCCTTATTACAACATATGAAAGGTTTTGTTTGATTTTGATTTGGAAAACAAAATGAATCGATAAAGATATTTTATACAGCAAAACACGAGAATTGATCAAAATACACCTCTCATAAAATATAGCACAACAAAAACTTTATGGCAAATCTTCATCGATGAGTTACCTTTGACCTAGTATACACATGCAAGTAGGCTGCTGATTCTACAGATTTTGGAAAATGGGCTCTTCTATAACAATAACTTGACTTAGATTACCACGCACATGAGCACAGTACACTTTAGCCAGTTTATTATTAGTACTGAGATATCAGAGCCTGCATCTTGTTGCTCACCTTCAGGATCTTGTCTATCTTGCTGATGTTGATTCTCTTCTTGGCATCCATCTTGTAGATATTGATGCCTTCTTTGGAGTTCATCAAAAACAGCCCAAATGCCATTACCTGAAACATCAGGCCACGTTACAGCAGGTATCAACACATTGGCAGGGAGTCAGTCTCGGCTCTTGCCTAAAACATGTCCATTTTTCTACTCTATTTGAGTTCTACTACAATACTGCGCAGTCTGTCTCCACTCTTGCCCAACACTTGCCCAGTGATCTGCAAGAGTTCTGCTACAATGCAGGGCAGTCTGCCTCCACTCTTGCCTAAAACATGTCCACTATTCTACTCTATTTTGAGTTCTACTACAACGCTGGGCACTCAGTTTCCACTCTTGCCCAACACTTGCCAAGTGATCTGCAAGAGTTCAACTACAACGCAGGGCAGTCAGTCTCCACTCTTGCCCAACACTTGCCCAGTGATCTACATGAGTTCTAAAACAACGCTGGGCAGATCAGACTTTTTTCAGGGCAAGGGGAATTATTCAAACAGGAACCTCCACAGGGAAGCCACAAGCAATGGGAACCTTGCTGTCCAGACGTGACCTCCACGACCTGACCTACCTTGACCAGCATGTACTTCTCACTGGGCTCCAGGAACATCTGAGCTTCATACAGCTGCAGACACAGGTTGACGATGTCTGCCAGCAGGTCTTCATGGCCGGGGATCTGGGCTAAGTTCTCCTTCACTGTGGACCGGATCTTGTTCTGGGTGGCCAAGTTGATGGATAGGTTCTGAGACTCCTGTAGAACATTTGGGTCGGCCATAACCTTGAGGAACTGAGCAGCTCTGTAATGAGAGAATATACATGTTGCCAGTTCCATCAATCTGTTTGTTTGTTTCTTGCTGTTTACAAGCAATATTTCGTCATGCCGAACATTCGAGTTCGATTCTCAACATGGTTTGTTTGTTTGTTTGTTGTTTTGTAGAATTTTCCTATTCGGAATATTCTATAAGTAATACGTTACCACTGTTATACCGAGGCTGTTGTCTCCCACAACTGCTGCTATAGTGAAATCTACCACAGAGATCTCAATTACCTCATGCAGCACGTGCGTAGCCACCTAGCTGCCATGTGACACCCTTCACTCTTGTCTCCTGCGAGAGCAAGTGCTCGGGGGACGGACGGGCGGGCAGCAGCCCAGTGGTAACGTATTACTTATAGAATATTCCGAATAGGAAAATTCTACAAATTACATTAAGTAATACGTTACCACTGTTATACCGAGGCTGACTACCACAGTAGGCGGTGGGGAGCACCTACAACCCGAATCCTGACTGCTAGCGTTCCTTCCGACCAGCGGAAGAAAACACCAAGGCGGAAGCACTCGATGCGCATGCACCTAGCTAGGCGTTACCCTATAGGAATACCAAAGCACTGTCAAGCGCATACCGTAAGGCTCAATCGTCAATGCCAAAACGATTGGTGACTCCAAACGGCCCCACTGGATAGGTATTTCATCGCCACAGCGGATGAGAACACTGTATCCGCGTGAGCTAAATCTTAGATCAGGTTAAACAGTCGAAAAGAGGGAAATTAATTTCCTTCAGACCGTATATCCCAGAGCAAGCCTACTTAAAGTATGCATTAGGCGCGTGACCTAATTCCAGTATTCGTAAGCATGTATCGCAAGGTTGGAATACACGACAGACAATTAAATGCATAATTGTCAAAATACAAATAAGGACAAAACACACAAAAAGCCGCCTCACCTGTGGTGTGAGTGCGCTGGTTTGCAGGACCCCCACTCCTGTACCCACAGCGTGGGAACATTGGAGACGACCCAGATTGACCACCGTGCAAGGACTGACGACTGCGGAGTTTGGAATTGCGCTGGACACACCCCCTAGATGACCGCTTGTGCCGCGATCAGCGGCCCAAGACGGTGCACCCCCTCCACGTCTTCATCAGAAACCTTTCTGAGGTAATGATTGGCAAAAACCGAGTCAGAACGCCAGTAACAACCTCGTAATATTCTGTGAACAGAGATATTCGAGTGTAGGGCAAATGTTGCCGCTAGCGCCCTGATCTCGTGCGGGTTTGACCCCGCTACCGGTAACCCCCGAGACTGGTACGCCAGATTGATGACAGAACGAAGCCACAACGCAATCGAGTTGCGAGTTATGTCAACCGTGCGATTAGGGTTACACGATATGAACAGACGGTCACGCCCTTGTCTACGTTCATTCGAAGCCTTAAGATAATACTTAAGGGCCCTAACCGGACACAGCGCTCTGTCCTCAGTATCAGCAGGATGTAAGATTTCTTTGAGGGATCTTACAGTGAATTCTCTCTCCGTTTGCCCGACTCTCTGATTCTTGGCGACGAAGCCCATGAGCAGGCCCAGGCGGACCTCTCCTTCGTCACCCCTATCGAATCGTACCTTGGCGACATCGAGTGCATGAATTTCGGATACATGTGCCGCCGTGGCAAAGGAGAGGAGAAATGCTGTTTTCCAAGTCACATGCCGGAACGAAGCACTATGCAAGGGTTCATACGGAGCTTCCGTAAGTGATTGCAACACTAGGGAAAGATCCCAGGCCGGTGCCCGAAGGCGGCCCTTCTTAAGATCGTGCTGTTTGAAACCCTTGATAATACCCCGTATCACCGGCTCTTTGGAGAGACTGGTACCCATAGCAACGTCCCGTACCGTAGCAACGGACGAGACAGCGTAAAACTCGAACGTGAGATCGAGTAGCGAGTGACTGTGGGTTCCCCCCAGTTTGTTCACATAGGACACTACCGTTGTGTTGTCGGTCGCCAGCATGAGCCGGGCGTCGACGAGACGATGCTTCCAGTGATTGACTGCGTTGATCACTGCCTTGAACTCGAGACAATTGATGTGAAGACCTAGTTCATCTACGCACCACAGCCCCGAGCTCACCTCCCCCTCTAGATGGGCGCCCCAGCCCACTAGAGAGGCGTCTGTATACAGGTTCAACGTGGCCCGGTAGGGCCGCATAGAGACTCCTGATAAGACATTGTAAGGGAGCGTCCACCACTCCAGATGCGGTCGGAGCCGATCCGGGAGGGCGACGGTCGCACTGTTCACCTCCGTTGCTAACAACTGGATTAAAAACCGTTGCAGCGGGCGGAGTTGGAGACGACCCCGTTCGGTGCAGTCCTGGGCTGATACAAGTAGCCCTAAGAGCTGTTCCCAAAAGTGAACAGTCTGTTGCACCGCTAAGACTTTGGCAATCATCGCCTGAATTTTGTGCCACCGGTCTGGGGGGACAAATAGGCGATGGGACACCGTGTTGAACCGACCTCCGATGAACTGCAAGTTCTGAGAAGGGGTTAACTCGCTCTTGGGGAGATTGACAATCCACCTAAACTGCTCCAAGAGCCGACGTGCGAAAACGAGATGGCGTGACAGGGTGTCCGTCATTCGATTTGCTACTAGCGAGTCGTCCAGGTACGCGAAGTACCGGACACCCCTCCGGTGGAGGAACCCCACTATGGGGGTGGTTAACCGGGTGAACAGCCAGGGAGCGGATGAAAGACCGAATGGGAGAACAACCCACTCGTAGTGCCTGCCTTGAAAGACAAACCTGAGATACTTGTGATGATCCGAGTGAATCGGAACATGCAGATAAGCATCCTTCAGGTCGATCGAAGCTAGCCAGTCGGCCGGCATGATCAGTGCTTTCAGGTCCGTCAAGCTCAACATTCTGAACTTGGGCGGTTTGCGCAGGTAGAACTCGTTGAACGATTTCAAGTTGTGAATCATTCTGAGTTCGGCACTGTCCTTCTTGGGAACGAGAAATATCCTGGAGTACAACCCAGGTGTTATTTCTGGTAGAGCTAACTCCCGAACTGCCCCCTTCTACACCAACCTGCCGATGGCATCGGCGAGGAAGGGAAGATCTGTTTCCGAACAGAAACCTCCTGACGGGGCAATGGTGAGCGGCGGATTCGCTTTGAGATCGAGCCGATAGCCGTACCGAATCGTGTTGACCACCCACGGGTCGTCGAACACTTGTTCCCAATTCTCCCAGTAAGTCTGGAGTCTGGCTCCCACTGGGAAAAGAGAGGGGGGCCGGACGGGCTGCGGCAGGCGCAACTGTCCAGGGCCAAGTGACTCGGGTTCGCCTACGGGCCAACCGAAGTTGGCGCTGTCGGCACACGAACCCCTCCAATGAGAGTCACCTGGAGGGGCCCTTGCCGTCCTTAGACGACTTGGGCTTCCCCCAGTTCCCCTTCTTCCCGCGAAAGGGCTGCTGAGAACCCTTACCGGAGCCCTCAGAGCGGGGCTTCTTCCCGGAGGAAGAAGGACCCGACCCCTTAGGCCTGCTGGACGCAGCATCCTGGGGCGCGCTCCGCTTCGGAGCGGCACCCAGGCGCCTATGCAAGGACCCCACAAGATCCAGTGTGTGCCGAGAGGCCTCGGCAGACACAGCGGCCTGTTGTTCCTTCAGAACCCCAGGGATCTTGTTATTAAACAGGGTCCGAGCAGACCAAGGCTGCGAAAGGAGCACCTCCTGATTGGCAGCGTCCAACCCTGAAGCAACCAGATACGACTGGCGCCCGAAGAAAATGGCACGTGCCGGAAACAAAGGCCGAAGCCCCGGCAACGTACTCCAGGGAAGCATTCAAACCGAGCAAGCAGTTGTAAATGCGCTGGTCTCGGTCCGTGGGAGAACCTTCGACCAGGCTGGCCGCTGCAGCCAGGTATGTGTCTCCGTGAGACATTGCCAGCATGGAGTGTCGAGCGAGGGTGTCCAGCTGTTGCAGGGTACCTTGAGGTACCGTGGCAACCGGTGGGGCACGGACCCCCAAACGCTCCACATGGGCTTCCGCAGAAGGACCAGCCTCGGGAAAGGCAAGGTCATGTACTGGGAAAGACCCTTTTCTCCACGACGGGGGAGGTAACGGGAGACCCCGACCGGAGGCAGCCGTGAAGGCCTTCTCCAAAGAAGGCTTAATCCCACGCAGCAAGTTTGATGCCGGGAAAGCCTTGTCGGACGCCTCGTCGTATATCTCGGAGGAACCCACGGAACCGTGGATTCCCCGCGGTATCGGCAGGGGCTTTGGCATGTCCTCGAAGAGGTCATACACCATGGCCATGCGGTCCTTAACCGATAGCGGAAGCAACGGTTCGGGGGAAGGACCGGTAACCACGGCAGCCCCCGCCGTACCGGTGGACCCCGCGTCCGAACCCGCGGCCACCGAAGAGGCCGGGGACGGAACAGCCAGCGGCCTATCTTGCGATAAGGCCGCCAGCTTGGAGTCCACAAGTTTCGACAATAATGCGGCGACGGAATCCCCAGACAGCCCGAGGGCCGCAAGGGGATCCTCCGCAGCCGAGGAGGTGGTACCCGCACGGGGACCCCGACCGGACGAACCGGCCACCACAGGGGTGGAGACGGACTGTACGTACAGCCGGTACCGCTCAAACTCCGCAGGCCCCAGACCTTCGCACAGGATGCACCGGGTGTCCCCGCAAGGAACCCTGCACCGCGGGCAACGATCGTGGGGATCCCGGGACGACAAAAACTTTCTGCACACCCCACAACTCCGAGGAGCAGGGGTAGAGGGGGTGGATACTGGGGACATATCCATGTCAGACATTGATTGTTTGCTATAAACAAAGAACAAAACACGGTTACAACGCACGCACCACAATGATTCACAAACGAGCATTTTCACAAGAAAATAAACGAGCAATGTGAACATATAACATACACATATAACTTTTATTAAAGAAATAAGTTATGTTAACCCCCAAAACATACAAGAACAGGGGAAACGTAAAACACAACGTGCATACGCGAACCCCGCAAGTATATAGAAAAAAGGGCGGGAAAAATTTTCCATTTGGCGGGAAAATTATAACCAAGCGTAGCTACCGCAACGCCCCATAAAAGCACAGTTTATTAGAGAATAAACTATAATAAATATCACCAAATCTTCAAGGAACGCTTCAGCAGGAGAAAACACGTCTTGCTAAGCAGACGAAGGAGACAAGAGTGAAGGGTGTCACATGGCAGCTAGGTGGCTACGCACGTGCTGCATGAGGTAATTGAGATCTCTGTGGTAGATTTCGCTATAGCAGCAGTTGTGGGAGACAACAGCCTCGGTATAACAGTGGTAACGTATTACTTAATGTAATTAACCTGCACTCAGCAATATTCCAGCTATATGACTGCGGCTTGTAAACAATCGTGTCTGGACCAGACAATCGAGTGATTGATCATGAGCATCGATCTATGCAACTGGGATATGATGACATGCATCAACCAAGTCAGTTACCTGACTACCTGATCCCGTTAGTCACCTCTTATGACAAGCATGGCTTTCTGAAGACCAACTCTAACCTGGATCTTGACTGGGTCTATGAATCTGTCATTGCATCTCGAGAGATAATAATCACTGAGTAATAATAATCGTCATCATCATCAATATTAGCATAGTTATTGTCAACATCATCATCATCATCAACAGTGAGGGCTACAAGACAAGCACGACGGCCCTGAGGGACATTACCTCCTGTATGCTGAGTAGTCATTCTTCACACTAGCCTTCATGTTCTTCAGCTCGTCCAGTTCAGCAAACATGTTAATGAACTTCCCAAGTGTCAGCAGATACGCCTCAGACACAAAATCATTCTTCTTTTCTTTGTGGCACAAACGACGAACCTCATCAGAAAATCGCTCAATAGCTCTTTTCTGAAAGTATAAATTGTTCATTTTCAATGAAAGCTTGTTAATACTGTCTCACACAAGAAGTAGCAATTCATCAGGTGCGTGGCCTACAGTGCCTATTGTGCCCACATACCTGGAAGATTAGAAACCTGTGGCTCAACAGCCAACCTACATACCTGGAAGTGCATGAAGTCTGTCAGTCAAGACACCTGTGGCTCAACAACCAACCTACATACCTGGAAGTGCGTGAAGTCTGTCAGTCTAGACACCTGTGGCTCAACAGCCAACCTACATACCTGGAAGTGCATGAAATCAGTCAGTCTAGACACCTGTGGCTCAACAGCCAACCTACATACCTGGAAGTGCATGAAATTGGTCAGTCGAGACACCTGTGGCTCAACAGCCAACCTACATACCTGGAAGTGCATGAAGTCTGTCAGTCGAGACACCTGTGGCTCAACAGCAACCTACATACCTGGAAGTGCATGAAATTGGTCAGTCGAGACACCTGTGGCTCAACAGCTAACCTACATACCTGGAAGTGCATGAAGTCTGTCAGTCTAGACACCTGTGGCTCAACAGCAACCTACATACCTGGAAGTGCATGAAATCGGTCAGTCTAGACACCTGTGGCTCAACAGCAACCTACATACCTGGAAGTGCATGAATTCTGTCAGTCTAGACACCTGTGGCTCAACAGCCAACCTACATACCTGGAAGTGCATGAAGTCTGTCAGTCGAGACACCTGTGGCTCAACAGCAACCTACATACCTGGAAGTGCATGAAATTGGTCAGTCGAGACACCTGTTGCTCAACAGCTAACCTACATACCTGGAAGTGCATGAAGTCTGTCAGTCGAGACACCTGTGGCTCAACAGCAACCTACATACCTGGAAGTGCATGAAATTGGTCAGTCGAGACACCTGTGGCTCAACAGCCAACCTACATACCTGGAAGTGCATGAAGTCTGTCAGTCTAGACACCTGTGGCTCAACAGCAACCCACATACCTGGAAGTGCATGAAATCGGTCAGTCGAGACACCTGTGGCTCTAGAACCTCCACAATCTTCTGGTAAATCTGTGTACGATTTTGCTGGTCATTGCTCTTCACCTGCACAATAAAAAGCATCATTCAAACACAACACAAAATATCTATCAGAGACAATATTTCCCATTTCTGACAACAAGGACAAAAACATACTCAACTATCTGGAAAACTGTACAGAGGTTTCAAATCACAAAAACGACTGGGACAAACAATTCATAGGAAACATATGTATAGGAAAGTACACTTTCGCTATCGTGGACAGAAGGCACTTTAAAATAATGTTGTTATAAAATGGAACTTGGGGGTTTCTAAAATAGATATGGTTCCTATTCAAAGTCATCAGTACATTTTGGGCAGAAAATGTGATAGAAATGAAGCATTGCAATTTTCAGGAACAACGGAGAATTTTGTGTTTCCCTATCTTCATCTGGGACATCTAATGCATCCCAGTAAACATACTGACATCATAATTGATGTTTTTAAGTTGGAACTTACCCTTACAAGGTTCTTATTTCCTGAAAGGGAGACCACTTACGTGTTGGCTTTAAGATTAAAACTAGCTGTGCCACTGTCCTGCTAAATTTAACATTTGAAACCACTCACTGTGCGTTCTGTTACAAATTCCATTAAATCTACAGTCAACCGCTCAATGTGGAGCTGTTCTCCAAGTCACAATAACCAACAAATGTTTGGTGTTTGTATTGGTCATTTATGACCCATATCAAACAAATTCCATGAGCATTCAGTCCAGTTTATGATATTTCAAGTAACGTCGTAGTTGTAGCAGTGATGGTGGAGAGGGAGTGTTACCTGTGGCAGTGCACGGGAGCAGCACCTCCAGGTGTACAACATGGCGGCATACTCCTGCCCCTCCTCAAGCAGCTTGTTCTGAAACATGGCAGGTACATATTACATCATGATACTGCTACCATAAAACATGGGATGTATACATTACAATCTGCCACCTTAAACATTCTGGTGCCTGGAACTCTACAAGATTTACCAATTCTGCTGTTTACCATACCATAGCACAGAGCGGCCAGCACACCCATGAAGACCCAGGTTAAAATCGGTCTTCGGCAATACATGCTAGTTGCAAGAGGTGACTATGCTTGTCACAATGGGCGACTAACAGGATCGGCTGGTCAGGTTCACTGACTTGCTTGATGCATGTCATCGATCCGAACTGCGTAAATCTATGATCATGTAGTCAGTCACTGGATTGTCTAGAACAGATCTGATTCTTTACAGACTGCCATCATATAGTTGGAGTGCAGCATTAAACAACGAACAGATGATTACTTTGTGCAACACACAGCAATATTGCAGCTAAATGATGGCAGCCTGTAATTAATCAAGTCTGGAACAAACAATCCAGTGATCAATACAGTGTTCCCGTTTACTGGTATTTACCAGTTTTTTACTGGTAAAATTAGACTTGGACTGGTTATTCATTTGACTGCCAGTCCCTGTGAACTGGCAAATAAAGTACCATATAAATTTTGGTTGTTGAAAAAAACACTGGCGATATTCAAATGTAAGTATATTTTTTATCGAAGTCAGCTTGTCTGTTACCATCAGCGTTTCCCGTTGTCCATTTTTAGTGCAAGAAAATAACATTTCGCTTTGGTTTGAGGTTAAGTATATCTTCGTAGTGACATCGTCCAGAAATATCCAAAAAAAAGAAGAGTAAATTGTGACTGAACTTTGTATGAAAAACAAGTAGATCTAACTAGGTTGCTTCAGAGATGGTGTCTTTTCAATCGAACATAATGTCGAAAGAATTAAAGCCAGGTAATTTTCATATGTTTATTTATTTGTGGAAAGTCTGGACTGACAAAAATTAGGAGGGACTGGTAATTTGTAGTGTTGTCAGTCCACCAGGACTGGACGTTTCAAAAGCCAGCGGGAACACTGCAATATAGTGAGCAACGATCCATGCTGTAAATATAACAGACAATAATTAAATTTTCGTTGTGTTCATGGAAATTCCTGCATTCTGATTAGCTGAATTGGTCACGTGTTATTGCATTCATTTCCCAATGAATGTAAAAAATTAAGCCACGCCCACCGCGGCGCACTACTTTTATTACTGCGGAATGTCGGGGAATCCCAATATTACAGTCGAGGGAATTCCCTTTCTGCAGACGTGTATCGTCATGCACAGGACATTTAGCGACTTTCATGCATATTCATTTTCCAAACAACCGTTTGAAACCGAAAACGAATGAAACAGCAAACGTGCAGGCTCTCTCGACTGTTTTTTCCCCGCTCGTCTCGGTTCAACTTTCATGTCTTCGGGTTTCATGTCTAACTAGCATTTCTCTAACTGAGTTTTACCGTAATCAGGGAAGTAATGTTTGAATCACGCAGTAAATGACCATGTTATTTGAAACAGCCGCCTTCTCTCGGTCGACATATTTCTTCCGGTTCGTTACAGTCTGACTGTTGCAGTTCTTTTTGCCTCTTGCCTTAATTGACAGGTCTAATGAACATTGTTTTAATCCCACTCTCCGTTGATTGGCTACTGACTGTGTAGGCGTGTTAAGTTATGTGCATAAATTAAACGATCACCTGATACATGTCACGCCACTGTATATATTCCTACACCTGGAATGTTTATCAATGTCGTCATTTTTGTCTGTTTTGATATATGCAACTGTTTTGGGTTAAACTATTGTAGATAAAACATGTTTAACGTTGTCGAATTTAATTATAAGCATTGACTGTATATTTGTTTCGGTTCATTGAGGTATGAATCGAAAAGCCGATGTGCAAACTTTTGTAAGAATCCGCTATGCGGGTTCATACAGTTTGCACATCGGTTTTTCGATTCATACCTCAATGAACCGAAAAAAATACACAGTCAATCCTTAAGTAAATAACAGGCAAACCAGCAAGATCCTCCCAATTCATTTGGTTGCCTCTTGTGACCAGCTGTTTATGGGGACCAACTCTAACCAAGGGAAACACACAGTGAGACACACTTACCAGATCAGCATGAACTGTGGCCTCTTCAATGTACTTGGCCACACCGGTAACATAGGCGTTTCTGTCCTCGAAGTTGGTGTCGAAGTCTGCACGGTAGTGCACGGACTGCGGCATGGCCTCGATACATGGCTGCTGGTCCGGAAGGTGGAGCTCGTCCAACACATCCACATTCTGTAGCGCATCAGTCAGGGTGATCTTCTCACCCGCCCCCACAGACATCGCGCTTGGTGTGCCTGGAATATAGTACAGAAGAAATTATTATTATTATCATTATCATTATCATTATCATTAACATTATCATTATTATAATATACCGCAGGCATCCAGGAACTAGTGTCTGCTCAAATGCGGTTTTATTTGTTCCCTGACCAGTGTTATCATTCTCAACTCCCTGGGGAGTATACAACCCAACCTGAATAGGGGCACTACAAGGTTTTTACATCCAAGGTTTTTACATAATCATACACGGTTTCAAATAAACTATGAACAAGAAGAAAGTCAAAGTCAAAGGAACCTTGACATAAAACTCCAATGTGCATCCAATTATGCTACCATCACACCAAAGTAGTTCTATCCTGTTCTACCCCGTTCTGACAAAAATACAAGAACGTTCTGAAAAAAATACAAGAACGGGCTGTGAGCAGTCCTCAATATGTCTATCTCATTCTTATCGAATTCTCAGTCAGTCTGCGGTCTGTTTGTATCCAGTTCAGATCGTGTAAAAGTGCCTGTTCACCAATTTTCGGAGCAGTTCAGGCACGTCCGTAGCCGTTCTCAACCCATTCTTAACCAGTTCAACCTCGTTCTACCTCGTTCACAATACATCCAAGCCAGTTCTAACTTATTCTTAACCCGAACAATTCGTTCGCACTACGTCCTCATCTCGTCCCAAGTGCGTGTGTATTCGCGTCCTGGCCCGTCCTGTTCGACTCCTATGGATACCGAGCGTGTTGTAGCCAGCCTTCAATCAAGTTCAGGGCTCCGAGCTGTACACATCATGCCTCCAAAGAGAAGTCTATTCAGAAAGACAGGGCAAGCGAAAGCAAGCACAATATAGCCCTGCTGAAGGCCATGCAAATCCCACTGAAGGTGCTGAGACTATTGAGCCTGCCCATTAAGGGCCAATTCAAGAGAGGGAGACAAAAAGAAAGCTGTGTCCCCTGGAGCCCCTGATGCCTGCAAGTCAGATGGGGGATCTCAAACCCATCTGATGAACCTGAAACCCTAGCGGTATTTATACCCTGGCTTGTCCTATCGTACTTCAGACGGGGGTGGTTGTAGTAAGAACTGCGTGAGAACTACATAAACATACTCCAAACTAGGAGAACTTAATGAGAACCTACTGGGAACTTTTAGAACCATCAAGAAACGTGTTGCCAACTGCTTCAGAACTTTATATTTGGTTTGAAAAGTATTTGCACGAAATAAGGATTGACTAAGAACGTAATGCGGTCAAATTGGGTCTGTCTGAAAACAGGATGAACAAGCAACAAACGGACCTGGTCGGTGTGCACACGTACTGAAATTTATGTCCGACTGCACCCAGTCGTAACACGTCCCTAGTAGGTTCGAAGTACGGCAATTCCGTTCATAATTTTGAGCAGACTTCAAGTTCTAGACCACCCTCCCCGTCCGAGCCCGTCCATGATGTTTGTAAAAAGACTGTCAATAGTTGCTACTACGTCCACTACGTTCATACACACTTGGAGCCTGGCAATGAAGTTCGTAAAAAGACTGTCAATAGTTGCTACTACGTTCATACACAGTTGGAGCCCGTTCGACAACATTTTCACGAACGTATTGAGAACTAGTTTGGTGTGATGGAGGTATTACTGAGGACACTTCCATCTCGAACATAATACATTTTTGAGTGTAGGGCCTTGAGCATGTTGAGAGTGAATTTGACATTCCAAAACAATGACAAGTATTTCAACAACTTTTCAATGGGCTACCCTGCAAATATACCAAATATGAGGTCCATATGAGGTTGTATATGCCCTACTCATTGCAAGTAGATGACAGTGACCTATCACTGACATTGAAAAGTTGTCATCGCTGGTTATACATAAGAATTCACACCAGGACATGCATAAGACTTTCAAAAAAAGACAAGCAGAAAAAGGCATGTTATTGAACATGACCTTCACTGTGACTTTGACCTTACGAAGGTCACAAACTATTTCAGATCATGACCCCGCCCCAAGGATGATACGTGCCATTTTTCACTGACATATAGCACATGATATAGTAAATGCTTCCTGAGCATTTAAAAGACATCGAGCATGACTTAATTGTCCTTTGACTGGTCAATGTGTCAAAATAATTTCACAGGGTTATTTATACACAGATAATGGAGATTATACGGTATATGATATCCCTGGGAAGTTCAAGCGCTAATCATGTACACGGATTCCAAAACAAAGTGTGGCAGTCAAACTCAGACAAAGCCTTAAAGCATCCCCATTATACATTGGGCCGCATAAAAACTGACTGTTTTAGAAGTGAGGTGGACATTTTATGAGGGAAGCAGAATGGAGATCAATCATGTATGATACATTTGCCTTAAACTCAATCAAAAACAATTTTGAGTGTTTGTAAAATAATACGTGATCTTAGTCATTGCATTGGCTAAACATGAACCTGACAATGATCATCACAATGAACATCTCAATGAACATGACAAGGAACATCACAATGATCATCACAATGAACATCACCATGAACATCATAAGAAACATCACAATGAACATCACCATGAACATGACAATGAACATCACCATGAACATCATAAGAAACATCACAATGAACATCACCATGAACATCACAATGAACACCACAAGGAACATCACCATGAACATCATAAGAAACATCACCATGAACATGACAATGAACATCACAAGGAATATGTCAAGGAACATCACGAGGAACATGACAATGAACATCACAAGGAACATGTCAAGGAACATAATAAACCTCACAAGGAACATCACAAGGAACATGACAATGAACAACATAATAAACATGACAAGAACATCTCAAGGAACATCACCATAAACATCACAAGGAACATGCCAAGGAACATCACAAGAAGCATCACAAGAAACATCAAAAGGAACATCACAAGAAACATGATGAAGGGACAGTGAGTTGAAATTAACATAATTAACATATTTGGCAATATTTCAGCTAAATAGCGACTACAGTATAAAGAGGACAGACGGTAAATACTTAATGACATTTTGACAACATTAAACAAAGCATCCTAGTATAATTATATTAATCAGGATAACAACACAGGTAATATTTTGAGCATTACCTGAGTTACCGTATTCGACGTAATAAGCGCCCTGCTCTAATAAGCGCCCACTGCGATATTTTCTAATATATTGGCTAGCGTACAATCCCAATTAGCACCCCTTCCGATTGATCAATGTACACTGGACTTATTTATTCGTGTATAATACGCATGTTATATGCATTCATAGTTATTGGAAATTAAATTCTGGAAAAAATATATCTGTCGTATATAAACATTTCAGGCTGTTAGCATAAACCACGAAATTTACGATCTTTCAACTCTGTTGTTTTTCACCAAAATAATATTCTAATAAGAGCCCCCTATTTCTAACTTTGAGAGCGCCCTGTGCGCTTATTATGTCGAATACGGTAATGGTTGTTCACCATGGGTACAGTGTCTAACCACACTAAAACCAGGAAAAATAATCATGTCCATTTTAAGATTAAACAATCGTAGGATCAATGCTAATCACCCAATCACAAGGCAACTTCCTTCAACAGCAGACCAAAGCATGATATACAGCGAGGTCTTACAGAACTGTCAGGAAACAGCCTCTTGAACAACATCCTGCTAAAGCATATTAGCATGGCAGGCCACACCAATCTGAAGCACAATATAAATGTACACTACTGCCAGCATGGTGGGGCCATGCTCGCTGGGACGATAACTGAATTCAAACAACGTGACCATGCTCATTGTGACGATAACTGAATTCAAAGAATGTGACCATGCACATTCTGACAATAACTTGAGTCAAACAACATAACCATGCTCGTTGTGACGATGACATGAGTCAAGCAATGTGACCATGCTCATTCTGACAATAACTTGAGTCAAACAAAGTAACCATGCTCGTTGTGACGATAACTTGAGTCAAACAATGTGACCACGCTCGTTGTGACGATAACTTGAGTCAATGTGACCATGATCGTTGTGACATTAACTTGAGTCAAACAAAGTGACCATGCTCGCTGTGACGTTAACTTGAGTCAAACAAAGTGACCATGCTCGCTGTGACGTTAACTTGAGTCAAACAAAGTGACCATGCTCGCTGTGACGTTAACTTGAGTCAAACAAAGTGACCATGCTCGCTGTGACGTTAACTTGAGTCAAACAAAGTGACCATGCTTGCTGTGACGTTAACTTGAGTCAAACAAAGTGACCATGCTCGCTGTGACGTTAACTTGAGTCAAACAAAGTGACCATGGTTGTGAGGGTACGTGAAAACGGGTTCAACATCTCTCCCTCTCAGATAGGAAATACAGATTTGTGTGTACAATCGGGTTTTTGAAACTGTCCATGTATTTCTGTATGCAAGCAACTCAAAACTAACTGAGTCACTGTCATGTGATTTACTATTTTACACAAATATGCAGCTTATCTGGAGGTCTGTGCACAGTACATATCAATGTACACGATGAACAACGATCACATGGTAAAGTGTGTGACAGCTAGCATGATGAATGCTATGCTTCCAAACAAATACCTGATGGGTGCAACAAAAAGGTCCCAACTCTGAATCAACACCACAAATACACTGACAATACCTTATCATCTGATCATTATCATGTGTATACATACCAAAACATACTTCCTTGAAAGGGATGCATGGAACACAACTTATCTCCATGGCCTGCTAAGCAGAGAAGGAAGCAATCATCGTCATGAACACTGTGAATTGTCTGGAGTAGAACTTAATGTCACACAAAACCAGGAAGCAAGCCATTCAGAATAACTTGCCTTGATGCTTGAGAGACAATAATGTACTATTTCAATTGAGGCACATCATTTTAAAAATCGGGAATTGATCTGGGATTCCGAACATCATGAACATAGTACCTGTTCTTACTTTCAGTTGTATCTTAACTAGGTATTTTAACATTTAAATACAATTGCTTTTTATTGGTCCTCTTCTCAGTGAAATTAAAGCCACCTCAACCAAGTGAGTGAGTGAGCATGGTTTTACGCCGCTTTTAGCAATATTCCAGCAATATCACGGCAGGGGGACACCACAAATGGGCTTCACACATTGTACCCATGTCGGGAATCGAACCCGGGTGTTCGGCGTGACGAGCGAACGCTTTAACCACTAGGCTACCCGACCGCCCCTCACCTCAACCAAGCCATCACCATGTCACCATGGTCACATCAGTGACCACAACCATATCTTTTTATTTTGAGAGAGTGAGTATGGCTTTACACCAGGGTTGGATATAAAAAAAATGCCAGGCTGCCATCATGACGCACAAACTTCAGAAGCTGCAGGCCCTGGCTATACCCTTAAGGCCCTCATTTTTAAAAAAAATGCAGCTTATTGTGACAGATACATAAAGACGTAAATTTACTGCAGCATAAGGACCCATACAAATTTGAAACAATGGGCCCAATACGAAATCTACCTGCAACAGGCCTACGGGCAGGCACTAATTTCGAACACTGTTTTACACAGCTTTTAGCAATATTCCAGCAACATCAAGGCAGGAGACAACAGAAAGGGCTTCACATATTGTACCCATGTGGGGAATAAATCCCAGGCCTCAGGTGTGACAAGCCTGACCCTTAACAATTAGGTTATCCCACCAACCCCAAATTTTCATGAACATCATAAATTGAATTTGTTTAATTCCCATGTGGAAATCTTTACTGAACAGGTCTAGATATATTCCTGAACACTCATTACGTATTCATAGAAAAGACAAAAATATATTAGTCAATCTACGTTGTCCAAAAATATACAACACCCAAACTGATTATGCGTATATATAACCCAACTGTCCAAACCAATATATAATGTATTTAACTAGATTAACTATGAATCACATTTGTTTGTTTGTTTGCTGTTTGACACCACACTCAGGAATATTCTAGCTATATGGCGGCAGTCTGTAAATAATCAAATCTGGACCAGACAATCCAGTGATTGACATCGTGAGCATCAATCTACACAATTGCAATGTGATGAGATGCATCACACGTCAGCGAGCCTGACCACCCGATCTTGTTGATCACCTCTTACACCCAGCATGGGTTGATGAAGACTAGTTCTAGCCCAGATCTTCACAGGGTGCCCCTTGACAGTAGATTAGCATTGTAACGTAATGGGGATAAACATGGCCTAAATAGTTGAAAAATGTAATAATGACGTCAAGTAACTTCCAAGAATGGTAGGGCTTCATGAAAGTATTTATTTACTACAGTAAATTTTGGCTGCAGAAATCATGCTGAATTAGTGTGAATTTAGTTTAAAATGTTCAAGTTTTCAATTTATCGCCGAGTACCCTATTTTCGAACGACACCTATAATTTCGAAACAGCCAAATTGAAAGTGATTTTGACCCACTATAACAAGAGGTGGGACGTCAACAAGGTTGTCACCTTGAGAGTGCACACGTTCAGCCTGTCATGATTTGGGTTCACCTGTCAGAACAGTCCATCGTAATTCAGATTTTTGGTGCCCGTGCCATGATGAAACATGATGAAAGGGAAGAGTGGAATAGTGTGAACATTATCATTTGACAAATATTCATATTCTGTGACTAGGTTTCAAACTTTCAATTACTGTTTGAGTGTTAATGCCAACCTGCAAGAAATATGTTGAGAACTGTGTGCCAAAACATGTTGGTTCATTCATAGAAACTCTGCTAAATACAAAACCAAGCATGTGTATAGGTGATGTCACTCGAGCATGTCGAGTGCAGCGGAAGTTTACAAACCATGCAAATGAGGTCACGCCTTTAAAGGGGCACTGATCTAAAGCAATTCCCCGGGACTGGTTGTTGCCTTTGTTATTGTTTTTTCCAAGTGAGTACCCGGATGTATAGCAGAAATCTAGACTAGTTCGCGACCTCTGCTGCGCCATTCGTAAGCGCATTAGTCACTTTTATCGGTAGTAATAAGGGCGTATGGTCACATTGATCAACAAAATGAAATACAGTTTTCGAGATAATAAGGAAATGTAGGTATCTTTTTGGGTAGTATCGGTAATGGTGACGAAGTTTTGATAAGTCACTTGCTTGGTAATTTTGCGATTTTCGTTTACACTGTTTTGACTTGCAACACAAAGTAAATATTTCACCTAAGCATTGCTTTTTTATAGTGTGTATACTTTTTTACTGTCAAAATGTGTAACATTTTCAAATTTATTAAACGCCTAAATATTCAGTTATTTTACAAAGTGACTGAAAAACATTTCCATCTGTATTATTATAATAACGAATTCCAAACATGTTGATGTTTAATGTCATCACCAAGAGACTGAAAATGTTACGTTGAAAAGTACATTTCTGTGTTGTATGGCTTCTAATCCTACATAATAATCTGTTGTGATGTTTTTAGGCCCTTTGATCGTCTTAATCAATTTTAGTGAATCTACAATCAAATATTTTAAAAGATATATATGGTTTCGGGATGTTATAACCCGTGTTCGTTTCTCAACTGATCACATAGTTTGTTTCAGGTGTTTCACATAGGTGTCAAGTCTCAAGGGTCGGCTGAGAAAGCCCAAGTGAAAACTATTGTCATAACGTCCACGGTTCCTAAAAAATACATTGAGTGATAGATAACAATGAGCAATCAATCAACGTATTATCAGTTAACCCTTTGAACAAAGTATGTTGTTTTTACATTGGCACTTTACGCCATGATATGAGTGTATTCCCTTTGTTTTAGTAAACCTAGACATGTAAACACTCACTTTTGACATATCCCCTGTGCAAGATAACAGTGACTAATCAATCAACGTATTTTCTTTTAATCCTTTGATGACTAGGAACGATCCGTTGATTTACAAAAAAAAGTAAATCAACTGATCATTCACCTCTTGCTGGGCTGCCACATGCATATTACATAACAAACATTTCACCTCACTTCAAACCTGGATTTAGATTGAATAATTACCCCAGACACAATAAATGCCAAATGGGACCCTTTGTCAGGTAATCTAAGTGGTGCTACCAATAATTGTACCTATGACGACAAATACACAGGTGTAGGGTTATACCAGAAGACGTGGATGACAACGAGGGAGTAGTAATCATATTATCGACGCAATCCGCAATTCACTGCATGGATACTTTTTTTATTATTAAACTATAACTATCTGGAGTATTTCCAAATGGCACATCCGATAAGCTCCGCGGTCCCTTTTTCTGTTTGTTTATGCTGAAGAAATTAATTAACATGCGCCCTTTGTCGAAATCTTTATAGATCACAGTTAACCAATCATTGTTCAAAAATGCGTAAAACAAATATTGCCTCCAGCCTCTAAGTTTATTTAGCTGTCCTTGCAGACGGTAGCCCAGTCTCTGGTCACGCTCAGTTGCGTTGCGTATCATCCGGGTACTCACGGGGGAAAAACAATAACAAAGTTAACAACCAGTCCGGGGAATTGCGTTAGATCAGTGCCCCTTTAAACAAGAATTGTTGTTTCTTTCGGAATGGAGCTGAATTCTATCGTTGAAGACATCACCTACTGGTGTGAAGCAGAATTTGAGTTTTGATTCACTTATCCCTCGAAATAACAGCAATGCCATCTTAACTGTTCGAAAATAGGGTACGTCAGGATACATGACACGCTATCCATGGCAAAATGTATATAGTAAAATAGTCATCATAGAAGGAACAAGAGTTTATTTGGATTGGTGTGTATGCATCGACTATAAAATCACTCCCGAAACTGTAACTAACAAATATACGTTTGATTTACGGACACCAAGTAAATTACGAGTATCTGATCGTGTGCTGAATCAGAAACATCATCATCACGATCATAATCATAAATATATCCAACATTGTATCACAAAAAGAACAATACTGCTGGAAATGATTCCACACATAACATGTTTCTGAATACAGTCACACACAACCGATATCAAATCAAAACCACCTGTCAAAATAGCCAAGCCAAATGTCGTGTGACAGGGCGCGTATGTCAAAATATCAAAATCATGAAACTATTTCAACAAAGGCGTAGCTCGTTTGCATTTCCCACTTGGTGATATCTTTAAAGTGACTCTAATAAACACTACATACCTCTAAGAACTATCTTCTGAAAGTGTGCACTTCTTCTCAATTAGGACCGTAACATTTCTATACGTAAATTAGAACGAATTCCGATAAAATTATTATAAATATGGAGACACTTCCGCTTTGATAAAGGGAGGTAACTCTAGAATGAGTCATTCAACTAGGTCACGTTGACATTTTTATTCGGTACTGTAAAAAGAAGCCGTAAAATCATATATTTCTTTCAGCATTGCTATTGAGATGATGATGTACTATAGATTACTGTATAGATTCTCCGTAGCGAGTATTCGTATGTAAGAAGTAGGAGCCTATGGTATGGACAATTTATAATACGAAACATGTGGAAACTCAAGAAACGCGGTACTTTTTGTGTTGGATGTATGTAAATTCGTAACCCAAAAGAATTCATACCCCTGGAAATGAAAAAAAATCCTACCCCAAATAGAAAAAAATTTCGTTACCCTATGCAGTAAGCAATAAATTACGTTAAATGAGATATATATTAGTTTAATAGAATATATCAATTACTCCGGCCAAACACAGTCAACAATATTCCATACGAATATACAAAACTATCGGACCAAGGGCAACGGGTGGAGCTGTGTTGGATCCCCTCTCACATAGATGTTCATGGAAATGAAAAAGGCAGACTCACTGGCGAAGCTAGCTCTAGACAAAGCGAATATACAGCCTATTCCCTTTAGTAAACTAGAGATAAAAAGCAAAAGCAAAGCCTCCATAGCAGAAAGATGGCAAGCCCAATGGGACGCAAGTAAGATCGGCAGATGGCTATACAAAATTCAACCCAAGGTCCAACAAAAGCCAAACTCATACTCAAATGAAAGGAAAATTGAAATTGCTATCTCACGCCTCAGACTCGGTCACAAAAAGCACTATGACAAGGTTTGTTCATCTTGCAATCAGGATGAAACCATTGATCACGTGTTACTAGAATGTCAAGACCATGCCCCAGCCCGGGCTAGGTTAAAACAAGAATTGCAGTTAGATCCGCTATCTGTCATAGATCTCATAAAGCCAAGAGATGCAATAGCGAAGGCCAAACTAACTCTATTTCTGAGAGATGGACAGCTACTGGAACGTATATAAACAGAGCAGCCAAGGATAAAAATGAAATCATATCAATATAAGAAAATAGAAATCATATCAATACAAACACAGAAATTATGTGAACACCAAACTCACAATAGATATGTGTACCCTACTCACACACAGGAGTCCCAAAGATGGACAGGTCAGCCGAAATTGCCTAGGCAGAAGGCGACCTCTTAAACACTTAAAGCAACAACAACATCAGTTACTCCGAACGATGACATGCGATGTATGGCAACACCGTTTATGCGATATACAGTATATTCCAGCAACATGATGGCAGTCTGGACAAGACTATGCAGTGATTTGGGATATTGGTTGTTGTTTTCAACACAACTCGTTGTAGCTAGAAAAAATGCGATAAACATAGGCGCCCGAAAAGAATGTTTGGAAACCTGTAATCCAATTATACGACGGCTGGTCAAACAGTTCTAAGCCTAACAAACAAAACCAACAATTGTGAAAGCGTTTTTAATTTTATTTTCAACATAATCTCCCTGCTTTTCAATACACTTCTCATACCGATAGTGAAGCTTTCCAATTCCAGTTAGGAAGAAGGTTTCTGAAGCCAACCTGAAAAACCCATTCACTGCAGCTTCAGGTCATCGTTGTAGCCCAAGCGCTGAGACCACTTCCACCGCAGGTGACATTTCAACCTGTGAGAATGCAGGGGACGGTGTGGGGTCATCACATCGGGACAGGTGTTGGGTAATTACCTCAGCTTTTGACCATTGTGATGTTGAGCTGTTAATAATTCCAATTGCTCTCCACGGCCATCGCACAAGTGTGGTATTTATAATTATGAATAACTTTGAATCATTGAGTGTTTTCCTGCAAACCAACTGACAACGGGAACAAAACATACGTACAGCTGTTCAGACTCCGTTAATTTAGATAGCCATGACTTCTCCACAAAATGCACATTTACGAGAGGTTGCTGAAAAGTTCTGAGCATAAGTGCGATGGACAGCATTGATGGAGTTGGTTGTTAATTATTATTTTTAATGATCCCTCCTGAGTTCCAAACACTTCTGCCAACGGTAGTGAAATTCCTGGACCACACTGGTGTAGCATCTTTCCGATGCAAGGAGGTTAACTGACTGTAAAAATCTAAACTTCTAGAGTCAGTTAACTCCCTTTCCCCGGGAAGATGCTGGTGTAGACGCTTCCTCCTGGTGGTGTGAAATTCCTCCAAAGCAGAAATGACGTATGATGATTCATTTGCATATTTTTTGCAAATCTGTTCTTTTGTGAGGTTTGGAAAGAGGTGGACGAATGGGGGTGTCAAATCTGCTGAATACGGAGGATGCTCAATGAGTTCAAAGCCACCGCGTGTTCATAGTCGAAAGGCCATGGGAGCTGTACAAATTTTGCACTTGTCAGAGGGGTACACAAAGTATGTGATCTAGACTACCACTTGTCGGACTTTCATTTTGTGGAAGCCTCGGTGGCTTAGTGGGTTAGATCGTTGACTTTGTGGGCTGATGAGTAGGTGCCTCACTCTGGCAGTGTGGGTTTGAATCCCGGACGGGACTCAACCCAGAGACCATATAATCTATTATATGGTCTCTGACTCAACCCCACAAAAGTAGGAGAATCTGTGCTTTACTGAGGAAGTGCTATCTCATATATGACATTTGTTACATTTGACCACTTTCTAAATGGCATTGTGTGTTCAGAGATAATGAACCTGGAACGTTTCTATCAGGAGCCAGAATCTTTGGAACCCAGCAAGTTGAAACCTTTCTCATGCCCAGTTTGTTTCTCAGAATGCTCTTGTTTCGTTTGTTTGTTGTTTAACGCCGCACTCAGCAATATTCCAGCTATATGACGGTGGTCTGTAAATAATCGAGTCTGGACCAGACAATCCAGTGATTGATATCATGAGCATTGGGATGCGATGACAAGCATCAGCCAAGCCAGCAAAAAGTTCTCAACTCTTTCATTAGAGATGCCTACTGCATTGGCTATGAGTGAGTTGTCACTCATCCATAATGATTTTATCATCATTTTCCTGGTGGCACTTGAAGGACTTCCTGATATTGTCGTAAGAGGTAACAGGGTTGGGTGGTCAGGCACACTTAATTGGTTGATGCATGTCATCGTATCCCAAATGTGAGGATCGATGCTCATTATATCAATCATTGGACTGTCTGGTACAGACTAGATTATTTACAGACCGTCGTCATATAGCTGGAATATTGCTGAGTGCAGCGTTAAACAACAAACAAACAAACAAACAAAACAAACAAACAAATCTTGGAACTGCACTGTCCTCCTCTTAACAGTGGCAAAGGAAGGAGCATCATCGCCCAAAGTTGACACTATGTTCATATAGATGGCTATTAGGAGATACTTGATGACAATTTTGTCAAAGAATACATAGTCACTTCAATGCCTGGAGAAATACATGTCCTGGCTGTGTACCAATAATGAAAGTACAGTACTTAATACATGCAAACTGTTAAGAGTGTACTGTACATTTTTTGTAGTTAGGCTCAGAATGATTCAGCCATTCCTTATATCCTTTATAACTTGTGATTTGGTAGCAAATTATGTTGGGCTTCAGAGGTTGTGAATGGGAATGCTGTTCCTTGTCATTTGTATCAGGTATGGACCTCCCATAAAATTACTGCCATTGTGAAGGGCTACTGTTTGGACAGATGGAGACTCAGGACATGAACTATGATGGCAACTGGAGCCAATAAAAGACCATTGTAAAGTTAGGTTATTATTTTACATTAAACTCAGTAATATTCCAGCTTCATGACAGCAGTCTGGGAATATCTGACTCTGGACCAGAAAATCCTGTGATTGACATGACATGATGAGCATCAACCTATGGAATTGGGATACGATGACATGCAATGACAAAGTTAATGAGCTTGACCACCCAATCCTGCTGGTTGCCTCTTACAACAAGCTTGGGTTGGGGAAGACCAATTCAAACCTGGATTTTCACAGGGAGCTGGTTTCTCTGAGTGGCCATCAGTCCCAATGGTAAAGGAGGAGCATGTCTGTGCCACAGTAGCAGCAGCCAACTTCTTTAACTTCCTGGTTCGGCTTATCTGCGGGTCATTTCATTTTCTTTCATATTTCAATGGTCAAGTTAACACCTCGGCTTATCTACGGGGTTGGCTTATCCGCGGTCATATACGGTATGGTATGTGGTGACACTTGTCATAGAAATGTTATGTACAGAAAGAACTATTAGAGTTTTTGAATATGTAATTGTTTTATTGACATGGACAAGAAAGAAAATTAAAGAACACAACCCTAAATGTTCTTCCAAAATATGACTACAAAAGTATGAACAGGTTTAACTTGTGTAAAATGTTACAGAAACGTCACTAACACAACAAATACTATATATATAATCTGTTAAATGGGTCACAATGATGTAATTAAATATTGTACCAAAACTGTACATTCTGTACACTTAATTTGTATGTAATCATCATCATCATCATCATCTTTATGCCGATGATTGTTGCCCCTTCCGATTGATCAATGTGCATAATACACACTTGTGTGTTATATGCACCCTAATTATGGGCAATAAACTTCTAGAAAAATATATCCGTTGTATATAAACATTTCAGGCTGTCAGCATAAACCATAAAATTTCTCTTTCAACTCTGTTTTATTTCACCAATATAATATTCTAATAAGAGCCCCCTATTTCTAATTTTGAGAGCGCCCAGGGCGCTTATTACGTCTAATACGGTAATAACATTGTGTATAATAAAACATAACATATTTCCATGAGAATTTTAACAATTTTTTAAAATTAAAACCTAATTATTACAGCAGTGCATGAACAAAAAGTGTTTGGAATTTCGAACAAGCATGTGGTTTATCTACATCAAAGATAGTGCATCAAGTGTGTGTAATTGTGTGCATGTTTCTAGGTGTGTGTGTATGTGTGCGTGCGTGTGCGTCTGTGGTATGTGTGCATGGATGCACAAGCTTAAAAAAAGTTACTTTTATTCATGAAATGATGCGTCGGCACACCCGTAAACCAAGTATTCAAAAACAAAAAAATATTTATGTACACATACTACATTTGTTCTCACATCCATAAACTTAAGTCTGTTTGAAGACTTACCGATGTGCCCAGGCTTGGGTTATAGTTCATTTTATCGTTGAAGAGGAGGTTCAGATGAGTTTGTGAACCTCTGGTGTCATCAGTGTCTTTCAGTGATCCATTCATATTTACGCCCAATGGAATCTGCAGAATCAGTAGATAATCTCGGGCATTGACGTTTAATATTTATCTTCATGAAATCATTTTTGTTCTATGTCAAGAATATTGTATAAGTTTCTGTGCATTTTTTTCACCATAATTGTAAAATTCATTAAATAGACTTAATCTAGTTTATTACTGATATCTATTCTCATGGATCAACAACCTGGCTTGATGACTGGCTCAAGCTCAGCACCAGATCTAAGTAGATATTTCTCTGATGACGAGATGCTCATCACTGGATCTAAGTACATATTTCCCTGATGATGAGATGCTCATCACCAGATCTAAGTAGATATTTCTCTGATGACGAGATGCTCATCACTGGATCTAAGTAGATATTTCTCTGATGACGAGATGCTCATCACTGGATCTAAGTACATATTTCCCTGATGATGAGATGCTCATCACCAGATCTAAGTAGATATTTCTCTGATGACGAGATGCTCATCACTGGATCTAAGTACATATTTCCCTGATGACGAGATGCTCATCACTGGATCTAAGTAGATATTTCTCTGATGACGAGATGCTCATCACTGGATCTAAGTAGATATTTCCCTGATGACGAGATGCTCATCACTGGATCCAAGTAGATATTTCTCTGATGACGAGATGCTCAGCACCAGATCTAAGAAGATATTTCCCTGATGACGAGATGCTCATCACTGGATCTATGTAGATATTTCCCTGCCAATCATGCAGTGAGCAAGTGACTGCCGGGCTATGTATGTGACCATGAGGCTGTCCCACAACACGTGACACCAGCACATAGAGGGTCCTCAGTACCTCATGCTTGTCAGAAGCCAGGGATGTATCCAGGATTCTAGATTCACAGCCCTAGGCAGGCAATTTGGGACATAATACTTATTTTTCTCAAATTGGTCAGAGAAATACATGTCACCTGCACAAAGTCTTAAAGTTCTCACCAAATAACATGAGTTTGGAAATTTGTAATTCCAATTTGGGAATATTTACTGGAATTTGCTGCTGCCTTGGGCCGAATATCATCCTCTGAGCAGACCTAGATAAATCACTGCGACTAAAATGTGGATTGGGTGGTTACAGTTGGGGGTCGGCTAAAACCCTGACAGTGTGTATCACTGCTTACACTATCTACCTCTGGTTCTCTGCTATTAATATGATTACCTACAGCATTTGTGTTGTTATAATGTGAGGTGTTGTTACACAACATTAGGTCACCTGGAAACAATAAGGGTTTGTTGAATAAATACATACACATAGCTAAACTTTCTCAGAAGCTAATTCATAACCCATTTTGCTAACTCAAATGAATAAAACAGAATAAAAAAATCAAAATACAAAAATAAAACTATTTTAGAAAGAGTTACCCATGAGCTTATAGGATAATGACGATCGGCTTTTCCAACAAAACCAAATGTGTATTAGATTAATGGTTTGCAACAAAATAAGTTACATCCCTTTGTTCAAGGTTGTTGATATTAGACTTGCTTACTTCAAGAATTGGCGAAAACAATACGTTCCAGGTAGTACTGCGTATTAATCATCTCACTCAGTTTTATATGTTTTTTTCCCTGTGGCAAGAAGGCACTCAGTATTGTATATGACTGACGGCTAATATAACTATATGTTATGTTGTCTAAAATAATTCTTTTCAACACTTCAACAGTTAAATACCCCTCCCTACAAGGTGTAGAACACATCCACTGTTCAATAAGTTCAAGGACTTTGTAGAACAGTTCAACACCTCTGCTTTCAAGGACCTTGTAGAACACTTCAACACCTCTGGCTTCAAGGACCTTGTAGAACACTTCAACATGTTTCCAAGGACCTTGTAGAACACTTCAACACCTCTGGCTTCAAGGACCTTGTAGAACACTTCAACATGTTTTCAAGGACCTTGTAGAACACTTCAACACCTCTGGCTTCAAGGACCTTGTAGAACACTTCAACATGTTTTCAAGGACCTTGTAGAACACTTCAACACCTCTGGCTTCAAGGACCTTGTAGAACACTTCAACATGTTTCCAAGGACCTTGTAGAACACTTCAACACCTCTGGCTTCAAGGACCTTGGAGAACACTTCAACATGTTTTTCAAGGACCTTGTAGAACACTTCAACACCTCTGCTTTCAAGGACCTTGTAGAACACTTCAACACCTCTGGCTTCAAGGACCTTGTAGAACACTTCAACATGTTTTCAAGGACCTTGTAGAACAATTCAACACCTCTGGCTTCAAGGACCTTGTAGAACACTTCAACACCTCTGCTTTCAAGGACCTTGTAGAACACTTCAACACCTCTGGCTTCAAGGACCTTGTAGAACACTTCAACACCTCTGGCTTCAAGGACCTTGTAGAACTCTTCAACATGTTTTCAAGGACCTTGTAGAACTCTTCAACATCTCTGGCTTCAAGGACTTGTAGAACACTTCAATAGTTCAACACCTTTGCCTTCAATTTAAGTGCGGGCTCTGGTCTCATTGTGATTCTTTGTCGTTTCTTGTAAATCTGGTCTGGGTTTGAGAGTTTAAAGTCAAACTCTCGGAACAGAATTGCCAAAATAACTTTCATCTCCATGAGGGCAAACTTGTACCCAATGCACATTCTGGGCCCGGCCACAAACGGCAGCCAGGCGTATGAATGGAGCTTACTGTCGTCCATGAAACGTTCCGGTTTGAACTCTTCTGCATCTGTCCAGTAGGCTGGGTTTCTGGGAAATGTAAATATTTATTTAATTTAAATTCAATATAAGCTGATAAGTTATTTCGCATGTATTTAGAAACATTTCTAAAACATGACTAATCATTTTAGGTATCCCACAACAGTCTTGTATTGCAACCTCACAGACCCTAAAGTATCCCTCACTTAGGTGGTAATACAACCTCACAGTCCTTAAGGTATCCCTCACTTCGGAGGTATTACAACCTCACAGACCCTAAAGTATCCCTCACTTCGGATGTATTACAACCTCACAGACCCTAAAGTATCCCTCACTTAGGTGGTAATACAACCTCACAGTCCTTAAGGTATCCCTCACTTCGGAGGTATTACAACCTCACAGACCCTAAAGTATCCCTCACTTCGGATGTATTACAACCTCACAGACCCTAAAGTATCCCTCACTAAGGTGGTAATACAACCTCACAGTCCTTAAGGTATCCCTCACTTCGGAGGTATTACAACCTCACAGACCCTAAAGTATCCCCCACTTCGGATGTATTACAACCTCACAGACCCTAAAGTATCCCTCACTTAGGTGGTAATACAACCTCACAGACCCTAAAGTATCCCTCACTTCAGAGGTATTACAACCTCACAGACCCTAAAGTATCCCTCACTTCGGAGGTATTACAACCTCACAGACCCACCAAAGTGGTAAATGAGACCTGCATCACTTCGGGTTTTCCTCCAACATTAAGCTGAAATGACATGATACAAGTGGAATACTGTTAGTAGCAGTGCTAAACCAAACTCTCTCACAGACCCAACAGATCCTAAAGTAACCCTCACTTCAGCTGAAGTGTCCTTTACCTCCCTTGTACATGCCATTACCGATCCTGAAGAATAGCCTACCTTTGTAAGGCTCCCACGTGGATGTTGATGATGGTGCCAGCGGGGATGGAGTAGCCGTTGATGACGTCATCATGAACAGCGGTCCGGAATGTCATCGGAGCAGCTGGGTATAGCCTGTCATGGAAACAGATGAGTGAGTGAGTGAGTGAGTGAGTGAGGCGTGGGATTGGATGCGTCATTGGTTGTTTGGGTGAGAGTGAGTGAGTAAGTGAGTGAGTGAGGGTGGGATTGGGTGTCATTGGTTGTTTGGGTGAGCGAGGGTGAGTGAGGGAGTGAGGGAGGGATGGAGGGAGGGAGTCCTTGTTCTTGTTTATCCTCTCAATGCTGAGAGTCAGGCAGGGTAACAAGTACCATCTTTAAGACCTTTTGGCATGACACATCCGGGGATCAAACCACCGACCTTCTGTTATTTGGGCAGACACTGTATCCACTACAGTTCACTATTACAAGCATGGGCTACTGGGAGTTCCCTCTGCACAGGAATCACCATGGGGATAGAGTATCAATAATCAAGCACACTGACCGCAATGTTTCCTTGATCACACATGCCAAATACGGCATCTTCTCCAGATGCTCCACTGTGATTGGTTGACCTCTTGGAGGCAAGGTTGCAGTGACCTCATCACGAAGGCGTTTCTGAATCTCAGGGAATTCAGACAGTTTCAGGAGGCACCACGTCATTGAAGTTGCTGTCGTCTGGTGAAAAAAGACAAGAAATATGTAAATTTCTAACTGTGGAAATCTGTGAATTTGTGACTTGATTGTCATTCATTGATAAGTTTCTCATTCTTCGGTTCAATTCACCTATGTCGGTGTCAAAACCTTATGGTTTTAGAGTGTTCAATAAATGTTCCTTGATCTCATCTAGTTTGCATCATCATCGCCTTGATAATTCACGGATACGGCAGAGACTTGTTTGTGGAGGTGCACAATAAGTATGAGAAGTAAGCAGGCAGCCAGATGATGTCTCTCATGACAGTTGTGTTATGTATTAATGCTCCACTGCAATCATTGGATAAAATAGACAAATTATGCATCGATTCCACGCTAAAATGATGCAATTTTAGGGTGTGTAAGGAGTAGGTTACTGCACTGATGGACCCGTGAAGATCCGGGGTAGAATAGGTCTTCAGCAACCCATGCTTGCCGTAAAAGGCGACTAACAGGATCGGGAGGTCAGGCTCGCTGACTTGGTTGATGCATGTCGTCGGTCCCAATTGCGTGGATCGATGCTCATGATGTCAATCACTGGATTGTCTGGTCCAGACTCGATTATTTACAGACCGCCGTCATATAGCTGGAATATTGCTGAGTGCAGCGTAAAACAAACAAACAAACAAACTGACAGACAATCGTGTAGTAACCTCTATAATATACAGTACAGTGACCTCTCACTGAAGGTCTCACCTCATGACCAGCTAACATGAAGGTCATCACATGATCTCTCAGCTGTTGCCGTGACAACCCTTCCCCAGACTCGGTGTCCCGTGCCAGCAGCAGCATGCTAAGTAGGTCCGAAAGTTTACTCTCATCTGTAAAGATCAAACTGTTTGGTTCAAGTTTGGTTCCATATGCCGCTTGGGGCGGTGAGGTAGCCTAGTGGTCAAAGCATTTGCTCATCACGCCAAAGACCCGGGTTCAATTCCCCACATGGGTACAATGTGTGAAGCCCATCTCTGGTGTCCCCCTCCATTACATTGCCGGAATATTGCTAAATGCAGAGTAAAACCATTCTTACCCACTTACTTTTTGCCGCTTTGATCATTACTTCAGGCATGTCATCATAATTTGGGAGGAAGGCCAAAGTTGTGTATATGCAGATCTAGTGGCTATAAAAGTTCTTAGTCCCATGATAAGACTTGAACCATGGACCTTCTGATCTAAGTTTGGATGCCTTGTCCACAGAACCAGAGAGGTTTACCCCATCAACAAGCCAACACCGTAATGATGTCATCGGTTTGAGTGAAGGCCCTGCGTAGAATAGGTCTTCAGCAACCCACGCTTGCTGTAAAAGGCGACTATGCTTGTCGAAAGAGGAGACTATCGGGATAGGGTGGTCAGGCTTGCTGACTCGTATCGTATCTCAACGACGGGATTGTCTGGTCAGGATTATTTACAGACCGCCGTCATGTAGCTGGAATATTGCTGAGTGATGTGTTAAACAACAAACAAACTAACACACATCTGTTTGATGACTCCATGCCCTGCAACATGGTGCTCACAAAGCAGAGGATCATAGTTGGGGCCAATCGTAATGGGATTGAATCATATTTTTGTGGTACATTTTGGCACACACACACACACTCCGCCCTCTGTCGCTTTGTCTTTTCTTTACGAACACGACCCTTGATCTCTCATATCGCTACCCTCCCTATAACAAATGACAAGCTCTTTAGATGAATGAGCCACCCATGGTAAACAATAAAAAAACAATCAAACAACAACCCTACCCCTACCACCCTGAATCAATAGTTTACAAGCATTGAATGTGAACAATCACAGAGCTACAGAAAAGCAGCATATCTGCATAAGATACCCCCCCAAAATATTCCAAATGCAATTACTTTCAATTAACTTGCGTACAGAAAGGCATGCATTAAGTGAAACACAGGAAAAATACAGGAAGCGTAAATACCCATTCAAGCTTTTCCAGCATGCGTACAAAGGAGCTAATTTCCGAAACACAATTATGAGCTAATTTACTTTCCGAGTCAAGCCTATATATTTAGAACAGTTATATACATCTAAAACATTATTTCATTTTTTAAATCTTAAAATGTTCACTAATTTTGGGAGAAACCCAATAGTGTGATGAACAGATGAGTGAAAAAATATTGGTTACCCAATGAAAACTAACAACCCAATTAAAATAGAATGTAATAATCCAATTAAAATAGAAACTCTCGAGTAAAAAGTACTAAAAACTCAATCGCTCAAAAAGGTATCTGGAGCTCTGCAAGCACCTGCTTCCTACTCTCTACCATCATCACCTGTGCACTCCTTCAAGACCTCCTGCTTGTTGCTGATGACATCCTGGATCATCTGGTTCGTCACAGTCAGGTTCTTGGTAAAGTTGCTGTTCTCTTCCGTTGGTAGGTGGGACTGCAGCCATGGCCATAAAACCCTTAGGATGCTGAAGAGGAAAGATCCAAATGTAACATTTATCTTGAGGCATATGTTGCCATCCACATCGTGATCAATAATAGAAGATCATTCTTAATAAAAGAGGGCCGGTGGGGTAGTCTGGTGGTTAAAGCGCTCGCTTGTCACACTGAAGACCTGGGTTCGATTCCCATCATGAGTACAATGTGTGAAGACCATTTCTGGTGTCCCCCGCTGTGATATTGCTGGAATATTGCTAAAACCATACTCACTCATTCTTATTAAAGGATCATTCTGGGCTCTCTTTGTGCTGCAACGCCTTTGTGATAAATTAGATATGACTTGTTATCTGTTTATAGTTGATACTTGTATTGAGAGTATCACATGGACCGAAAACATGTTGAAAAATAGTCACTAGGCTCTGAAGCCTAAATGTTTAGAATAAAATACAACAGATGAGGGGAAAAATTCTACAACCTATGTCTCCCTTGGTTCCGGTGATCACAAGTTATGAATAGTCACAAAACTGGAAAGTCTCCAAACTGAGATATCGTACATCATGGCCAGTCACACTCACTGGGAGTGTAAAAATAATGGATTGTCACAAATCACTGAGTCACCAATCTTAGCAAGATGTATAGTAAGTAAAAAATTATGGATAGTCCAATATTCATGGACAGTCACAGATCACAGATCAGAGATCTTCATTAATCACAGACATATATAATACTATAGACATGTCCTGCACTAGGCGAGGTTAAATGAGGTTTAATGTTGCGTTCAAGATTCTTGCACTTACATAATGACGAGTATACATGTGTGTGTGTGTTTGTGTGAGATTGCTTGTATTAGTACAACTAATGCTAGTACTAGTCTATTGAGACCACCAATCTTCCACTCTCCAGGCAAACACTCTATCCACTACCCCACAGAGACAGTCAGGGTATCAAACCACTGACCTTTCATTCTCCAGGCAAACACTCTATCCACTACCCCACAGAGGCAGTCAGGGGATCCAACCACTCACCTTCCACTCTCCAGGCAAATGCTCTATCCACTACACCACAGAGGCAGTCAGGGTATTGAACCACTCACCTTCCACTCTCCAGGCAAACACTCTATCCACAAGACCACAGAGGCAGTCAGGGTATTGAACCACTCACCTTCCACTCTCCAGGCAAACACTCTATCCACAAGCCCACGGAGGCAGTCAGGGGATCAAACCACTCACCTTCCACTCTCCAGGCAAACACTCTATCCACAAGACCACAGAGGCAGTCAGGGTATTGAACCACTCACCTTCCACTCTCCAGGCAAACATTCTATCCACAAGCCCACGAAGGCAGTCAGGGGATCAAACCACTCACCTTCAGCTCTCCAGACAAACACTCTATCCACTACCCCACAGAGTCAGTCCTGACCTACACTGACCTTGGTTTGAAGCCGTACATCAGGTCTGTGAAGGCACGGGATCCTTTCTGCTCTGGTTTGTACAGGGCTTCAGTGTTGTACCCAAACCCACAGTCTGAGATGATATCCATTGTCTGCCAACAACAAGTTTAAAGTGCAAAGCCTTTCCATTAACACATCATTTATCTTATTTGTCCATCTGTCATGCAATAGTCAGCAGCCATCACATGTACTGCTGAGTACACTTGGATCTCTGAGCTGAGTGTATGTGGATCTCTGAGCTGAGTGTAGGTGGATCTTGGTGTTGAATGTATGTGGATCTTGGCATTGAATGTATGTGGATCTTGGAGCTGAGTGTATGTGGATCTTGGCGTTGTATATATGTGGATATTGGTGCTGAATGTATGTGGATCTTGGCGTTGAATGTATGTGGATCTTGGCGTTGAATGTATGTGGATCTTGGTGTTGAATGTATATGGATCTTGGAGCTGAGTGTTTGTGGATCTTGGCGTTGAATGTATGTGGATCTTGGCGTTGAATATATATGGATCTTGGAGCTGAGTGTATGTGGATCTTGGTGTTGAATGTATGTGGTTCTTGGCGTTGAATGTATGTGGATCTTGACATTGAATGTATGTGGATCTTGACATTGAACGTATGTGGATCTTGACATTGAATGTATATGGATCTTGACATTGAATGTATGTGGATCTTGGCGTTGAATGTATGTGGATCTTGGCATTGAATGTATGTGAATCTTGACAATGAAAGTATGTGAATCTTGGCATTGAATAGATGTGGATCTTGACATTGAATGTATATGGATCTTGACATTGAATGTATGTGGATCTTGACATTGAATGTATGTGGATCTTGACATTGAATGTATGTGGATCTTGACATTGAATGTATATGGATCTTGACATTGAATGTATGTGGATCTTGACGTTGAATGTATGTGGATCTTGACATTGAATGTATGTGTATCTTGGCGTTGAATGTATGTGGATCTTGACATTGAATGTATGTGTATCTTGACATTGAATGTATATGGATCTTGACATTGAATGTATATGGATCTTGACATTGAATGTATGTGGATCTTGGGTGTTGAATGTATGTGGATCTTGACAATGAAAGTATGTGGATCTTGGCGTTGAATGTATGTGGATCTTGACATTGAATGTATGTGGATCTTGGCCTTGAATGTATGTGGATCTTGACAATGAAAGTATGTGAATCTTCACATTGAATGTATGTGGATCTTGACATTGAATAGATGTGGATCTTGACATTGAATGTATATGGATCTTGACATTGAATGTATGTGGATCTTGACATTGAATGTATGTGGATCTTGGCGTTGAATGTATATGGATCTTGACATTGAATGTATATGGATCTTGACATTGAATGTATGTGGATCTTGACATTGAATGTATGTAGATCTTTGCGTTGAATGTATGTGGATCTTGGCGTTGAATGTATGTGGATCTTGACATTGAAGATATAATGGATCTTGACATTGAATGTATGTGGATCTTAGTGCTGAATGTATGTGGATCTTGGTGCTGAGTGTATCTAGATCTTGGCGCTAGGCCCCAAAGCTAAAAGGTTTCACAGAGCTACCACAAATGTCCACCTGATACTGTCAACTGCTTTTCTGTTGAAGTGTGTTCACCCTCTTGCTTCTGCTATTCTACTAAACTGTGCTCCAATGTTTAAATACTTCTGTTCTACTGAATGGTGCTTCAATATTCAGCTTCTATTATTCTACCGAAGTGTGCACCAGTGTCCAGGACTTACCATTCTACTCATGTCATCCCCTATGTCCAGATCTGCGTCTTCATTTTCCTTCAGACTCTGAACCCAGAAGTCCACAAGTTCCTCTCCATGTTTCTGTATGGCTGGAATCATGTCTGAAACAGCAACAATATTTTCTGCAACCATCATGCGACGTCAGGATCTTAAATGTGTTCATAGACCATATATCCAATGTTTCCTTCCAAACGTGACACATTTGTCTTCAAAAGTTACCAGATATATTTCAAACTGGGCTCTCAGAGAAACCATCTGAGCACAACTCCTCCACCAGCTACAGGGGTTAAACCCTTAGCTTTTCCATCTTCCTGAGGCAAGGGAGTTAACTGACTGTAAAAGTCCAGTTTCCACCCTTGCCAAACTAGGATGGAATTACGGAGTTATATTTTGGTTGGATTATGCATAGACTCATCCAACCAAAATATAACTCCGTTACAAAATTAAATGTCATGTAGATTTAGTTCAATTGCAGGATTTAATAAAGCCATTATATTGCAAACTCGGCATCAACAGATATTTTCCAAATATGTTCATGTTTATAACCAAGGTGCTCACGTCATTTGATACACTTCATGAAGGAAGACACGTTTCTTTACAATATAGATCTTGATTAACGATCAGATCGTCTTGACTGGGCGCCGCCATTTTGTTTGTGATATGATAAGTGGAATCTGATTGGTCAACAGGAGGGCAATAGAAGGTGCATAACTCGTAGCAGCCAGTGGTGGTGCTACGATCGAGCCCAGAAATTCCCGCCTAGTTCGGCAAGGGGGGAAATTGGACTTTTTCAGTCCCTTTCCACCCTTACCTCAGGAAGATGTACCTTATCACAAAAAAACTCAGGCTCAGTTCCACACAAGGGTACATCATCCAGTGATCTCACTGGACCACATCTTGACAAGTCGAGCACAGGGATAACACAGCTGGAATACTGCTGAGTACTGCATAAGGCCATACTCACTCATTCACCAGATGACATCGTCTGTGTCTACAGCCACCATGCCTCAGGTTTAACTACAGAGGGGATCAGCTACACATGGACCCACCTGATTTGGTCGCTGCAGCCTTTGGCAGTGATCGATGATAGGGTTACCATGACAATTTCAAAGTAATTCAAAAACACATCCTTATGATGTAGCTGGAATCTTTCAATGGACTCTGCTTTTAGCAGAGATTTCTTATGATTATGAAAGGGTTTGGTTAAGCCAGGGTTATATCAAAGAATATTGATTTGATTCCTGTTACATATATGACCATCAAAATGTATGCACTTCTCAGAATAAAATGAGAAAATAAACCATCTTTTGTGAAATAATGGCCCTTGGAGAGCTGAGATAAATCTCTGAAACCACTGACTTGCCATAGCTGGCTAAATTAATTCAGCCCATGGTGATCTCGCTGACACATTGCAGATTAGAGCATAAAAATCTCATCTGCCCTACTCAGCCTGAGGGCTGCCAGCCTCGCTGCGATGTGCCTGGAATGGTTGCGAGGTAATCATGTTTGACTCAACGTCTCTCGTACTCACTTTTTAGAAATGAACTCTTGAATGCTCCGAGACAGAGTTTTCTCTGAGTTAGATGCTGTTGTCCATTCAAGCTGATCAAGCCATCGCCTGTGACTCTTGTGAACAGCCTGTAAGAAACAATGTGGAATCAGTGGAGTGTTAACTTTGAGACTTGACAGTGGAATGTTAACTGGTGAGATTTGACAGTGAAACCTTAACTGTGACACTTGACAGTGGAATGTTTACTGGGGACACTTGACAGTGGAATGTTAACTGTGACACTTGGCAGTGGAATGTTAACTGTGACATTTGACAGTGGAATGTTAACTGTGACACTGGACAGTAGAATGTTAGCTGGTGAGATTTGACAGTGGAATGTTAACTGTGACACTTGACAGTGGAATGTTAACTGTGACACTTGACAGTGGAATGTTAACTGTGACACTTGACAGTGGATTGTTAACTGGGGATAGTTGACAGTGGAATGTTAACTGTGACACTTGGCAGTGGAATGTTAACTGTGACATTTGACAGTGGAATGTTAACTGTGACACTGGACAGTAGAATGTTAGCTGGTGAGATTTGACAGTGGAATGTTAACTGTGACACTTGACAGTGGAATGTTAACTGTGACACTTGACAGTGGAATGTTAACTGGTGAGATTTGACAGTGAAACCTTAACTGTGACACTTGACAGTGGAATGTTTACTGGGGACACTTGACAGTGGAATGTTAACTGTGACACTTGACAGTGGAATGTTTACTGGGGACACTTGACAGTGAAACGTTAACTGTGACACTTGACAGTGGAATGTTTACTGGGGACACTTGACAGTGGAATGTTAACTGTGACACTTGGCAGTGGAATGTTAACTGTGACATTTGACAGTGGAATGTTAACTGTGACACTGGACAGTAGAATGTTAGCTGGTGAGATTTGACAGTGGAATGTTAACTGTGACACTTGACAGTGGAATGTTAACTGTGACACTTGACAGTGGAATGTTAACTGGTGAGATTTGACAGTGAAACCTTAACTGTGACACTTGACAGTGGAATGTTAACTGTGACACTTGACAGTGGAATGTTAACTGGTGAGATTTGACAGTGAAACCTTAACTGTGACACTTGACAGTGGAATGTTAACTGTGACACTTGACAGTGGAATGTTAACTGGTGAGATTTGACAGTGAAACCTTAACTGTGACACTTGACAGTGGAATGTTAACTGTGACACTTGACAGTGGAATGTTAACTGGTGAGATTTGACAGTGAAACCTTAACTGTGACACTTGACAGTGGAATGTTAACTGTGACACTTGAAAGTGGAATGTTAACTGGTGAGATTTGACAGTGAAACCTTAACTGTGACACTTGACAGTGGAACGTTAACTGTGACACTTGACAGTGGAACGTTGACTGTGACACTTGACTGTGGAATGTTAACTGTGACACTTGAAAGTGGAATGTTAACTGTGACACTTGACAGTGGAATGTTAACTGTGACACTTGAAAGTGGAATGTTAACTGTGACACTTGAAAGTGGAATGTTAACTAGTGAGACCTGACAGTGAAATGTTAACTGTGACACTTGACTGTGGAATGTTAACTGTGACACTTAACAGTGGAATATTAACTGTGACACTTGACAGTGGAATGTTAACTGTGACACTTAACAGTGAAATGTTAACTGTGACACTTGACTGTGGAATGTTAACTGAGACACTTGACTGTGGAATGTTAACTGTGACACTTGAAAGTGGAATGTTAACTGTGACACTTAACAGTGGAATGTTAACTGTGACACTTGAAAGTGGAATGTTAACTGTGACACTTGACTGTGGAATGTTAACTGTGAGACCTGACAGTGAAATGTTAACTGTGACACTTGAAAGTGGAATGTTTACTGTGACATTTGACTGTGGAATATTAACTGTGAGTCCTGAGAGTGAAATGTTAACTGTGACACTTGAAAGTGGAATGTTAACCGTGACACTTGACAGTGAAATCTTAACTGGTGAAACCTGAAGTAGAATGTTAACTGGGGACACTAGACAGTGGAATGTTAAGTGGGGACACTTGACAGTGAAATCTTAACTGTGACACTTGAAAGTGGAATGTTAACTGTGACACTTGAAAGTGGAATGTTAACTAAAATGTTAACTAATGTAACTAAAATTATTGTTTTATCTGGAATGATATATTCCAATATCATGTTATTTCACTTGCAGCTTTTACTATACATATTAAGTATGGAACAAATTGTCCAGTCACTGTTGGGACTTCCCATGTATTTTGATTACGATAATGTTATCTTGACATATAAGAGTCAAATTATGGCAGTTATGATATGTATCCATTCTCTGGTAACTAAAGTGCATTTCAAGGCCTCAATAGCGGTAAATAGCTGTGCGATCTACCAATCACTTCACACATGATTTTGCCAAAATTAATGTAAACAACATTGAATTAAATTTTGAATAAAATTAATAAAATATATGACAAACATAAGTCCAGGTATAGAATGATCATGTTTTTATAACCAGATGGTATATTATGGGCTTAAATTGCGTACTTCAGTGTGGATATGTTGTCTGGTATTTGAGGTGTTGCGTGATCAGCTGATAATGTTTCTTGAGATGGAGCAAAACATTGTGTCAGTGTAAAACTTGAGTTGATTAAAAATGTAAGTTTAGGGAGGCATGCGTTACCGCATGATATAACCCTGTTGTAGATATATTGAAGGATGCAATACCGAGGGAACACTGTACGTAAGATTTGCGTTCTGTATCGTGGTGTGTCGATAAACAGGCCAACGTGTATCGTGTATCGTATCGTGGGTCAAACACCGCGATGCATCTGAATATCGGTGTTACAAATCACTCTTACCAGGAACTATCTACATTGTTAGTGAACGTCACCAGAAATAATCTACATTGTTGGTGAGCGGCACCAGAAACTATCTACGCTGTCACTGAATGGCACCAGAAACTTTCTACGCTGTCAGTGAATGGCACCAGAAACTATCTACACTGTCAGTGAATAGCACCAGAAACCATCTACATTGTCGGTGAATGGCACCAGAAACCATCTACACTGTTTGTGAATGGCACCAGAAACCATCTACACTGTCAGTGAATGGCACCAGAAACTATCTACACTGTCAGTGAGCGGCACCAGAAACTATCTACATTGTCAGTGAGCGGCACCAGAAACTATCTACATTGTCAGTGAGCGGCACCAGAAACTATCTACATTGTCAGTGAATGGCACCAGAAACTATCTACATTGTCAGTGAATGGCACCAGAAACTATCTACATTGTCAGTGAATGGCACCAGAGACTATCTACATTGTCAGTGAATGGCACCAGAAACTATCTACACTGTAAATGAATGGCACCAGAAACCATCTACATTGTCAGTGAGCGGCACCAGAAACCATCTACATTGTCAGTGAGCGGCACCAGAAACTATCTACACTGTCAGTGAGCGGCACCAGAAACTATCTACATTGTCAGTGAATGGCGCCAGAAACTATCTACATTGTCAGTGAGCGGCACCAGAAACTATCTACACTGTCGGTGAATGGCACCAGAAACTATCTACACTGTCAGTGAGGGGCACCAGAAACTATCTACACTGTCAGTGAGCGGCACCAGAAACTATCTACATTGTCGGTGAATGGCACAAGAGACTATCTACACTGTCGGTGAGCGGCACCAGAAACTATCTACACTGTAAATGAACGGCACCAGAAACCATCTACATTGTCAGTGAACGGCACCAGAGACTATCTACATTGTCAGTGAATGGCACCAGAAACTATCTGCACTGTCAGTGAGCGGCACCAGAAACTATCTACATTGTCAGTGAGCGGCACCAGAGACTATCTACATTGTCAGTGAATGGCACCAGAAACTATCTACACTGTCTGTGAGCGGCACCAGAAACTATCTACACTGTTGGTGAATGGCACCAGAAACTATCTACATTGTCAGTGAATGGCACCAGAGACTACCTACATTGTCAGTGAATGGCACCAGAAACTATCTACACTGTCTGTGAGCGGCACCAGAAACTATCTACATTGTCAGTGAGCGGCACCAGAAACCATCTACATTGTCAGTGAACGGCACCAGAGACTATCTACATTGTCAGGGAATGGCACCAGAAACTATCTACACTGTCAGTGAGCGGCACCAAAAACTATCTACACTGTCAGTGAATGGCACCAGAAACCATCTACATTGTCGAGGAGCAGCACCAGAAACTATCTACATTGTCAGTGAATGGCACCAGAAACTATCTACATTGTCAGTGAATGGCACCAGAAACTATCTACATTGTCAGTGAGCGGCACCAGAAACTATCTACATTGTCAGTGAGCGGCACCAGAAACTATCTGCACTGTCGGTGAATGGCACCAGAAACCATCTACATTGTCGAGAAGCAGCACCAGAAACTATCTACATTGTCGGTGAACGGCACCAGAAACTATCTACACTGTTGGTGAATGGCACCAGAAACCATCTACAATGTCGGTGAACGGCACCGGAAACTATCTACACTGTTGGTGAATGGCACCAGAAACTATCTACACTGTTAGTGAATAGCACCAGAAACTATCTACACTGTCGGTGAATGGCACCAGAAACTATCTACACTGTCAGTGAATGGTATCAGAAACTATCTACACTGTCAGTGAAAAGCACCAGAAACCATCTACATTGTCGGTGAATAGCACCAGAAACTATCTTCATTGTCAGTGAGTGGCACCAGAAACCATCTACACTGTCAGTGAGCGGCACCAGAAACTATCTACACTGTCAGCCAACTGCGCTGCAGACAAAGTGAACTGAAGGCAATAAGGAATGCATCTGATCCTGGTCAGATCAATTTCTAGCATTTGTTATTAGATTCACCACTAAAACATCTGACAAAAAAGTAACTTCTTCATTGCAACCTAATGGTATCAGGACACACTAACTTGAAAAGGAACGTTGGCTTCACATAGTTCTTGCTGTGTGTGACCATGATGTGCTTCATGGCATCAGCGTCCGCCACCATCAGTCTCTGGGCCCCAAGAATATGGTGGTACCGGATCACACTCGTCTTCATCTCCTTCACCCACCTTTATACAAAAACATATTACACCTTCATTTATATAAATATATTTACTGATAAATGTCATAAAAGCAAACGACTTAGACTGACATCTAGCAGTGATAGAAACTAACTGTTTTAGTCCACTAGTCCTTATAATGATAACATATAGCAAAACCCTTAATAATGGCAAATTCACACCAGTCCTTATGACACCTTAACTATTGGGCAGCTTGGCAAGGACTATGGGACTAGTGCCATTTTCTAACGCTGACTAGTCTCTGAAATGAAAATATCTCACAGAAAAAAACAGTTGTTAAATTATGTTAATAAAAATACAACAGAAAGGAGCCTAGAGACTATCTAGTAATCTAGACTTGCCAAACATTATAGACTGGCATGGGCTGTATTTGATATATTTGTATCAGGGTCAGTATGACTGTCTACAAACGACTCTTGAACTGAGGAAGGGAACTACAGATGATATTTCTGCGGTTCTTATTGCTAAATCCGCTCAATATCCATTGCCTACCTCAGTAACCATGGTAGCATGAGTTACTTATCTCTGCTAGGATCAGAAAATCATAGGTTCCAATCCCCAAACCAATCTTCCAATCTTATCATGATCCTTGGTCTTTGATCAGCATACCCATGATAGTGGCAGCCTCTACAGTTCATGCTGGTCCTCTAGCCCATGACTACTCAATTGTGCTGAGGACAAGTAAAAATCCAGTGATGGTAGTTCTCGTTGACTAGTAGCACTTGGGACTGATAGAACACGCAAGCAAAGTAAACATGTTTGTCCTGTTCAACCAGGACTAGCTACAAACTCTGAGGACTAGTAAAATAAGGGTTCCACTTATCATCTGGACTTGTCTTCTGGAAATGAATTTCTAGGGCTGTAGCGGTTTCAGCCTGGTGTCCCTGACCTAATCTGACCCATCACGATATACCAGCAACTAAATAGTGTTCAAAATGACAGAAACCCCAACTCACAATACTTGTGACCATCGTGAGTGAGTTAGTTTCATGACGTTTTAAGCATCTCTCAACAGTATCACGGAGGGGACGCCAGAAATTGTGGGGAACTGAACCAGGGCCAATGGCGTCACGAGCGAACACTTCAAGCACTAGGCTACTCTACCACCCCTTTGGGCATTGACGACTGACATATGAATGTTACTTACTTGATATAGGGATCAATGCTTTCACCGCCAAATATCTCCCGCATATTCCCTAGGAAAATGCTGGTGACTGGTCGTGCTGGTATCTGGAAGTAATAGATGTTGGTCACGTAACATGGAACCTTAACAAAATGGAAAAGAACTTTTGACCCATTTTTATACACTTATCGTTTGTTTGTTTGTTGCTTAACGCCGCACTCAGTAATATTCCGGCTATATGACGGCGGTCTGTAAATAGACAATCCAGTGATTGACATCATGAGCATTGATCCATGCATCAACCAAGTCAGCGAGCCTGACCACCCGATCCCGTTAGTCGCCTCTTACGACAAGCATAGTCGCCTTTTAGGTATACATTTATCAGTGGTCGATACCTTAAATCTTTAACCAGCTGAAAGTTTAGAACACTCCTTAACTTGTCTGCTGGAGGTACATATACTCAGTGACCTTGAACTTCAATGCAATCCATTCTTATATCAGTAAAATATTAGATACATTGGAGGCATATCAGACATGAAATCTCTAACTTTCAGAAGGAAGAAGGTTGAGAGAATCTATTGGGTTGGTGAAGGAGCTCAAATTCAAGTAAACACATGCTGTATTTAATCATCTATAATACGCACTGGTGTATAATATAATATGCAACCCTAATAATGGGCAATTAAATCCTGAAAAGAAAAATATCTCGCACATAATACACACTGACTTTTCTTTAGTATCCTTTCAGGCGGTCAGTTATACCACTGTCATGATCTGTCATTGGAAATAGAATATGAACAAATTTGTGTCTGGTAATAAAAGGGTTCATTGTATATCTGACTTTATGTTTGTCATCTATTTTTTAAATTTTATTCAAAATTTAATTCAATAATGTTTTCATTAATTTTGGAAAAATTGTCAACCGCTCTGAAACATTGTTTGTAAACAATAGCCCTAAGGTTACTTGGCTGTGCTCATCTTATTCCACAAGAGAAGTTTCTGCTCCAGTGACCACACTGTCAGTGTAGGCTTATCACTTGAACAGACTTTCCTGTTGTTTGTAAACAAATGCACTTATACTGAAATTAGAACAGACGAGCCCAATGCAAGTCTTTTATGACTTTACATATTGTTTTCCACAATTATAGAGATGACCTACTGCGACAGTGAGGTGCATGACAAAATAGGTTTACACATCAATGTGACCATATCGCTAGCTTCGATGACAACACGCAGAGGATAAATATGCACATAGTTTTCTGCATTTTAGAATCTTTTCTGAATGAAAGTTAAACATTTCATAACACACGTTTATCTAAATGTGTGGCCTCATCCACAATGAAACACAAGAATGGACTGTGGAAAATATGTGACAATGTGACAGGGGTACCAAGCTGGCCACAGTTGATTGACGAGTGAATGGCTTATTACGGCAGAGGCATAATTGTATGTACAGTATATTGTAATCCAGGCTTTGATAAACACTGCCTTTCAATCTAATCAAGCTGGCAACTCGAAGTTTGTAACTCTTCCGTAAGAAAAACACACAAGCTTTCTCTTCAATTTGCCTCAATAAAAAAACTTGACTGAAGCCTGAACTCTGTGCTGCACTTGCGTTGTCAGCTTCACTGTGTGGAGCTCTATTGTTTTGGTTCGAAAATTAAATTGGGCATGCACTAAAGGTGTTACGTCACACTCAGATATTACTTCATGCATGATTCAAAGACAAACACAACCGTCCCTTCAAGCATTCTTAAGGAATAATTAAAGATCATTGGTTACATTCTCTCAAGGGTAGGGGCTCTTAGCAAATTCCAAATGCTGCTTAAGCATAAAACAAGAGCGTACATTATCACAATTTTCCTGCTGGTTTTTGAAACTACCAGTCCTGATGGACTGGCAACTCTAAAAATTACCCTTCCCGCTAATTTTTGTCAGTCCCAACAAATAAAAAACGCATGAAAATTACTATGTTTTAGTTTCAACATCATGTTCAATTCATCTCTGAAGTAACTTAGATCTACACGTCATTCACGCAAACTTTAGTCACTATTTTCTCTTTTGTTTTGAATATTTCGAGACTTAAGTCGCTACAAATATAAATTTAACCACGAAGCAAAGCAAAATGTTATTTCCTTGCACGAAAAATAGACAAGGGGAAACCCTGATGATAACAGACAAGCTGACTTTGGTAAAAAAATATACTTATATGAATGTTGACGATGTTTTATTCAACGACAAATATTTATAAGATACCTTATTTGCCAGCCCACAGGGACTGGCAGTCGCGTGAATTGCCGGTCCAAGCCTAAATTTACCAGTAAAAAACTGGTAATAACCAGTAAGAGGGAACACTGAAAATCTGGACTTATGTTAATCTATTTTATCAATTCAAGATTTCATTCCATATTTTATATATTCATCTCAGCGAAATTGTATGTGAAGTGATCAGAAGATCACACAACTCACCGTTATTTACAGTAACCACGGTCATATTACCGCTATTGGTGCCTTGAAACGAACTTTAGTGGCTAGAGAATGAATACATATATCATAAATGCCAGACCGGCATATCTGGCAATTACAATCAGCTGTACGAAAGTGCTACGTTTATGGTTATTTTTTTATTTTAAATATACATGTATATAGTAAAATACTACTAAAATAACATGATATTGGAATAAATTATTCCTGATAAAATAATAGTTTCAGATACAATTCTTTCTATCATTGTATCAAAATTCTTTAACGTTATATTATTGGGTAATTATTAACCGAATCACCAGTAGATTCCGAGAAACGTATGTACAGCTAATTGGTACTTCCGTCTCAGTTTACGAGAAAATACACATGGTAATCTTAATCTCTGCATACAAAACAACGCCTATCAGAACAGGAAATGCAATTTAATCGGGAAATCACCATGTCTAGTGTTTTTTATCTTAAATTATAAATTTGCATTGACCAAGTTTAATTGTTATGATCTGTTTGTTCCCCTGAATTTGCTGAAGGGATACGATGTAATTGTTTTCTGTGGAAGACAAACATGATTTAACTGCAAATGTAGAGATTGTGTATGCGCTGGTGACGTGCTTCATTCAGATTCGCTGTATAGACAGGGTATATAAATTAGCATCGATTTTAAAGGCTTGTACTGGGGGGTCGTCTTATACGTGGGGTCACTTTCCTAGCATCCCTGTGTTTTTCTACTTAAACCATGGGTCCTTTGACAGTACATTAACTAACAGAAAGATAACAAAAAATCAGTCCAACACTTACGTTTCGGAGTGGCGTCAGGTATGGTGTCAGGATGACCTTGTAGAACCCATACGACAGTCCCAATATGGTTCCATACACCAGAACCGAGCTCCACGTCACTACCTGGGTGAGAGAGGAGTACACTCCCATCACACTGCTGGTGACCACTTCCGCCATATCTTTGTTTCACTACTGAAACACAGGGCACACATGGATAGAAAAAAACCCATCTTGTCAGGCCATTACAAAGTAAAATATATTATTTTTAAATAAGTATAAGTATATTCCTATGTACATCGCTACATGTTTTAGGTTATTTAGAATGCACTGGGACACAGGTGGCCCAGTTGTCTAAGGCGCCACGATTCGCTGTGCAGAGTTGCATCCCTTGGGCTTGCCAGAAAGCTATGATTGTGGGTTTGAATCCCGGTTCGCCCTGATTATGTTTCTAGGTCTGTCAGCACCATACCCGTGCTTGTGGGTTTCACCAAAGTGGTAAACGTCTGAGACCTGCATCACTTCGGGCTTTCCTCCCACATTAAGCCAACATGCCGCGATATAACTGGAATACTGTTAAAAGCGGCGTTAAACCCACTCACTCACTCACACCATGCAGCTTCATGTCAAAACAAAGCACACTTGTACTAATGGTAACATGCCCTAAGGTATGTAAATATAACTTAAAGTTTTTATAATATATAATGTTATATGATCTGCAGTGATTTAGTTATAACAAAAATTATTTTCAACCAATGAAATTCTACTAAGACAACCATGCTTTAAATTTGCTAAAACAGAAATTAAAAAGGCAATTAAGTACTAATACTGCATCATCTAATGTTATTTTATATTTCTTAATGACACAATTAGACCATAACAATATTTACATTATACTGTATATCTAAACATTAGAGATGGAGTATTCGAGGTTTATAGTGTATCACAATATTTTGCGATGCAATATCATTAAAGAAATCGCTATTTGACATCACCCAATATCGAGCATGAAAAAATGATACTGTGATACGTATAGTGGAATGAATAAACCTCAGTTTACCAATATACTAATAATACAGCACACCCTTACTAAACGTGCTAAAGTTAATTCTGAAATATATCAGCTGATGGATACATAGTGAGTATGTGTGTCTATAAGCATGTACAACATGGTTCTTTAATTATATTTTTCACAAGAACCAAATGACTGGACTCATTATTGTCAATGCTTAACCTTGTACCAATTTGACCAAATAATTGAAACCTGTTGAAATGGTCAGAGACTAATATACATTATATTTAAGTTTATCTTTATGGCATTTGTTGTGTATGTTTTGTTAAAAAAATATGATCAGAGCTCCAGATAAGCTTTTGGTGCATTTTAAAATCATTGGGTATCAGTCATTCTATCTGCGTATTCAAATTTCTGTTACCCACTAGTTTTTACACATGTGGGTATTTAAAAACACTATTCATCTAGTCCCTGCAAACTGGTGTCGTGTGGGTTCGAGAGCTTTATAGGACTCAAAAATATACGATACTTCCAAAAGAAAGAATGATGGCAAATGATCATGATGTAACTGTCATCATACGCAGGGTTACTTCACAATATTTTGATGATACGCACAAGTTTTTTTTTTGTAGCGTATCTGTAATGTTCGTTGTGTATTTGATACGCTTGGATTATATTTTACTGCGTATTTCTGCATTTCTGATGCGTATTTCACGCAGATACGCAGCTTATCTGGAGCTCTGATGATAATATCACATATTGCAGATCAGACTGACTGATACTGTTACTGACTGTAACGGTGAACAAATCCTGTAATGAAATCATAAAAAAACAACTTTTAAAATGGACTTCCTACTTTCAGAAAATGGGCCTGATGTGAATATTGCATGTACAAGGAATCCGCTGAACTAACCTCGACTCTGACATCATGGTGACAGTTCATGATCAGGACTATCATAAGTAGTGGTATTGTTAGTGGTTATCTGATCACAAATTTGAGTTTGGTTTGTCTCTGGTCAGGTTTGGGATGACGCCTACATTCATCTATCATCACATTTCCGTACTTTCAGGAAACTCAAATGCACTTCCATCCATTCATCCTGGTGCTGTTGTGTAGTCATATGGAGATTTTATATTACATCCCTGTCAGTCTGCTGCAACACAAGTAGTCATGAATGATCTGATCACAACTGTCAACACTCACTCCTTTCTGAAATCTGTCATTCTGCTGGTCTTGGAATGGTCAAGAATGAAATAAACTACTACTGCGCGCTCAAATGCACTGATGTGTGACATGACGACAGCTAATTAATTATCTCTTTCAGCATTAAATCAATTTTGTGTCATCTCCCAGTTACATTCAACCCCTGGTCATCTATATACACAGTTGGAAATTAATTAGAAAACATACAACTTTATGGATAACAATTTCTGGTTTATTGCATATAGCATGGTTTTGATGTAGATTCTTACACCGTTATCAAGCTGGTGTCACTACAACCAAATGATGAGAGGTTTATATACATGATGTAGTATATGTATTACTGCATGCTACTGATCACTATAGAAGCACATGGTATTGTTTACATTACAGCAGTGCCACGCCCACTGAGTGTGAACTATGTCATGTGTGATGTCATCAGTGTATGTGGATGATGCCATCCTCAGTAAATGATGGAACCACCATTACAGGCGTTTGTTTTCATTTGCTCCTGCACTAAATATATATGACACATGGAATGTTGTGAAAAGCAGCAGATTAACATGACCAGAGCTCCAGATAAGCTTTTGGTGTAGTGGGTATTTTACCCATGCATTTTAAAATCATTGGGTATCAGTTATTCTATCTGGGTATTCAAATTTCTGTTACCCACTAGTTTTTACACGTGGGTATTTAAGTTAAATATTTAAAAACACTATTCATCTAGTCCCTGCAAACTGGTGTCGTGTGGGTTCGAGAGCTTTATAGGACTCAAAAATACCACGATACTTCCACAAGAAAGTGTGATGGCAAATGATCATGATGTAACTGTCATCGTGGAGTTGGGCAAGGTTGACGGAATGCCCGTTTATAATTTCAAATAAGTTGCTGATTTGCTAATCGAATACGCAGGGTTGCTTCACAATATTTTGAATATACGCACAAGTTTTATTTTTGTAGCGTATCTGTAATGTTCGTTGCGTATTTGATACGCTTGAATTTTATTTTACTGCATATTTCTGCATTTCTGATGCGTATTCTATGCAGATACGCAGCTTATCTGGAGCTCTGACAACAACAGGTAATGGATAACAAGAAGCATACAGTAAAAATAACAAATGACAAAAGCGGGGGTTGGAGCACCTGCTTATAAACACTATAATAATTTTACTTATATTCAAAAGTCCAAGACACACAAGATTTACTGGCGTTCCAGAGTTCGTAAAAATAAAAACCATCCACAGCTGTGGCAGACAAGGAGGGTGGTGGGGCTTGACTGCATTGTTCACTTTTATTCAATTTTGTCTCTGTTCGAGCCCAGGTGTGTACTGGTTATTGATGCACTGTTTAAATTTCACTGAATTATCAAAAAAGATGTTATAACAACATGCTTAAGGAACCATGTTAATCACTGTAACTGACTAATTAATAATGTTCGACAAAGTGTAAATAACAAGCTTAGATTGTAAGTTAATCCAATCCACCCCTTACCGGTTCACGTCAGCGGTTCACTGCCTAAAGATTTTAACAGGATCTAACATGTGTCGAACCCCAAGAATCGTCTTCAAATGCGACAAAACAGCTAGATGACATTATGCTAGTCTGGAAACAAATAACACTCAAATGTCAACTACATACTTACGTAATGTTGCAAAATGTCTTTGACGATGATAATCTTAAATTGCCTAGTCATAAACGAAACTTCAACCTCTTTATACATAAACAAAGTAGAGTTACCTCCCTTGAAAGCTTCGGCCCCAAGCTCCTACACAGCGCGTGACACCTTCGTTACACTCGGTGTAGAGAGCTGCGCGAACGGGCTGTCGCTGTGAGGAGCATACTTCGGCCCGTTCGTATCAGTCCGTGTGTCCATTCATCACCACTCGCCCCTTTCCGTAACCTGATATTCGGCTTGCAACTCGTGTTATTCCGGGACAAGCCGAATAGCGATTACGGAAAGAGGCAAGTGGTGGAATGTCATGCGTTACTGGTCGCGTCTTTCCGTAACCTACAAAAGCAATTCGTGTCGCGGAAAGGGGCGAGTGGTTACGAAATAGTACAAGAGGGCATTCGACCTGTCCTGGATTGTCACAAGTCGGTCAGGAATGCAGATGGTGACCCTTTCTCAAATTACCTATCAGTTTGTGTGTAATAACTTTCGTGTGTAATAACTTTCGGATATTTGGACATGTGCATTTAGCGATTCAGTTGAAGCCACATATGACGTCAGTGTTTTATTGTTGAGAAAACTACGATGTGACGTCATTCATTGTTCATGACGTCAGATATTGATTACATTACGTCATCTGTCCAATAGGTTGGCTTCAGTGTCGTGTTTTTCTTAATTTCCTCTCTCAAACTGTCAACGAGTAATATACATCATAACGTACTCAAAACTCAAAATTACGGATTACATGTCCCCCGTGAATGAATGTTGTAAGTCACTCACCAAAAGCTCGGTATAACCCCATTCAAACCAAACCAAACCAACCCAAAAATGTGCTAGCGAGTACTTGCCTTGCTGCTTGCGATATTAAAGTGTGGAGGACGCCACCTGGTAGTAAGGGGCAGTACCCCTATGCTAGCTTGGCTGCACACGTACAAAGGATACTTTCGGCGCAAGGGAAGTAACTCTTCCATACTGTTAAAACAGTACTAGTTTTATCCAAATAAAACAACACACCAAAAGCTCGGGATATCCCCATTCATTCACTCAGGACGGATAATTCGTAATTCCTCGTAGTTCTCTAATGATCCGCGTGAAGCTCATTTCTGGTGTCCCCTGCCGTAATATTGCTTGAATATTGCTAAAAGCGGCTTAACCCCCTGGATGCCACAGGGACATATGAAGAGATCGAAATAATAACATAATAATGAACAAATATATGTCCAATATTGAATATAATTTTGGTTGTTTTGAAATATTCTTTTGGGTATTTCATTACGTAAATTGATGCCAAACAGGTGCGTGTCTTGTCTAACTAATATGCACGATAAACTATCTAATTGTTTACATATTCAAGACATTATTTACTTAGTGAAAGCAGTCATATTATGTTATGTCGAAAAAGCGTCAAATTCCGTTTTACACATCGAGATTTTCCATACCATGAACGAAAATTAGGTGAGATATATATTAATCAAAATATCAGTATCGTCTTTCTCCGACGTTATCAAAGACATAAAACCAGCCATGACGTCAAATAGAATGGTGTTATTTTCTTGGTATTTCATTACATTTGATGATAAGGCTGGTGCTCCATTAATAATGGTGCACCATTAGTCAAATTACACTTACACAATCAGGAGAATGTTGGAATCTAAGGAATAAGTTATAGATTAGATAGGGCCATCCATTTCTCTATTACCTCTTTTTTTTATGAAGTACGATTTCATCATTTCTTATGGGGTTTTTTTTACGACTGAACGTATAGTTTCAATATCGATATTTGTGTTGGAATAGTTTGGTTTCTCATGAACACAACACCACGAAAATATATTGTCCTTACCCACAGCTAATTCTCACCAAGTGACCTGAGTTACAATAAACTAGTGCTAAGCATAGCGGAGTTATGCCCCCTTTTCTTTGTACATGTATAACCTCTCTGTCGCATTTTGACATCATAGAGAAAAATCAGTTTTCGTCATTTACGGCATGCTATATTTGGCATTGAATGTATGTCGTTATACATACGCATATAACTCCATTTGATATGTAGTTATGTCGTTCAGATATCAGGCAGTATTTTGTTCGCTCACAGTTTCCGTAAAGCTTCTAAATAAAGAAATCGTCGCGCAGTACTTTCATCGGTGTACGATGAAAAGCGGAGAAATTTACTCTTTTTCAACGCAAAATATATTCTCGGACAACACTTAGAAGTGTCTTTTTTAAAACCGGTTTAATATTTGCAGTAACATTTACACCATCAAATAGGAAATTTAATATTCTCCACCTCTGCGTAATTTTATAGCCAGAGGTAGATCCAGTGCCGCCCGAGCGCAATTCTCGCACAACCTTCACTTTTCCAATCTTCGGAAAATGTGCGTCAGAAAAAAACTCGGCATCCAGAGGGTTAAAACCACGCCTCACTCACTCTTCGATCAAGCGACAGTTAATACGTTCGACCCGTGAATATCCGGGGTAGAATAGGTCTTCAGCAACCTATGATTGCCGTAAGAGGCGACGTAACGGGATCGGGTGGTCAGACTCGCTGACTTGGCAGATGCATGTCATTGTATACCAATTGCGTAGATCGAAGCTCATGAAGTCAATCACTGGATTGTCTGATCCAGACTTGGTTATTTACAGACCGCGATTATAAAGCTAGAATTTTGCTGAGTGCGGCGTTAAACAACGAACAAATAACACGTTCCAAGACCAAAATCGCCTCTGCTTTAGAAAATACTCAAAAGCATCACTAGAGTGAAGCATCATGTAATAGGAGACATTATACACTCCACGAACTGAACCACGTTCTAATGATTCAGTTTCATCAGTATTATGAGGACTGGTGTTTAGCTTCAGGTTATCTATCAAACAGGCAACGGCAATATTTGATGACAAATAGCATTCAGCTAATTAACTAGGGTATTGTATTTGAATAAGCCACCAGGCTTTGGGTTGTCATAAATAAGGTCTGTGATGTTCCTACATAATTAATAATCTCATGTTTATGTTTAATTGGTTTTAAAAAAAAAATTGTGTCCGAGACTTTGTGCGATTATATCGATATTATTACACAACCATGTACAGTGAGTCCTACTAATTTACGGACCCGTGAAGATTCCAGGGTAGAATAGGTCTTCAGCAACCCATACTTGCCGCAAAAGGCGACTATGCTTGTCTTAAAAGGCCACTAACGGGATCGGGTTGTCAGGCTCGCTGACTTGGTTGATACATGTCATCGATCCCAATTGCGTGGATCGATGCTCATGATGTCAGTCATTGGATTGTCTGGTCCAGACTCGATTATTTTACAGACCGCCGTCATATAGCTAGAATATTGCTGAGTGCGGCGTTAAACAACAAACAAACAAACAAACAAAACTAATTTACGTGTGAGTGAGTTGGGTTTAACGCCACTTTCAACAGTATTCCAGTTATATCACGGCGTGTCAGCTAAATGTTGGAGGAAAGCCCGAAGTGATGCAGATCTCAGACGTTTATCACTTCTGTGAAACCCACGAACACGGGTATGGTGCTGACAAACCTAGAAACATAATCGGGACGAACGAGGATTCGAACCCACAATCATAGGTTTCTGGCATGTCCAAGGGACGCAACTCTGCACAGCGAATCGCGGCTCCTTAGACGACTTGGCCACCCGTGCTCCCTACTTATTTACAAACGAGTGACAGCTTTGGGAATACATGAATTCTGACTCAATTTTAATTAAAATCATGAATACATGACACTTTTTTTTATGGATAGCAACTTCCTTGTCCCGACATGACATATATGTATTAACTATATGCACTTAAATTACCCAGGATTCACCTGATGAAGGAACAAGAAGTAGCTCTGAAAGATCGTTACAAAGAATAAAAGAAGTTGTTATCCATAAAAAAGTGTCATATATTCATGTTCTTCCAACGTCTTAATGCCTATGGAAGACATAATTAGAATCAGATCTTGTAGTTCCAGCTACCGCTAAACAACGATCTGAGGTTATCACATGAGGGGTCACGTCAGACCACACTTTTACCCGACCAATCACAGTGTCGCTAACAAGCCCTGACAAGTGACAGTCGGAATGCGTTTTCTCCTCATACAACCTCGAAAAGGTTAACACGGGGTATTCCGAACGACAGTTACGGGCTTTACGACTGATCACCGTCCATCCCCTGCTACAGTGGGATAAACATTTGATACGGAAGAGATTGTCCATAGCCCGTGGGAAGTACCCGCATACAACATCAGTCACCTATAGTCGTTCCAAAATTTTCTTTTGTTCAGTTTTCAAATTCTGAAACGAGAACTTCGTCAAAATATTTATTAAAATGTAGTCTGGAATGGAAGTCGCCGGTTTGAAAATTATGCCGGTGTGATCTTGCTTTGTGATTGGCTAATGTCGACTTGTTAGTCATTTCATTGGTCAGTCAAAGTTCGCGAAAGGTCGTTCTGACGTGGCCTGCTATGAGACGTCCTCGGATTTGTTTCGCGGTAGCGATCAATATCTATATATATACTGAACCGCAAAAGAAACATCACCCCAACATTGCATGAAAAGTTGTCATTTAAATATCTGGGTAATTTTAGTCAAAGTTTCTAAAATTTAACATTACCTTGACCGGATGATAAAAAAACCCAAAGCAGATGACAATAGAACTGATCGCCCAAACGCATCACGGAAACGGCCATGGTAACCCGATGCACGTAAGTTCCGTGCAAATTAACATGCACATGCGTTCCCCCATTTCTTGCCCTATAAAAATCCACCCAGATCGGATAACATTCATTCGTTATTGAATTGCTACCACATGCCAAGATTGACAAGAAATCAGCGACACCAAGCCCTTTATCGATTGCAAGCTGGACAAACCGCGCGGCAAGTAGCCAATGCATTTCAAGTCCACGTAAGGACCATATACAGGCTCTAGCAACGGTACCAGACCACCAACACTTCAGATGACCGACCGAGTAGTGGAAGACCAACGGTCACCACCCGACGTCAGGATCGTCAGATTGTGCGACAGCATCTTCAAGATCGCTTTGTTACAGACCATGGGGACACACCAGCGACACATTAGTGGGGACACCGTGCGT